TAGTAGGTATTTAGTAATTTTAATTAAGTATACCGGCTATACGTATAACCTTTTTAATAATAAAAAGAATAAATAAAATTAGGATTTATTAGAAAAATAGTAGGGGGGCGACGGGGAAAATCGGAAGGGTTATTACTATAGGATAATTAAGAAGGGATTTTCAAAGAGGAGGTAGGAGGGTACGAAAATAAAAAAAATAATAGATTATATTTTAAAAATACTTAATATTAATAATATAATATAAACAATTCAATATTTTCTAAACCTTTTAACTATTCTATATATATTACTACTTTATTTATTATATTAATACTAACTATTAAAAAGATACTTTATTTAAAGAGGGGGTATAATCGGTTAATTTAAGTAATAACCTAAATATATTTTAGTTAATTATATAATAAATTAAATTCTTTAATATAATAGCGGTTATAAAAAGTATAAATAATTTCCGAAGTACCTTACTATATACGTTCGAATTTATCGAGAATAAATCGTTTAATAGCCTAAGTATTACTATTATATTTAGTCTCTAAAAAAGTACAGAGGTCGCTCTATATAAATATATTATAAATAATATTATACCCGGATTCATTATAGAAAATTAATATATATTTAATCTATATATTCTTAGAATTACCTTGAATATAATTAATAGCGAACGAAAGGGAAATATAGGGGTATTTTTAAAAATATATATTAATATTATAGAAATAGTTTTATAATTATAAGAAATTTTCGCTAATAAATTTAATAATATTATATTTAGAATAGTATTTAGTACGGATTAGTATAATTACGGTTAGTAAGGGGGTAATTATAATAACAGTTACTAATAAAAGGGTAATAAAGGGAAATATAATAGAAATACGAATTTAATTATAGAAGAGGTAATTTTAATAATAAAACCCGGTAGGGATAGGGGGGTAATTTTTTATGAAATTTTATTTAGTAAGGCTTACGAACGCGAACTATTTTTATTAAAATATATACGAGGGGAAATAATTAAGGAGGAATTTAATTATAGCGAATTGAAATTCGAATAATTATTATTTATACGCAAATTTATTAACTTCTAAAGTTTAGGGGTATAAATAGGGAGCCCAGGGTAATATAGGGGGGTAATTTTTATTATTATTTTCTTTAACGGATTCTATAATAAGTTAATATTATTATAATAAAGGTAAAGGGGGTTGGGTCGTCCTAATTATAATAATTATAAGGGTAATAGTATAAAAGGAATAAAGAATAGCTTTAATAGTACGAGAAATAAATTAGCCGCTACGTATATATATTTTAATAATATTAATTTAATTCTCGGAGGAAGAGTTATTAATTTATTAGGAATATAGGTAAAAAGTAGATTAAAGTAATTATAATTGTAGCTATACGTAGGGGACGGTAAATGAAAAGTTAATTTATAAATATATTAATAATTACCGATTATAATAAAATATATTCTATCAAACTTCTTTTATATTTATATAAATTCTATTCCTCTACTAATAAATATTATAGAGCCTTATATTAATTTAGCACTTCGGCGTAGTACCGGATTATCCTTCCTACGAATCCGACCTAATATAGACATTGTCGTAGATAATCCTACGCTTCAATTAACGAAAGAGAGTAGTAGCCGCTAAAGTGCCTCTATATACAAATTCTTAGCCTCCTAATACTTATACTCAAAGCCGGCTATTAAAAGTCCTTTATTTTAATAAGGAAGTATTTTGCTATAGAAACTAGTAGAAAAAATACTTCTATTCTACCATTAATTACCCGGATAAACCGGTCGCCACTATTGGTCGCCACCCCTGCAAATTCATTGCACTAACCTTTTAAATGCCTGTAGAGGTGTAATCAATATGCAACTCCAAGCGGCAGAACTTGCTCCATTTGTTTTTTTTTTCCCACCTTTGGTGGGGTTCTCCCTGCCCTTCCACGTTGGACTAGGGAGTACCCTGTACATAGATAGCGAGTCCGGGGAAAAATTGGAAGGACCAATCAGTAGATTTAGAAGAAACAGCGCTAGACCACATAGGGCGCTTGTTAATCTCGAGCTCAATGTGCAGATTGTCAGGGTCGCTTTCCCGTCAGGAACGGGCCAGGAACAAGCAAGACATGCCAGGAACAGGTGCCCCTGTTGAATGGTCCCTTCCCCCATCCCGGCCGTCAGTGGCCTTTCCTTTTTACTTTCTTTCCCTTCTTTTCTCCGTTTTCCGCAGCAATCGGGATTCATATGTCCATCGCCGGCATCATCTGAGTCGGTGTTGCAGAACCCGCCGCGACGGCGGTTCGCCCCTCTTGTTTAGTTGTGTTCTATCACTTATACGGCTCTGTCCGGCCCGAGGTCATTCATTCCCCCCTTTGATTGATTCGTTAGCAACCCAATCATGACCGAATCCCGTTCATTCGCATTGTGCAAAACACAACCGCTGACGCGGTCCAACCTCTGGATATCTCGCTTGTCCTTCCTCGCCCTCCATGTTCTCTACTGCGCAACCGCAACCCATGCTGCCACGACCACAGTCTGGGCCACCCCTCACGACAGCTACTCCTCCTCGATCGGCGTTCTCGGCTGCAAAGTCGATACCGACCGCATCGCCTATTGGCCCGGCTCGGTCGACTGCAACAACCTCTGCGTCTCTCTCTCCTACGGCGACCGTACTGTGAAGCTCCTGCGCGTCGACCAATCCCAGGGCGCTCATGACATCAGCTACGATGCCTGGAACTATCTTGTCACGGGCCACGGGGCCAACGATCGGCCGGCCGTCGGTGGGCCCATCGAAATGCAGGCGGAGGAGTTGGACGCTTCCGAGTGCAAGGACTTGATCCACACAGAGGGACACAAGCTTCCGCTGTCGGCGGCCAACAGCATGAACTTCTTGGCGAGCTGCCTCGACCACAAGGACGGCAGCTGGGTGGGCGAAAACCACATTCTTTACAACATTCTCGACTCAATTTGCACGTGGGGATATGACGAGCCGTGCGAGCTGAACTGGCCGAGTGAGAACCAAGCTCAGTGCAAGCATGCTTTGGGCACGCCGAACCCGCTGAAGGATGATCCCGTCTACGATATCAAGTATCCTTCGGGCAATAAGGTTATCGCTGGGTCGGGAGAGGTGGTGAAAACGGGAGGGACTCCGTGGGGCGATGTGGGAGGTACTGGCCAGGAGAATGCCGCTGCGAGAGGTCTGATTGGGAGCAGCTCGGCGACACCTTTGATTGTTTGGATCATGACCCTTATGAGCTGCGGGGCTTTATGTTGGGTCTGACGATGCTTCGTTTCGTACGAGTTGGATAGTTGGCGGGCTTTGTTTGCTTCGATTCTGAGATACCCCCTTTAGCACGTTGCGGAATGGATTCGTTGTTTTCTTTCTTGGTTGAGTTGGCTCTGGGATTTTACTAAACATCTGGCCGGTCACAAATCAGCGGAAACCGAGATAACACCTTCCACCGGCGGCACCGTGACAACCACCGTTTCGCTCATTTGCCCTCCTCGGTAGGCATACGTAAACGTCCAACCAGACGCCGCAGCCCCATGATTGCCCTCCTTATCCACCACTACAATCCCACTTTGCACACTGGGATATTTCCTCACCATCCTTCTTACCGCATCTTCAGCCGCCTCTGTCGGGGTCATGCCCCTTCTCAAGCTTTCTACAGCTTGATAGCAAGGAAGAAAGCGCATCATTATATCCCCATCTCCCGTAGCACCGCAACCACCCACCTCCCCATCAACATACGCACCGCTGCCCACAATCGGTCCATCGCCAACCCTCCCCGGGATCTTGTGTGAAGCACCATTTGTCGAAGACCCAGCGGCCATCCTCCCATTCTTCCCAATCGCAATCATAGATATAGTATCATGCCCACCACTCTTCTCTCCCAACTGGTTATTAGACTCTCCAAGACCCCCATCAGCCCCCAAGTCCTTTTCCGGAACCGGCACAAAAGGCCCACACCCTCCTCCCTCCCTTTCACCCTTCCCTTCAACCACAACCACATTCCTCCTGTACGACCCCTTTTTACACCCTTCCCTCTTCCAGTACTCACAAACCCCCCTCGACTCCTCCGTCCCCAAATCCTCTTCCGTAAACCCGTTCTCCATCGCAAACTCTGTTGCCTGATCGCCCGTCAGAAGCGAATGTCTTGTATACAGCAACACCCGCTTCGCAACGGCAATCGCGTCCCGCACCCGCCGTAGATTGGCCACCGCGCCCGAGTCCAGCGTGTCTCCGTCCATGAGCAGCGCATCTAGCGTGGTTTCGCAGTTTTCGTCGGGCGAGCCGCCATAGCCGACGGTGCCGTCACATTGGAGACGTTCGCATGTGGAACAGCCAGCTACGATGGCATTGATTGCATCTAGACGGGGATTGGGGTCTGGAAGTGATGGTGGGGAGGTGAGGTTAAGGAAGGCGGAATCGGTGGCGGAGGTGAAGGCCCCGCCCCAGGTGTTGATGATAAAGGGGAGGCCCGGGGTGTTGTGCCAGTTTAGATCGGGCTTGGATATGGTGGTGGAGCTGGGGTTAGAAGAGGTTAGGGGATGCTGGGACTTTTGAGAGGCGAGGGTGGGAGTAGTTGTTGTGAAGAGAGCGAGGAGAGAAAGGATGGTTGTTAGGGGGACGCGGTTCGGCGGAGGGGTCATGATTGATGCGGGGGATGACCGCGGGCAAAAGTGAAAAGATTAAATGGAAGTGCGGTTTGAACACTCGGTGCAGGCTACTGGGTAACGTTACTTTGTGGTCTTAAAACTTTTTTGAAATGTAGCTGAAAAATGCCAAGTGAAAGTGAGAAAGTGAGAAGAGATTCGGAAGCGGGGGAGGTCGGGAATCTTTTCCCTTTCTGGATGATGGTGGTCGGAGGATGGTAGCAAACACACTTTCAACCCTAACCCTTCCCCTCCATCCACTCTACCTCAGGGGTTTGTTTACTTGCGAATGTGATCCAGAGCTCTTGGCGTCCTTTTCTTTCTGGTCTAGCCTTGTGGCTTTTGATCCTACAATCCCGTCGAGATGCAACCTCCATTCGCGATCACACAACACGTGAAGCGCGCCACTAAGCACAAGGCCTACAGTATGTTACAAGGCGTCACCCGGAAGCCGGCGTACCCCTCATGTACCCCAACCTTCTCTTTGGTGATTCGCACCTTCCATTTTGAAGAAATTGCCATGATAAAGGGGTAAGAATGGCTGTTCCCATCGCGACCTTGCCCTATTCCCGCAATGTGGCGAGCTATAGGCCGAAATACTCGATACAATATGTTATCGTCGAAGGACCCGACAGAAAATGAGATCATCTCGCCCATCTCGCCAGGCGAACCATCAGTTTACCACGCCCATGACCATGGCTACTCTGACGATGAACCACTACCAACACATCCATCGTTCAAATCCAAGCTTCACAAGCTCATCCCCAGTCGAGACACGTATGTTGACCATTCCACTCTCTCCCCTGGGCGTCACCACCTAACCATCACCACATCATACATATCAGGTACTGGGGTTCCCTAACCTACAACCTCCTCGCCTTCCTCCTCCCCGCCCTCTACCAAACCCTCTCCAAGCTGTGGATCGCCCAGATCGACTCCTCCTCCGTCGTCCTCACCGACATCTACACCTACATCTCCACCATCGCCGAAGTGCTCAACGAAGGCCTTCCCCGCATCGCGTGGCTCATCATCGGCAACTCGGCCGCGTACTCCCTCACCACCCGCTTATCGCTCTCCTACACTTTGATCGTTTTCCAGACCGCCATGGGCCTGCTCATGACGGTCATCTTCATCGGCGCCGCCGAGTCCTTCGCGGCGGGATTTGTCCCGCCCGAAGTCAGGCAGAAGAGTCTGAGCTATGTCCGCGTATCGGCGGCGGTGGCGCTGACGAGCGCCGTGCAGACGGCGGTGGCAAGCTGTACGAGGGCGATGGATTGGCCGGATGTACCGCTGGTGGTGAGCTCGGTTGGGTTTGCGGTGAATATCGTGTTGGATATGTTGTTTCTTTCGTGGTTCCATGTCGGCTGGACCACCGGGTACAAGCCGACGGTGTTGGCGCAGGCGGGAATTAGGTTGGCGTGTGATGTGGCGGCTGCTGGAGTGGGGTTGGGGTATTTTGTTTGGGTGGCGAGGAGAAAGGTGAGGGAGGAGGAGAGAAGCCAGAGACAGAGGGGAGATGAGCGTGAGAATGGTATAGTTGTTTGGTGGTGGACGGCGGGGTTTTGGATGATGGCTAGAGAGGCAGTTTACACGTTTGCGGAATCAGCGGTGAGGAATGCGATTTACTTGTGGCTGGTGAATAGGATCATTGGCCTGGGAGCGGATTATGCAACGGCTTGGGGCGTGTTTAATACGATCCGGTGGGGGCTGGTGATGGTTCCGGTCCAAGCCTTGGAGACGTCGGCCTTGACGTTCGTTGGACATCAGTGGGGTGTATGGAAGAAGAATAAGGAGGGGATCTCCAAGCCTGCTGCGAGTTGGGTGGAAATCAAGAGTGAGTGAGCGTCACAAGCTGTCTGTGGGCAGAACAATTTGCTGACTTCTTGAACTGTATAGGAATCAGTCGTCCGGCTGTCAACTCGGCTCTGGTCTCTCTGGCAGTTGAGATCCCAATCTGCATCTTCCTTTCCTTGTGGGGGATGAAGGAGTTTGCTTTCTACATCTCTAACTCTGAACGTGTCGCAGACATTACCAAGAAGATGTGGCAGGTAAGCGTGGCGCAAGACTTCTCTCCTCTTCTCTTTGAGAACCCGAGTACTGACCACGCGCGTGAAGAACATCGACTGGTGCTATATCTTCTACGCACTCAACTATCAGCTATCCTCTATCCTTCTAGCCACTGTTCCTCGGTGGTTTCTCTACCAGTCATTGTGGTCGAACTTGCTCTGGTCATTACCATGGGCCATAGTTGTCACGGTGATGAAGTTCAAGAAAGAAGAAGCCTGGACATTCTACTCTGTTATATTTGGCGGAGCAAACGTTTTTTCTTTCATCGTTGTGGTTCTTGTGCTGGGAGCTTGGGTGTGGAGACTTCACAATGGGATGATTAGAGTATAATCACGGGCACATCAGACGCTCGTGAAAATATGACACCATCGCTAGCATGAAGGCGTGCGTGTGAACTGTGGTGCGTCTTCACCTGATCCAAGTGTAAAAGCTGGTTATCCTAGATTGCATAATGTTCAAGGCTTTCTCAACAATTTTAACCATATACAATCTTACTTGATTTCCCTCAATGATTGACCTTCCCTCTTGTATAGCCAGTCCTCGGCGCCCAAGCTGACATTCAGTCGCTGTGAACTGCATCAATACTTGCCGAAGATCTCGTTGTAGCTCCAGATACGCGCGTCAGGGTCATCTTTGTAGCTCATCTTGACCCCCTCCGACCTTAGCCGTAGTGTCGTTTCTGCAATGAAAATTAGCTCTTGTCTCGCCTCAGGACTTGGGTCTCGGCCTGCTGCCCTAAGCACCCTGAGTCTCTCCTTTGCCGCTTCCAAGCCGTGCTTTGCCGCTTCCAAGTCGTGCTTTGCCGCTCCCAAGCCGTGATCGTCTAGGACGCCTGCATCGAGATCGATCCTGATCTCTCCGCCGTGAGAAAGCGGAGGACGAGCGTGATATCTGAGCCATCTCAATAGCGTACGTGCATGTGCTTTGTCCTTGGGCCCTCCCCTCTCCGGCTCCCATGTATCCGTATCGGCGTTGTAACCAATCGATTTGAAGAAGTGTGGCGTGTACTTCGACATGGCTCTGAACCAGGATTTATCTTCCTCTGACAGTTTCTTTTTCTTAACTTTGTCGTATGACCACGTTTTGGTCTTATAACCTCCGGGCAAAGTGACAATAACGAGGCCAGTGTAGCTAGCACTACTTGAGTTGCACTCAACTTTCAAGCCAATGCTCGAAAGTGAAACCCAATTCAGAGAATCTGCTTTCCCTGCTGCCGAATCTGAACTGGCCGCAACTTTCAAGCCATTGCTCGAAAGTGGAACCCAATTCGGAGAGTTTGCTTTCCCTGCTGCCGAATCTGAACTGGCCGCAATTTCCTCCTGCCCTGTTACTCCTCCATCATCTTCATCCTCAGTCTCGGCCTCATACTCTGCCATGACCTCATCCTCTATGTCATCATACTCTACCATGATCTCATCCTCTACCTCCTCATACACTCCAATGACCTTATCGTCCGCCACCATGGTCCCAACCTCTTCCTCTGACTGGGTCTCCCACTGGGCGTCTTCCTCTGCCTTGGCCTCTTCTTCTATCGCCGTGCAAACGAGCTCCTCAGTTGCTTGAGTGTTGTCTTCTTCCCCTTTATGGCAGCAGACCACCGAGTGATCTACAGCCGCCCCTGGTATCGAAGGAGTAGTGCTGGTGTCGGCCGGTGTCGGTGTTGTCTCAGAGTTATCAGCACTCGCCGTTGCTGCTGGCGTCACAATTGAAGGAGAAGAAGCCATGCTTGTGGAGCCCGTCGTTGTCATGGGTCTTGTTGTGTCCGCGTTATTGTTGACACTCGCCGCCGCCGCTGGCGTCACACCTTGCAGCAAGTCATCAACGAGCATATCCAGCGATCCCAGCTGACTGATGAGTCCCGCCCTTTGATCCATGAGCCTTTTCACCAGCTCCGAGTTTTGGATCCTTGGTCCAGTATTGGTGGCTATAGTACGCGAGCAGTCGTCGTCGCCAGTTTCCTTCTTCCGTTTCCATTTCTCTCTCTGGTTGTCAGGCCAAGTGAGCGGGATCAGGTCGCCGCTATACGTGTCCATCAGCATCTTTGGCGATACATTGCCAATCCTATCGGTGTATAGCGGGAAAGATGTATGCGCCAGTGCATAGCCCGTCGGTGGTCTATCCATATCCAAATCGAGTAGGCAGAGTGAGCCGCTGTTCGGAAGCATATACACGCAGACATCCACGCAGCCGCCGAGACCTGGTCCTGGCTCATTCGATTTCGACCTGTGTCTGTGTTGGTGTTGGAAGACGCCCCGCTTGTAAGGGTCCTCCTCGCTCGGCAACGTCCATAGTTCCTGGCGCCCTAGAGCACTATCATGCCTGGAGACCAAGTTGCAAACCGCTTTGGGCACATGGAGAACGTCCTGAAGGGTCATCTCTGCACCTTGTGTTGGATTGTCATCGGATCGGTCGCTGCACTCGACGGGGAGGGTGACGCGGCCGATGCCGTACACTTCCATGAGTACACCCTTGTGGTCTAGCACATAGGAGTCAAAGGGGGTGTAGGTTGTGAACCATTCGCGGTCTTTGGCGACGCTATATCCAGAATCAGCTTATCTGTGTTCAGAATTGGTCAACACGTAAAAGTGCGGTCCTCGGATGATCTTCAGAGGGCAATAATATTTCCTGCAATGATGCCCTTCCAGTACCATTTCTCTGCCTGTGCCGTCATTGTCATGATTTCTGAAACTTACGAGAAGTTGGACTCGTAAGACACCAGCCAATCTGAGCACAGGCGCTTCGAATGCCCCTTCCATTCATCCTTTCCTCTTCCCTCGCCGTTCTCGATCCCATTTCCGGACGGGGAACCAGGGCGAGACGAAGCAGAAGGTATGGTGGAAGCCATCGCAAACTTATTTCAATCTCCTGATAGCAGCAAAGCTGACCTCGTTGGCGATGTTGTGCAAGATTTCCTAAACAAAGGACTCGTACACGGGGAGGCAGAAAGATGCCTTCTTTTCCCGGGACGATGAAAGGCTGGATCCTGGGGGAATGCTGGATATCCCTGCTGGGTTGCACCGTAGCTTGACTGTAGGGAGAAACCTTTGCCCTGGAATCGAAGTGGATATTGTGGTATAAATAAAAGTTCAATTTGGGAATAAGAATTTCAAGGGAACGGATGTTCTTGGATGTATACCTAGATGAAAATGCAAATGGAGGTGCAAACGAAGTGGAAGCACTAACAGAAGCGGACTGCATCTTTTATCCCCCGTTGCACACGGGCCACGCCTTCCATCGTCGGGCCTCGTGCTGGGGCCCTAGGAACCAATGTAGGGCTTTTATTGCAACGGGATGATTGCATAGAGTGTAACCAAACCAGCAGGAGGGACTGGAGGTTTGGGAAACGGGAGAGGTTGAGGCGGGACCAATAGGCCATCACCACAACGACAAGCACTTTAAAACCCCATTCACCTTTCACCACGCACGCTGGCTCAGTGACCGGGCATTGGGATGCTGATCTGTGCCTTTTTGTTCTCTTCAGCCTGGCGTACCCCGACATATGTTATCATCCTAGCTCGCCTGCTCTGGAACTGAAATCTGAAGATTGCCGAGGACAGGGTCGCCTGGATGAAGAAGCTGAAGATCTTCAACTTTGGGCTTAACGTGTAGTGTATCTGACACCGAGAAATTTTAAATCGACTGAGGAGGAGAGGAGAGGTATATTTACATACACTATTCTACATACGCTAGACTATAGAAGGATGGGTTAGGGTTCAATAGGGTTGATCTCTACCTACCTACGCAACAAAAAGTCGTGCTGAATCGATTGGTTGTCTTCACTCCATGAGAGGATCTTCCTTGGAGTTGAAAGCTGACAGCAGGCAGAGCTTTACCCGCACTGTTGCAGCACGGTTGCAGGGGGGCTGCTTACCTCTACATACACTAGTACACAGTATACTTACCTAGCCTGATTGACCCCCCGGTTAGGCGCTTGCTGTGGTCTCCCTTGCTGCCCTGGCAGTGACTTTTGCTGCTCGGTGTCGTCATGGCCGACAGCTGAATGGATCGTTCTTGGCGTTGGGAGCAAGAGGATTTGAGGAATTTGAGAGAAGCTTCCATCTGTTGAATGCTGCGATACGGCATCGCGGCCTTGTCACTATGTTGGGCATTTGCCATGTAACACTCCGGTGATAGAACGAGAGACTATCTGGATACCAGTCCGGCGTAAAGTGCAAACCTCATCCTCCCGTTCGGTTTCAGCCAGTCACACACTCGGTACCGTTTTGTATGTAGATGCGCCATTTGTGGCCCTTGGCTGAGACGGAGAGGGTTTGCCAATGCTGTGTGTGTTTCGGGTCTTTGAGGTTGTATGTAGATACATCATGATCGATATGTGCCTGTAGGTAGGTAGGTAGGTACCTAGGTCTAGACTTCCGTCCGGCGTAGATCGCAGGGCAGTGACACGACTTCCTCACCGGCTTTGTGTAGGTGTATGTAGTGTGTGCCGCTCTTCAAGTCTCCTCAAGCTCAAGGCTCTATCGATTCCCCTCCCTCCCACTTGAAAAGCATCCATCTGGTCTCGAGATCTACTGTGAACTTACAAAGTGCCTTTTTTTCTTTTCAATCCAGGCCTTCCTTCTGGCCACTCATGTCCTTATTTGTACCTGTCGACCACCGTCCATCCCCGTATTCTGCTGTCTGGTACATACCTATGTAGGTACCTCTACTCGTCCCCCGGCCGCCGTAGTTGCTCCGGTCCACGGTCCCGATCATCGATTTTTGGAGCTCATGCTCCATCCGTCTTCGACACCCGCCAATCATCAGCCCCACCTACGGTTGCATTTGCACTTGCTTGGCGTTTCCCGCTGCTTCTGACAGTGCCCCGCCTTTGCACCTGCTAGCACCTCCCGCTTCCAAGCTCTTACAGCGCTGCGCGTCCGCTAGTGCTTCATCGGGGCCTGGGTTGCCCGGTTGACGTACTGCATTCGTTGTTCGCTTCCATCTTTCCAGCCATTCCAAGTTTCCGATCTTCGAACATTGATTGCATTTGCTACCTCGTCCCGTCTTTTTCCTGTCATCCTTCTTTTCCTCCTCCTCCTCCTCCTCCTCTTCCTCTCCTTTACCCCCGTTATACAACCTCTCTCTAAGTATATCACATCTCTTTAGCCGCGAGCCTGCGCATTCGATCAAAGGAAGCCGTCCATACAACCCACGGGAGACAGCCAGCACAGCTAGACCCGTCCCGCTCTCTCCAACTTTTGGCGACGCCGTTGTTTTGAAGCATCCCCGCCCATCCAATAAATACATCATTGGTCCTCCCCGCCACGATCCGCTATCATCAACCACCACCACCACCACCACCACCACAAACACATCCGCCACAATGCCCGGTGTCATCCAACCAACCGGCTCCGGCCGCTTGCTGCTCATCTCCAACCGTCTGCCCATCACCATCAAGCGCGCCGATGACGGCCAATACACCTTCTCCATGTCCTCTGGCGGTCTCGTCACTGGCTTGAGCGGCCTGGCTAAGAGTACAAAGTTCCAATGGTATGGATGGCCAGGCTTGGAAGTTCCCGAGGCCGAAACCGCCGGCATGAAGCAGCGCCTGAAGGAGGAATACGACGCCATTCCCGTATTCATCGACGACGAGCTGGCTGATCGTCATTACAACGGCTTTGCGAGTAAGTGCAGCAGTAGCAGCTTCGTCACTTTCTGTTATCCGCTTCTTTGTCTGACATCGGTGCCCCTCCACAGACTCCATCCTCTGGCCGCTGTTCCACTACCACCCCGGTGAGATCACGTTCGACGAGTCCGCCTGGGCTGCTTACCGTGAGGTCAACCGCTTGTTCGCAAAGGAAGTTGCCAAGGATGTACAGGACGGAGATATGGTCTGGGTCCACGACTATCACATGATGCTGCTTCCCCAAATGCTGCGCGAGGAGATCGGCGACACCAAGAAGAACGTCAAGATTGGCTTCTTCCTTCACACCCCCTTCCCCAGCAGTGAGATCTACCGCATCCTGCCCGTCCGGGAAGCGCTTCTGTTGGGTATCCTCGACTGCGACCTGATTGGCTTCCACACCTACGACTACGCCAGGCACTTCTTGAGCAGCTGTTCCAGAATTCTGTAAGTCGGAACAGCCACTTCACTCCGATGTGCATTGATCGTTAAGCCTGTACTAACGATTCCACAGCCAAACACCGACCACCCCTAACGGCGTCGATTATAATGGCAAATTTGTCACTGTTGGTGCCTTCCCCATTGGTATCGATCCCGAAAAGTTTGTCGAGGGCCTCAAGAAGCAGAATGTCCAGCAACGTATTGCCGCGCTCACACGCAAGTTCGAGGGCGTCAAGCTGATTGTTGGTGTCGACCGTCTCGATTACATCAAGGGAGTGCCGCAAAAGCTGCACGCCCTCGAGGTCTTCCTTACTGAGCATCCCGAGTGGATTGGCAAAATTGTGCTAGTGCAGGTTGCCGTACCAAGTCGACAGGACGTTGAGGAATATCAGAACCTGCGCGCCGTTGTTAATGAGCTTGTCGGTCGCATTAACGGCAAATTCGGCACGGTCGAGTTCATGCCCATCCACTTCCTACACCAGTCCGTCTCTTTCGATGAGCTCACAGCCCTCTATGCTGTCAGCGACGTCTGCTTGGTCAGCTCCACCCGTGACGGAATGAACCTCGTCTCGTACGAGTACATTGCCACGCAGCGTGAACGTCATGGTGTCATGATCCTTTCCGAGTTCACTGGCGCAGCCCAAAGCTTGAACGGAAGTCTGATTGTCAACCCTTGGAACACGGAGGAGCTCGCGAATGCGATCCACGACGCCGTTACCATGAGTCCCGAGCAGCGCGAGGCCAACTATCGCAAGCTTGAACGCTATGTCTTCAAGTACACCAGCGCCTGGTGGGGCCAGAGCTTCGTTGCCGAGCTGACAAGGATAAGCGCAGAGGCTGAAAAGAACGCCGATGCGCAAAAAGAGCAGCATCCCATCCGCGAGGGTATTGCCAACGCAGCCAATAAGGCTATTGAGGGTGTAACGGATGCCCTGAAGTCCACCAACCTTACTGGCAATCAAGAATCGTGAGTGGATGGCGGCTTCTGGCAGCAAGAGTTGGGTTTATAGAAGATTTCGGTCGTTCGTCCTTTTTGTTTCTTCGTGGCGAGTTGAGCAGTGTTAGCGGGAACCGAAGAGGTTGCAATTGTTAAATAGGCAGCATTATGGGAAAACGGGAATTATGTTTTATGGAATGGCAACTTCTTATTGTCATTATTGACTTGTTGTGGTGCCCGGCGAAGGGAGAATGCCTAGGAATGATAAAAAAGATGAGCAAGTGAATAGAGATAGCATCAAGCCAGGCGTTGATTTAGGAACGCAATTTCTTAGCCGTCTGCGTGTGCCAAGTTAACAGTCAAGTGGGTGATAGCCGTTCGAAGTGAGTGATCCATGTTCACGTCAATAACGGCTGCCCGCCGTCTACCTATTTTCGGACTACCCATAGGATGGATCCGAGTCAAATGTATACTTCTGATGCCTCTAAGTGTCATCTAAGTCAGGATCGCCAGGACGTCGGCCAACTCTTCGGCTACACCCGCGCCATTAGGGAAATCCAGACCCAAGACCCCTGGGAAAACACTGCTTATCCGGTTTGGGCCGGTTTAGCTCCGCGCTAATCCGGAACCCATACTATATCTCTCCCATATGAGTGTAGTTGAGCATATGAAGGTTTACGTTGTGTTTGGTCTGATCATGATATCGACAGTCCTTCGAACTGATGTTTTGTCGTCGGGTACCTTTAGTAGATCCTTTCGGTAATCGATGACGTCATTTCTCCTCGCAGTATCACATCACCACACCCAAGCTCAGCAAGCAATCCTCAATGTTCGATATCCACACAAACATCTCCATCGCCAAATTCCAGTCATCGCAGTAACGGCTAAAGACCCTAATTCAAGCTCTGCTTACTCTTTTCCCACCGTACAAGTAAATTGCAAGCGCAAGTCATAAGATAATGCCCTCAGACCTCAAGGACAAAAACGGCGAGCCCATCCATGTGGGTGACCACGTATTTGCTCGCTCCCGCGGTGGAAGACATGAAGGTGAAGTAGAAAAGATTGTCACGAGCAAGGAGGAGGCAGCAAAGGAAGGGGTGAAGCATCCGCCCAAGGTTAGTTTAGGCCCAGAAGGGATCGGTTGATAGGATGCTAACGGAGATGACTTGTTGATTGATCCAGGCGCTTTTCACTGACCAGCATGGTCATCATGTGGAGCATAACCCGGAAGCGTTGCAGCATGGGGAATATGCTCCTGGAAAGTAGTTCTTCAACTTGGAAAAAGTATATCGCTGAGGGCACGTCTGTGATGCACGAGATAGTATACAAATCACGGATTTGATTGTGGCTAATATCAATTGGTCCGATGGTGTAGTTGGTTATCACGTCAGTCTAACACACTGAAGGTCCCCAGATCGAGCCTGGGTCGGATCACAGAAAGCATCTTTTTTTCTATTTACGGAATCAGTGTTGAACTTTCTTTTTAGATCTCTTCCTTTGATTTTTGGTGTTCCTTTTTGTTGCTTTCACAATCTAGAGTCCTGGAGGTTGAACAGAGAGACCAAAACACCGGTCTGCTACAAAAGGCTTCCATACTCCACCCCCTTCAATAACCCCCCCCCCCGCTTTCACACCAATCTTTGAACCAAAGGGTATCGAAGGAGGCAACCTCAAATGAACTATCGTCCTATTGTGAACAACACTGATCAACTGCCCAATCGTGCACTGATCCATCATCATGCCCACCGTCTGCGCCACCTGCGCGCAGCTGTTAGTGCTTGTCTATTTTTGTCCCTTCTCTACAGAGTCCACGAAGAACCATCGTACTAGTTTATCATGATTTCTAACCCAATATCCTTTCATCAGTCATGACTTCATGAACTGGACACCTGCCAGCCCGCATTCATTCCCCAAAACATAATTGCGCCCCATCTCCCTGGCCCCCTTTCCCCACCACTCAACCTAATACCTCAAGTCCCTCTTCAAATCCTTTTTCGGCCCATTCAGCATCCGATTAATCACCAACCCGCCCAACGCACTCCCGATCTTCCCCTTGGTATCCTCCCTCCCATCCCCATTCGCCTTCCGATGATCCGTCGCGGCCCCCACCGCCGCCGCCGCCATCGCCGCCGTCAACACCCTTGACCCTTTCCTGCCCGTCCACGGACCAGGCTCCTTGCGCACCCTGATGGCCTCAATGGCAGCGGCGTCGAGCGCGGCGTCGATGCTCCGTCCCCATCGGCTCCTGGAACGTGGGTCACGGCCGCTGTATCCCGTGCCGCTCCGGTGGCTGCTTCTCCCGCGCCTAGTACTTTCGTATCGCTCGGGGGAATACGAGTAGGAGCGTTGACGGTTGAGATTGGCTCGAGGCGGGTAGCGGGAGGAACGGGTACCGCTGCCGCGATCGCGGTCGGGGGAGTGGTGTCGTGATCGGGAGGATCGTTTCTTGTTGTGGTTGTTGTTGTTGTGGGTGTGGGTGTAGTTGGTGCTATAGTCAGTGTCGTAGTCGGAGTCGTCCCCATGTCCTCCATCACGATGGCGGCCGGTTGACCTGTGTCGTGCATCTTTATCTTTGTTAAGGCCGAGATTACCAAATGTGGAACTGAGTCTGTCCAGGGCCCGACGGCTTATGGAGCGATGGCGCTTGGGAGGTGCTGTTGTTGATCGGGAGGGACGGTCGTAGTCGGAGTGGTCTGAATAGTCGTCATCGTGGTGGTAGCGGTCTCTGTCTGAGCCTCGTCCTCGCCCGCGGCGTTCTGGCATGTTGATGGAATGTGTTCAGTGACTTGACGGAGACCTTGGTGTTCTAGTTTTGGGATGGGGTTGAGAGAGATCAATGTTGTGTTTGTCGTCGACAAGAATGACCAGCTTGTGTTGCAGTCGTGATCAATAGTGAAAGAAGAAGGATGAACTAGTGTCAGGGGTCTTGTTTCGGTTATCAAATTCCTCAACGGTGCTTTTGCTCACTCATACCGGTTAACTTGAGCTGGAATCGCCACATCATCTGCAGGTTGATAGGGAAACAAGTTCACTTGAACACAACATCCACACACTCAGCCCTAACGTCATACTGCATACACACACCATGCGGGTAGGTTACATACAAATTTCTTGGCCAGACACTAGACGGACAGGATTGGCTAAATTAAACACGGCACTTTGAGCCGAGACGATGAACATTCTCGCATCACTGGAGTGCTTGGTGCTTGGGGACAAGTGACACTCGGGCAGTATCTGTAGAGACGGGAGGCAGCAAGTTAGCGAGCACCAACTCAACATCAACCTTGACTCTACGACCCCGACATGCCGCCCGCTGCCGTGTGCTGGTCTTGATCTTCCAGGTCGCGCTCGCGCGGCCACTATTAACATCACCACAGACACTCCCTCCCTGACGAACAAATGATCTGATAGGAAGATGGCACTAATGATGTTATGATGGAAGATGACCACCGCCAAACCACAGCGATGGAGACTGCTACAGTCATGTAACAACAACATGGATGATGGTAATTCCGCGATGGATGAAGGTGGATTCTATACAAAGTCTCAGAATTACTATTTCACTAATGTATAGGCCCCGACCTGGAGGTGCTTTTTGGACCGCGGCAGATGCACTGCAAAGGGAAGTGGCCCTTGTCTCCAGCTGCCGCAGGCGTTGCACTAGGACAGGTACGTAGAGGTACCCCTGCAATCATCATCAATGAAAATGACCAATCACAATCATTTGCGCTCGCTGTTACATGGCGCCAGCTACTTAATAGCGCCAGCGAACACAGCAACAGGGAACCAACATCCGACTGCAGTGCTTCCTTCCTCTTCCTCTTCATCTGTTCAACTTTCGTCCTCCCATAAATTACCTACCTCTACCTGCCTAGAGATAATCGATAGAATAACTCGACTCTAACTCGCGACCCTGATCGGACGAATTGGGAACGGAAAGTCACGATACCGCCCAGGGGCTCTATCATGCTCATCAACGCCTCCATGGTGTTCACTTTCGGACAGGGTGGTCCACAACGGGAGCAACCGCGCTTATGATACGGTGGCCGGCGCGCTTACTCGCAGACGACCTCATGCCCCTGGCGAAGGACACCCAGCGCTTACGGGCCCTTCCCGGACCACTATCTCCTTGGGTCTCCAGTCGGCATATTCTTCAATAACCTGGTATGAACTACCAGCTTTGAGATGGTGTACTTCTACTTTCGAGAACACGGACACTGCCGAGCGCTAACTGTTATCCCATCAAGTTGACTATGTACGAACCCCGGTAGGTCTGGAAAGTATCGAATACATATAACGAGCTATAGTCTTACAGAGCCAGTCAGTTAATCCAATACCTCTTCAGAACGCTCGAAAGTGGTTCATCTCGCTCTAACCTCCAAAATGTGCACCTTCTGTTACACCCCCTACATCGGGTGCCCCAAAGGACGACGGCACTACTACCTCCAATGGTTAAAATGCAAGACAGCCATCAAGAACGGCCACAGTTACTGTCCCATCGGCGAATCCACCGAGGTTAGAGAACTCCAGAAACTTTCTGGGAATGTTCTGGCTTGCCCGTTCCATACCCATATCGCCATACAACAAATTGAGTTCGAGTTCCGCCAACGAGACGAAGTCCCAAGCCCGATAGACTTATCCGAGCCTTCTTCTCCCACAACGTCCAACACAACTTATGTGGCTTCTGACGATGAATCCGAGATTGAGTTCAACCAAGCAGGTCAGAAGTCCTTACACCGGCCTTCTAGCACCGCGGTCTACCTCGACCTAAGGTTTCCCAAACCCGGTCCTGTCAAGCGGCACAAGTCAGCAACACCTACGAAGACACAGACCACAAATATACAACAAAGCACGGATAGGAGTCTAAACAGCCAAAGTGAACCAAACACAGCCAGTATTTGCGCCAAGTCTGTTCCCGGCACAAGCAGCAGCAGCGGCAGTAGTAGCAAAAAGGGTCCGGTCATCAGTCCAGGCCTCCCAGCTAGCCCAGCTGCCTATCGTCAAAGTCGAAGCCAACCCCAGACACAACCACATGCCAAACTTACCTTGAAGACACTGAAAACCGAGGTTGATCCGAGCAATAAAGAATTGGGGAACGCCAACACGCTCTCAGAACCAGCCTACTACCCACCCAGTCCTCCTCCACCCGAAATCATTACAACGTTACCGACACCAGTTGACCAGGCCAGTCCATCCAACCCTGACCTCTTGACTCGCCGCCTGGGACCCTCGACGGCACTCACCATAACGATTACCAAAGCCCCAAAGCTTAACATTCAAAAAATCACATCTTCCAAGTCCGAGCCAGATCTAAAGTCAACATCCAAAGGCCCCGAATCGAGTAACTCCACCACCACCTCTACCTCCCACACATTTGATTCCTTCCTCACTCCCTCCGGTACTCTTCAACCAGACTCTAACACTGCCAACACGCCAACCACGACAACCAAGACCACCAGCAGCAGCAGCAGCAGTAGCAGCCTCCGCAGCCGCAGCGGCAGCCTCTTCACCCGTCTAAAAGACGGTACGACAACAACACTCCATCACTCCGCTCTAAGTCGTACACTCAGCGTCAGCGCCACCAACACCAACCGCCGCCGTCAAGCATCAGCCACACACCCGAAAAACATCGCGCCATGGGATCAGGTGCTTTTACCGGCCTCGATCTCCAAGCCTGTCAATCTTGAAGTTGGAGTGAATGATATTGCTACCAGGGAACCAACAAATCTAGCGGCAGACGGCATCACAAATTGCGCCCTGAGCTCGGAAACAAAGGCAATCGACGGTTACCTCCAAGGGAGGTTAGGGGGCCAGGGTCCGAGGACAGCGCCGTTGCCAGCCGAGATGGAGGTCATGATGTCGAGATTGGAATCGGTCGGAGTTGGTGTTGGGCTTGGGATTGGATTGGCAGTTACGCGTGATACTGATGAGGGAAAATCTGTATCTGGACATAAAAGGAGTTGTTCGGCTAACATGTTACAGGGGAGAATGGGAATAGGGCTGAGCGGCTTGAGGAAGAGGGGCGAATGTAGTTGATCGGGTGGCTGTGCGTTCTTGCCTTCGGGGCTTCTTGGTCGACGTTGATCAGATAGGAAACGATTGGTCAACCAGGTCAGCCTGAAGTGGGCATTGAGGCATTGCCGGTGTAATGTGACAGACCGTACGAGGGAAAATGCATGCCAAGTCTACCTCTTGAAGTAATCGACCGTTCTGCCTCGCCGTCGTCCCAACATACATCTCGATAGGGGTACACTTGCATTATACATCAGGTATGTTAGCTTAGCCGATGAGCCACCTCAAAGATGAACGCAATGAGCTTATAACGGGCGGTATCCCAACACTTGCTCCTTTGGTCTCTTCTCTTCTTTTTCTTCGTTACCGACCCCCTCTTTTACCTCTATTCATCCCAGAGTCTTCTTCTTTTCTTTTCCGAGCTAAGGTACCCTAGCTACATGCAAAGAGGAGCTTTGTGGTTCTGTTGCCATGGCCGAAAGATAAATGAAAGTGGAAAAAGGACGAATGGTGAAACGCCACTTTGGTCACCGTACGTCACCTCTCTTCCAAGAACTCCAATCACCTCAACGACGCACGAACATGGCTTTGCCTACCACCACCAGCCTCTTCTCAAAGCCTCCGGGCTGATCAAGCATTAACATACATAGTCACTCTTTCATCTAGACCGCAGCACAAGCCTTAACCTCCCATACCTCTCCCCAGCCTGTGTTGTCAAAATCAAACGCCAACTTCAAGTCGAGATACCTCGATGCTACCGATAGCCAGCAAAACGAATATCTTAATCTTGGACAACATTTACAACGCCAAGAGATTCGACAACACATTTGTCGGGCGGGGTTGGATTGGGGGTTGACCCTATGAGGGTTGGACAGCCAGGTATTTTTTATTGGGTTTCTTAGAAGGTCTTCTTGGTCGCGACAGTTCGGCTCAATGTCTTTCTCCACCTATACTAGAGGATCATTTCACACAACGGGACAATCAAGTCACAAGGTACATAACTACAATATGAATGAAGCGAATGCAGTTTCAATGCTGCCCCACCCCCCCCCCCCCCCCCCCCAAAAAAAAAAAAAAAAAAAAAAAAAAAATCACTCAAGGGGTATTAGTGTTCGTGCTGATGTTGCTGTTGGTTGTTGTATGTGTGATGGGATCTATACTAATCGTGGGAGGACCAATAGCGCCGTGTATGCTTGGGCCCATGCAAGTGTGTATACTAGGTGGTGACAGGAACTGGGTGGTGATGGTCGTGTTCGAAGGTACCCTCTGCGGCGGCCATGGCGGCAATGGGCCAAGGATCCATACTGCTATCCACTCGGGGGATCGAGCTTGTTGAGGATATCGTGCTTGTGGAAGCCCACTGTGGTGGGCGCTGGGCCGGAGGTAGCGTATTCGCTAAAGGTTTGGTTGGGGTTCATGTTGGCGGTTGAGTGGGTGTTTGTCTGGTCGGCGCAGGTGCAGCGAGTTGCTCGATCGATTAAGGAGGACATGGTGTATTGCAGGCATGAGTGATGTGAGACTATGCATACTAGGTATGTATGGGGTGATATAGACTTGCAAGGTGGTGGTTCGTACCGCCGATAAGGAAACAAGAAGGATGGTATAAATGTCTGGGTCGATGTTGGAATGAGCCGTTATGATCATGTGTTATCCCAGAAATTGATGTTTTGTACCCGCTCAGTTCAAAGTCCACAGTCAGTCATTCTCGCCTTCCTTTGACAAAATCTGGCCGAAAGAAGGACCATGCTGAGCCTGTTGGCATTTGCTGATCTCATTTGACCCAACCCACGTCACGTAGACAAGGCAGTTAGCAACATTTGGAAGCGTACCTACCCCTGGAGCTTACTTTGCCAGGACCTACTTTGAGGTCTCAAAGTGCTGATATCGATACACATCTCCGAGAAGCCATAAGTGACAAACGTAGAGGTCATTACACGTTTCCTAAGAGTCACGGGTGGTCAATAAGTAGACAAACATATGTCTTGCTACATACCTAGCTACTGAATGAAACCATAGAGCTCATTCCAATCCATCACCCATCACCAAAGTCTGCAGAAAACCTCTCATACAAGACATCAAACCAGCTTGAAACCATAAACTCCTGGGCATCACTAAGGTCTCCATCGTAATCGTGTCGTCAAACAGGCAGCTGTCCACCTACTCTGCCTTGCGTAAAAAATTGGAAAAAAGCAAAGTCATCGATAATCATGGCGAATCTTTCAAGCCAATCACCGTTTAATACGGCGAGTTGACGATGTCTTCCCTCTTCAGCCTCTGAACAGCCGGCGTCCGAGGGCCACCGACCCTGTTACTCGAACCTCTCCTCGCGGCGTCGAGGAAATCCCCAGCGATGCTCTCTCTTGTCGGCTTCTTGAGACGAGTGTGATCAACCATGTTGACCTCGTGTGGAAGTGCGACGATCACATTCTTGTCTGTACCGAACTTGAAGTCGTCGGCCTTGACATCGTCCGTATATCGCTTGATTAGATACGGTGTCTTCCTGCCGGTGAGTACCTTCCTAAGGTTCCACTCAATGATGTACGGACCAGTGGCGGTAATGATGCTGGTTTCCTCAGTTCCGGTACCAGTGTTGAACTTTGCAGGCGTGAAGTTAACAGGCTTGCCAGTCTCATGCGTGAACTGGGCCACATGCTCGGGAGTCAGAGCGAGACGGCGTGGCTGAGGCTTCGAGTCGGCAGCAAAGGATTTCTCGAATCCAAGCTTGCCCTCATTCTTGCCTCCCTTTTGCAGGGCATCGACCAGCAGGAGGTAGTTGCGGCACGTGGCAAGGACCCAGCGACCGTCGGCAGAAACATCGAGACCGAGAATGGGCTCACCAAGAGCGGGAATGTGTGTCTTGGCATTGATGCCGAGGCGGTCAAACAGACGAATGTCACCCTTGTTGGATGCCACGGCGATGTAACCCTTCTCGGTAGTCGCGAGGGCGGAGAAGTCGTTCTTGCTCGCGTACTGCTTGAGCTGGCTGTCGACAAGCTTGGTACCAGAAACACGGGGATCTATACGGTAGAGAGCGTTTCGGCTGATACCCAGAAAGGTAGGTTCGTGAGTCATCTGGGCAAACTTGTTTTCAGGTGCAAAGGTGACAACAGGAATGTCGTCATGAACCTTCCACTCGTCGACGACTTTGCCGTACTCGAGATCCATGCGATACAGCTTGTTCGGGTCACCATCTTTTTGGAGGACAAGATTCCGATCCTCATTGTGAAGCATGACCTTGGTAGGCGAGAAGAGCTCGCCCTTTGGCGTCTCGACCTTGGAGATGTTTGTGCTGAACTCGAGATGGTTGCTGGGCGTATGCTTGAAGACACCAATCTTGGAGCCGCGGACAACAAACGAGCGATCGTGCTTGTAACCAACAGCGATCGACTTGTTGGTGTCGGTGTCCTTGGGCTTGTATTCAACATGGTCCTCCTCCTCGTCGGTGTCGTAGTGTTCGCTTTGGGGACCATCATCCTCGGCATCCTCAAACTCCTCCTCTTCTTCCTCCTCCTCCTCGACAGGCTGGTCTTCAAGTACCAGATCATTGAATGCATCGAGAACGTAGTTCTGTTCAGTCTCCTTGATCTTGCCCCACTTCATCTCATTCTGTTGTTCCCAGAGAGCAGACGTCAGACCCTCTTGGAATCGGTCGAGGGTGGGCTGATCCTTGAAGCGCAGTAGCCACGAATAAGCTGAGCCATCGTCTGTGAACTGGTTGAAGATGAAAGAGAGATATTCGGGGTTGAAGACTGGGTTGATCTCCGAGCTAATGGGAATGCCGAGCCACTCGCGGTCGGAAGTCGAGACTTGCAACCAGTACTTCCAGTTGCCAATTTCGGAGACTGTTGCTGTAACCGAATCGGCCTGAAGGACAAATGATCCTGAGGGAAAGTCGTAGAAATGTAGCTCTCCCTTTTCGGCGGCCATAACCTCACGGGCCTCGGGAGGTACCGTGGCCTTGGGAGGGCTATAGTTCCTTTCTTTCTTGGCAGGAGTAGACTTGACGGGAGTAGACTTGGCGGGCGTAGAGGAGCCTGTAGCAGCGTTCTCCCGCTTGACGCTGGTGTTGGCTGAGTGTAGAGGCATGGCGTCGATGGAGTCGATTGATCGCGTAAGGAGGGCCGGGCTGTGGATGGGACTAGCCTGGGGAATCGGTGGCTCGTCAAAAAAGTCGAATTGCTGAAGGTCCTCTTCCGTAGCCAAGGTATTTGGCTTGCGATATTTGCGCTCGTACTGGCACTGTTTGGCGGCAAGCTCAAACTGATCGACCAGCGAGGATGAGATGGCCGTGTCGCAAACAAACTCGTAGACGTCTCCCACGTCTCCGCTCAGATCGCGCCAGGCCAGGACGTGATCACCACCTTCTCTCTGTTCAACGCGCAAGTGAAGGGCCTCGTCGAGTAAGAAAGTCTTTTCGTCGCGTTCGGCAGCGAGGATGTCGGCGTCGATGTCGGCGTCCTCACCTTCCTCTTCGGCGAGCAACTCGGCCTCTCCCTCTTCGTATACTCGCTGTACGACGAGCTGGTACTGGAAGTCTTGCGCAGTGCGACGAATGCGCGCCGAGGCGTCCTTGAAGAGGAGTTCGGAGTATCCCTTGGGAGAAAGTGGTCTGACGAGGTAGAGCTGGCCTTGGGGAAGCTCAACTAGCGTTTCCTGGTTGTTACCGGAACCAAACAGAAGCTTGGCCGCTATAGGGTAAAAGTCAGCCAATGATGGTACCGAGGCTTTGAAGAGTTGACGTTCGCGTAGTTTGGGTAATGTGATGGGTCAACGTTGCGTCGATCGTGAGGAAGGCAAGAGGTGTAGTAGAGTGGGCGCGTTGCGGGGGCTAGCCCAGCGTTGCTTCCTGGTGGATGCTCCCACCACTGACCAGGGACGCCAGCGATCATATGCCAACGGTGGGGGAGGGGGATTCGGGCTTGATCTGCCCATCACGACTTACCTCCTCTGAGGACAAACATTGCTGCCGTCGGTCAATATGATACTTGATTAATCGTATTGGACGTGATGATATGAGCTTGCTCAGCGAGCACCCGGCGTGCACGGTGCGTTGTCGCTGACGGTGAAAGTTGAAGGGAAGGAGGATGATGTCGAAGGGGAAAAGTAAACAGACCCCAAGAGATAGAGAGGATAGCGCTCTAATCAGTGGGGACGTTCCTTGCCTTCTGGAACCAACCTCGAGTGCAGGGCAGCACTCGGCCAGCTTCGACTCTGGGGGAGACAGTGTGTAGAGGTAGGTAAGTATGTACCACGCAAAAAGCTGCGTCATAACAGGACGGAACGTGGCGGTGCATAGTATTGCACGAGCCAATCAATATCCTAATCTTCAACGCCACACACGGCCAAAAGCCAAGAACAAAGCCAAGTCACATTGATCGATGCGTGCCGCCGCTCATGCTTGTCTCACTTTCAACAGGCAACAAAGGGAGGCGTTTGACTGTTCATGCCCTGCTAAATGTTCTGCAGCGTAATCATCACCAGACTCTGTTAAGAATCGTCATCCGGCACCACCTATCATGAACGGCCCTTGTGCCATCTTGTCGATGCCAGGAGATTCCAATAAGCACAAGCTAGAATAGTGTGTGATTTCGAGTCTCATCTACCTACCATTTCGCTCTTATCTACCATAACTAACCAAGGACAAACGCTCGAAAAGCAAGGAACAACTGAAAACCCGTGAAAACCCCAAAGGGCTGGTTTTCTCTGCATAGAAAAGGGTCGTGTGCGTTAAAGGTCCACCAGCGGCATCTCGGGCAGTTCCGTAGGCCGTGTCTTGGGAACTTCACCCGCCTTCCGCACTCCTCCCTTACCAGCGCCTCTTCCTGCTCTGTCACAAGTCATCTTGAGCTGTTGGCCTGGCGCCAGGCTACCATCATGACTCTGGACACCTCCGCTCTCTACTCCCCTCATGTCATCCACAATCAGTCTCGCCACGTTTTTACCCATCAAAGCGTTGGTCTCCATAGTCGAGATGAAGCTCTCCATACCAGATGTGTAGTAAAAGCCGGCTCCGACAATGGGGTCCTGGAATGTTACGCGAGGCTCGGCCTTGGGATACGAGTAAAAGACATGGGGATAGTACCACGAAATGGGGCTGACTTCAGCACTTGACTGGTCGTTTGGCTCGGCGATAAACGTCTCTGGGACCTTGACACCAAAGAGACGGCTGAGAAACTCGGGAGTGACCTTTTCAGGAGAAAAGATCTTGTAGGCGTACTCCTCCTTCTGAGTCTTGGGATTCACCAGCTTACGCAACATGCTGATGCTGAAGAAGCCAGCGCTTCCCGCGCCTGCCACCCCCGATGTAGCGTTATCAGTCTTGCCGAGTGTTGTTAGCACTGTTCCGGGGAGAGCTTTGGAATTCTCCAGACCAAAAAATCCGGAGCTGTAGCGGAAGGGCGAGGTGAAAATGGTGACATGAAGCCGCACATAAGGTATCTCGTCAATGTGGGTTTCCAGCACACCATCCGCGATGTTGATATCGCTGAATTGGTACGGATTGGCGAGGATGACATTGTCGAACTCCACTGGGTAGGATGTGTCCTCCTGGGATGACGAATGGATAGCCCGGAGCCTGTACCTGGCGGAAGTGGTGTCTTCGCTTCCGGTTTTCGCGAAAGAGATAGATGACACCGAGGTGTTGAGCATGATGGTCGCCCCCGATCTCTCAACCATCTTCTGGAATATTTGCCAGTTGCCACCCTGAACAGCTGTCGCGCCCGCGGGCGCCATCGCAACCATGGTATCGAGTCCATGGAGGCGTCCAATATTGGTGGCGTAGTTGACCCGGGTGCTGGCTTGAACAATGTCGTGGACATAAGCACCATAAATCTGGACTCTGTCAGTCAAACAGTCGACCAAGACTCGTTTCGCAACTTACATTATTCGCTTTTAGGAACTCCTCGCCAGTCGCCCCCGTAGCAGGGGCCAAATCGAGATCATATGCGCGTTGTGTCAGGGACTTGAATGGAAAGTACGGTTCTTCGTACATGCGCAAGAATTTGGAAACAGTCTCCTGAACGAGGTCATTTGTCCGCTTAGGGGTCCGGATGCCGTACTTCCAGACGATGTGCCAAAGCTGGGAGATCCAGCTGCTGCTCGTGTCAATCTCAAAGACAAAGTTCTCGCCGTCCCAGATTCCCATTTTAGGGTCGGAGCCTACGTCGGGATCCTTCTTTCGTAAGCCAAACTCCTCCACCGACTGGTTGAGGATGTAGTTCTTCTCGATAAAGATGCTGGCTCCCAGTTCCAGTCGGAGTGAGGGGTCATCATAGGGGTTGATGGTGAGAGTCCGACCACCAATATGATCTGTCTTTTCGAAAATGGTGATGTTGACATTGACGTTGTATTGTGCGGCATACCTGCGCAAGTGGTAGGCGGCGGAAGACCCGGCTGCCCCAGCTCCTGTGTGGTGTATTAGCTTCTTGCAAGTGGAAACGATGTGTACGGAGAAATCGAGACAAAGAAAATAATTCCATGTTAATAAAGACAGAACTGGAAACTCACCGATGATGGCGACCTGTCGCACCGGTGTGTCTCTGTCATCGAGGTTGTCCCCCTCGATGACATCGTCGGGAATTCTGCGGGCAAGAGCTGGCGATGTAAACAACAGCAGTGCCGCAGCGGCGGACTGTAAATCGCATGGCAGTCTCATATTATGTTTGGGAGCCGGCGATAGGTAGGTTTGTGTTGCTTTCGTTTACATGGATAGGTTGAAGCAAAAGCACTTTAATGAACTTGAAGATATGAGAAATAGGTGAAGGAGGGAAGCACGTATTTAAAGAGTTATCTGACATTGAGGTTGAATTTCTGACAAGTCGTTCCAAGGGAACGCGGTGTAACACAAGCGGCAGCTTTATTCTCAATACGGTAGAAGTTCAGTTGGTATCAAATAAAGAGCTCTTCTATCCGTCCCGTCGTGGTGAGCCGCGTTGCACGCTATCGGAAAGGGGCATGAAGCCGAACGTTAAAGTGATATGTGAGTACGCCAATCTCCTACATGTCTTCGCCTTAAACAAGGTACCGCTCTATCGCCTTGCCTCGGGATTACTTGAGATGTCACTAACATCCACATGGAATGGAAGGCCAGGCCACCTGATGGCGGAAACAGGCAGCTCAGTTACAGTACCTAGGTTGTGCGGGAGGTGGTCCTAGCTTCCTTCTTGTTCCATGCCGGGCACCCCACCGCCTGCCACCGCCCCTCCATGCCAGCACGACACGACACGCCCAGAAAGAATGCCAGCACTGACGGGAGCGGGACCACCTCACAAGCTGTAGTGTACTGGACCTACGACAGGGGCTGCCTGCCGCCTCCGCCCAAACCGTCGCCTGGACTGGAACACGACGGAAAAAAAAGCTAACGCAGGATCGGGGAACAGCTCCTTTACATGCCAAAGAACATCCCACCCCGCAATCGCATCTCTCCTATACAAACAATCTCGATATCCTCGTCCCATCCACTGTTAATCCGCCATGTCTGCTGCCCAGCTTCTCAACCCCAAGGCCGAGTCCCGGGTACGAACGATCCTTCTGTCAAGCGCCCCTCGGGGCCCGAGCGAGTTGGTGCATGTCTTGTTTGCTAACCATGTCAACAGCGGCGGGGCGAAGCTCTCAAGGTCAACATCACCGCGGGTGAGGGCCTCCAAGATGTCCTCAAGTCCAACCTGGGCCCCTCGGGCACCATCAAGATGTACGCAAGCTCCGGTGGCATCTTGTAGTTTTACTTTTGGCTAACAACAAGTGCAATGCAGGCTTGTCGATGGCGCCGGTCAGGTACGAATCCCATAAAGGGGGTGGAAGGCGGGGATGGATGCCATCATCACAGCATACTGACCGCCCTGCGATGCACAACAGATCAAGTTGACAAAGGATGGCAACGTCCTCCTCCGTGAGATGCAAATACAAAACCCGACAGCTGTTATGATCGCCCGTGCTGCGACCGCCCAAGACGACATTTGCGGTGACGGCACAACGTCGGTGGTGTTGTTGGTGGGAGAGCTCCTTAAGCAGGCCGATCGTTACATCTCCGAGGGTCTTCACCCCAGGATAATCACAGATGGTTTCGAGATCGCCAAGACCGAGGCGCTCAAGGTCAGCATCCCTCGTCGCTTTCGTCTGTTCCCGCCGAACACTCCTGACACTGTCGCAGTTCCTCGATGACTTCAAGCTCCCTCGCGAGGTCGACCGCGAGCTCCTCCTCTCCGTCGCCCGTACCTCGCTTGCCACCAAGCTTAGCGCCAGCCTGGCCCAGAGCTTGACCGCCGATATTGTCGATGCCGTCCTCGCTATCTACCAGCCCCCGGCCAAGCCCGACCTTCACATGATCGAGATCATGACCATGCAACACCGCACTGCCTCTGATACCCAGCTTATCCGCGGTCTCGCCCTCGATCACGGCGCCCGCCATCCCGATATGCCCAAGCGCGTTGAGAACGCCTACATCCTCACCCTCAACGTCTCCCTCGAATACGAAAAGTCCGAGATCAACTCTGGCTTCTTCTACTCTAGTGCCGAGCAGAGGGACAAGCTCGTGGAGAGTGAGCGTCGCTTCGTCGATGCCAAGCTGAAGAAGATCGTCGAGCTCAAGAAGGAGGTCTGCGGCAACGATCCCACCAAGAACTTTGTTATCATCAACCAAAAGGGTATCGACCCTCTGTCTCTGGATGTGTTGGCCAAGAACGGTATCCTCGCTCTCCGGAGAGCGAAGAGGAGGAATATGGAGAGACTTCAGCTCGTCTGCGGCGGTGTTGCTCAGAACAGTGTCGACGACCTTTCACCGGAGGTTCTCGGTTGGGCTGGTCTTGTCTACGAGCAACAGCTTGGTGAGGAGAAGTACACTTTCATCGAGGAGGTCAAGGACCCCAAGTCCGTGACCCTCCTTATCAAGGGCCCCAATGCGCACACCATCACCCAGCTTAAGGATGCCGTCCGTGACGGTCTTCGCAGTGTCTACAACATGATTGTCGACAAGAGTGTTGTTCCCGGTGGTGGCGCTTTCCAGGTTGCCTGCGCTGCCCATCTCAAGAGCGATGCCTTCACAAAGACGGTCAAGGGCAAGGCCAAGTGGGGTGTCGAGGCTTTCGCTGATGCCCTTTTGGTTATTCCCAAGACCCTTGCCGCCAACGCCGGTCTTGACGTTCAAGATTCTCGTAAGTTCATGTTTCTTCTTTTACATCTTTGCACATGCTAACTATTCGTCTTCAGTCGCGGCTCTTCAAGACGAGCAAGCCGAGGGCAATGTTGTTGGTCTCGACCTTGCAACTGGCGAGCCCATGGACCCTACACTGGAGGGTGTTTATGATTCGTTCAGAGTATTGAGGAACTGCGTCGCCTCCAGTGCCGGCATCGCATCTAACCTGCTGTTGTGCGACGAGCTTCTCAAGGCGAGACAGATGGGTAGGGCTGGAGGTCCTGGACCTGGCATGGACGGTCCCGATTCTTAAACAACTGTGTAAATCGTCTGCATGTAAGATACCAATTGAAAAACTAATACATGGCGATGAGAGGTCAAAAACACAACTTCATGCTGTCCTTCCTGCTTATTTCCTCACCTGGGGCTTCCATGATAATCCACACCTCAGGGGTTGGCTGGTCCTGTCTGAGCAAGGGCCATATCAACAACCCTGGATAATACGGGACCGGGCTGGAACCGACTCCACGGATCACAGCGGGGCCCGCTGAAAACTTACCCCGCCAAAATTTGATGGTCCCGCTGTTGCATTGGAGTTCGGTTGCCCAGGCGCCAAAAATTACAAAATTCCATGCTTGACATATTTGTGATCCACCAGATAGTATCCATTCCTACACCTCTGAACACTCTATTCCCGGACCATTTCAAGTCCATCCATCTTACGACACCTAAACCGGACGTCTATCAGCAAATATGGCTCCCTACGATGACTCCTCAGACGAGGGCGAGGATCTCGAGTTCACCGAGACCAACGTCCTTCTAGGCTATGCCGACGCCGACTCCAATGGCGAGAAGATTAGCCGCCTCGGTGGTCGTCCTGTATGATGTTTTCCTTTTCCAATCGCGGTTCTGGTTCTTTCCTTTTCCTAACCAAGAAATACCTCCGCAGGAATGGCTCGACGAAGAATCCCCGGCCTCGGCCGCTTTCGCCAAGTGCAAGGTCTGCAAAGACTACATGGTCCTCCTCCTCCAACTCAACGCCGAACTCCCCGATCACTTTCCTGGCCACGAGCGCCGTCTTTACGTATTTTCCTGCCGGAGGAAGAGCTGCCGCAGGAAGGAGGGCAGCATCAGAGCCGTGAGGGGCGTCAGGGTGGCAGTAGATGCGCCCACGGCGAAGGAGGACAAGAAGAAGACTACTGCCGCGGTGGAGCAGGAGAAGAAGGAGATGCCCAAGGCTTCCACGCTGGGACTGGGTGAGGCTTTGTTCGGTGCGAAGCCGGCTGCTAGCGCAGGAGGAGGAGCAAAGACCAACCCCTTTGCGTCCGTCGGTGGTGGTTCCTCAGTGAACCCTTTTGCGCCTAGGGGAACTGCTGCTGCAAACCCATTTGCGCCAAAGCAGCAGGAGACACCGAAGCCGCAGGAAGACACGACATCAGGACAGCAACAACAGCAACAACACGAAGAAGAACAGAAACAAGCCGAAAAGGATGACCTCCCCAAAACCTTTGCGCAAACCCTCTCCCTCAACAACACCACCACCACCACCACCACCCAGCAGACTCAAACTCCCGCCCCGGCCCCCTCCGAGCCCTGGCCAACCGACGCCTCCGCTCTCCCTCCTCCCTACCCTGAACGCTGGATCTGGGACGCCGACTACGAGACTCTCGACCCCACCCCTGCTCTTCCTCCTCAAAAGATCGAAACGATGGACATCGACACCGAAAGCACCTCTGGCTCCGGCTCAGGAGGAGGAAAAGAAGACAAGGACGTCTTCGAATCCACCATGGACGCGGTCTTCCAGCGGTTTGCCGATCGCGTCGGGCAGAACCCGGAGCAGGTGATTCGGTACGAGTTTGCGGGACAGCCACTTTTGTACAGCAAGAATGATGCGGTGGGCAAGCTCCTTCACGTGCCCGCTGGCGCCGCGAACGCGAACGAGAAGGTGACTACCACTTCTTCTGCCGGCAAGGGAAAGATTCCCAAGTGTGGAAACTGCGGTGCTGGAAGGGTCTTTGAGGTGCAGTTGACGCCGCATGCGATTGAGGAGCTGGAATGCGAGGAGGACTCGATGGAGGGCATGGATTGGGGTACTATTATTGTGGGCGTTTGTGAAAAGGATTGTAGCCCGAGGGGAACCGAGAGAGGCGTGGCTGGGTACGTGGAGGAGTGGGCGGGTGTCCAGTGGGAGGAGTTGAGTGTCAAGCGGTAAATCTCAAGGACGCTCATGGAGATAAGTCAAGGATTCGAGATTTTATTCATGGACATGAGAGCGGAGTCTATGAAAGGGGATTGTGGTGGATTGTTAGTGTCATATAATGCTTGGTAGTGAAAAGGCGTTCGGGAGCCCAAAAAAAGATTCAAGGGGATATTTTCGGGATTAACTAGACTATGCGAACCAAACTACTTCTCCGAATATCACGAAGCGAGAAAACATGATTGCTGGGAAGCTGAAACGGCAACAAGTTCATACACAAATTGGGCTCTTTGAGAGAGGTTCAAAACCACGCCGAAAAGCTTGCCAAACACGGGACTACCAACTGGTCATGTACTGGTCATGTCATAGTTTCATATTCCGACGCCCTTGACAAATTCTACCATGTATGCTCTTCCAAACACCATAGAAACCCGCAAGACATCCCATCACCGCCGTCTGGAATCCCACTTCTACCTCTTTCTACGCGAACGGCTGTCTGTTCCGAGACCAAGGACAGTGTAAAGTAGCTAGCAACAGCAGTAACGGGATAAAAACGTGCCCGTCCAGTTCCGTTCTTCAACATTTGTCTCAAAACCCAAAAACGCCAGAGCTTTTTTTTGCTACCAGATGCAAGAAATTGGGGCCCAATCACACACACAGAAGGATGTAATTATACGGGTATTGACATCAGGCCCCCCATTGTTTCTCGTCCTCTTCTTCTTGTTGTCCCCCCCTCTCTCCATGTTTCGAAAGAAGGGATTTTTGTCTCTTCAGTTCTTCAACCTTCTCCCTCCCTTTCCTTCCCCGTTTCGTTGCGTTCCTTCAGCATTTCTCGACACTGCCAAGTGTTGACGGCGCCTAAGCAGACTCCTCCCAGCTGCGCTTGATGACCCTCGCAAACATGTCGACGTTGACGTCCTCGCGAATCTCGGCCTTGCGCGCCTCGTTGTCGGCGTTCTTGGGGATCTGGACGAGATCGCCCTCGACCTTCCAGCCGCACGTCTCGGTGATGAACTGGGTGGTGGCCTCGGAGTTGTTGAGGCCGAGCCAACTCTCGAGCACGGGGAACTGGATCTCGCGGTACGACTGGCCGACGAGCTGGGCGATGCGGACGCGGATCATGTCCTCGAAGCCGGCGATGTCGGTGGTCAGGTCGGCGTAGAGATCGTCGCTGTCGAGGGTGGCCCAGAAGCGGGCGTACTCGGCACCCTCGAGCTGGGCGTTGAGGGCGCGCAGCTTGGAAACAGCCTCGGTGAGCTCCGAGGACGAGTTGGGGCCCGGGTTGGACTGCGAGGGGCTGAGGAGGTGGAGGGCGAGGTCGAACTGGGGCGAGGGGAACTGGGTCATGGCCTTGACGAGGATGTTGGTGATGACCTCATCCTTGATGCGGTCGGGGTTGAGTTGGTAGCTGTTTGGGTGGTAGGCAGACAAGGCTGTGGTCAGCAAAGACTGTACTCATCAAGGTGTTTCGGTGTGTAGTTGTGAATGAAGAAAGACCAGTCGTCAGATAGAGCTAATATTTTGGACATCATTCGTGGAGATTGTTCCACGATCAGATAATACATGCTAGGATTGCACATCATCCAGGTCTCTTTGCTGGGGAGAGTAGATGTAGTTATGATTGAAGGGGGTCGACGTACAGCTTAAGCAGCGCGCGGTTGGCGTTGCAATCGCAGAACTTCTCCTCACATTGTTGGGTGAGGTAGGCCTCGAGAGTGCCAGCGGCTTCAGGGTTGTAGCGCTCGAGACCGTTGATGATGGCGCGGATGAAGTCGGGGCGCTCTTGGGGATCCTCGCCGTTCATGATGGGCAAAAAGGTAGGACGGGTTTGGTTGAGGGTCGGGGGGTATTTATCTTCGGGGCGAGGGAGGAGAAGATGGGTGGGCGCGGGGGGGTCGGTGCTGGAGTTTCGGCGAGGTTGGCAGCAGTTGATGGGGGGACAGATGCAGAGCGTCGACTTGTCGAAGGGGCTCTCTTGCTGTCTTTTGCGTTCGCAAGTTTTCGGCCTCAATCCATCAAAGAGCGGATGGTGGGGTTCCTGCCGTGAACAACTGCCCTTTCATGGGGCTGGTTTTTCGTGTGTGAACGCTAGAGCCCGATTAGGGTTAGCTTCACTGGTGGGGTAAACATCTTGGCAAAGAGACATCGAGCCGAGTTGCGACGTCTTCGGAAAGCGTCGGTGTGACGTGACAGCTTCGACAGCTCGAGACAGCTGGTCGGTCAGGTGGCCGCGTGGCAGGCTCGTGCAGCTGGCAAACGCGCTGTTGCTTGTCGCGATCAACCAGACGTCATCAACTCGGCGAATGCAAACATTCAGGAAAAAGAAAAGAAGACTGAACAAGAGTCATGTTAAGAGGCCGCCTTGAACCCTTTTGCATCATGAGCCTCTTTGATCCGTGACCTTCTCAACTCCAGACTCCAAACACTTTCCCACCCCGAAACATGTCCAGTCCAGCCAAGAAACGCAAACTCACAAAACAATCTTTTTCTGTTCCTAGCAGAGGTCTTGAGTACTTTTTCGCTAAACAAAAGCAGAATGGGGCTTCCAAGGAACCATCTTCTTTGCCCAAGGAATTCGAAGGGTCGTCAGAAGAGCCTTTGAATGATGAGGAGCTTGCGCGAAAGCTGCAGGCCGAATGGGATGCTGAAGCAAGGGCCTCATCAACACCGAGGGAAAGTGGTGTTCCCTCGCAGCATGTGGCAGTGTCAGCACCGGAGCCTGTGGGCACAGATGCGGTTGAAACAACCAATGAGTCGAATCCACAGACAGTAACCGCACCACCCAAGGCTGACCGGCCCAAAGGGAAGAATACATTGTCACTCTCTTCAGCAGCCGCTACAGAAGACCAGGCATCGGCATCTATTCCTCTTGACGAAAGTCCCTTGACCTTCGATCCATCCAAGTACATTCCCCAGCTCCAGGAATCGTGGGCCACTGATGGAGGTAATGCGTCCTACGCCCTCCTTATACGATGCTTTGTCCTGGTTAGCAGCACCACAAGCAGGATCAAAATTGTCGATACGCTAGTCAACTGTGTCCGATTATTGATTGAGGGAGATCCGTCCAGCTTGTTGCCCGCGGTATGGCTGGCAACGAACGCCATTTCCCCACCGTACGTGTCTATGGAACTTGGTTTGGGTGGTTCTGCTATCTCAAAGGCTCTCAAACAAGTGTGTGGCCTCGACAACAGGTCGCTCAAAGCACTTAACGATAAGCTGGGTGACCCGGGCGATGTTGCATTTGAGGCAAAGAAGAAACAAAGCTTCACTCTACGAAAGCCAAAACCGTTAACAATCAAGGGGGTCTTCCAGTCACTAGTCAAAATCTCCAAGACTCAGGGGCAGGGCAGCGGTGATGTAAAGCAACGGATTGTTGATAAACTGCTCCAAGATGCTCGCGGAGGTGAAGAAAGCAGATATGTCGTCAGGACATTATGTCAGCATGTGAGTTGGGCCTTTCCGATCCTTATCACCTGGCTAACATGGATTAGTTGCGCATCGGAGCTGTCAAAACCACTATGCTCATCGCCCTAGCTCGAGCTTTTTTGCTGTCCAAACCTCCAGGCGCGAACATCCCGACGAAAGACCCAAATCAACTGGCAAAGCTGAAGAAAGAGGAGCTAGCCGAGGTATATGCAAAGGCCGAGGAAATTGTCAAGGCCTCGTACGCCCGACATCCAGATTACAACGACCTTGTCCCGGTACTGCTCGAGATTGGCGTGTCTGAGGAGTTATTGGTGCGATGTGGTCTAACACTTCACATTCCGCTGCGGCCCATGCTTGGGGGCATCACCAGGGACTTGTCAGAAATGCTTTCGCGACTTCAAGGGCGTGATTTCGCTTGCGAGTACAAGTATGACGGCCAACGTGCCCAAATTCATTGTGACGATAGGGGAGTTGTCTCCATCTTTTCCCGCCATCTAGAACTCATGACAGACAAATATCCCGATCTTGTCGCGCTCGTTCCCAAAATTAGGGGTGAAGATGTCCAGAGCTTCATCATGGAGGGCGAAGTGGTCGCCGTGGACCGGGCCACGGGCGAGCTGAAGAATTTCCAGACGTTAACGAACCGTGCCAGGAAAGACGTTGCAATAGGGACCATCACTATCGACGTGTGTCTGTTCGCATTCGACCTCATGTATCTCAACGGACAACCACTCCTCAACAGATCATTCCGAGAACGACGAGACATGTTGCGATCACTCTTTGTGGAGATACCGCACCATTTTACGTGGGTCAAAAGTATTGATGCGACATCCCAAGAGTCGGAAACAGTCCTCGAGTTCTTCAAGTCGGCCGTTGATAGCAAGTGTGAAGGTATCATGGTCAAGATTCTCGACAATTTACCAGAGCTTGAAGCCCTTGGGCCTGACGACAATACCGACTCAATAATTCCCAAAGAGCAGGTCGCTACCTCCTCCGATGCCGTCGCCGTCTCGGTCTCGGTCTCATCCAAAAAGTCCCTAAATGGAATGGGCAAAGGCAATCCCGCAGAAACGAAAGCATCTTCCGATACGCCCAACCCCAACTCCAACGAAAAGAAGCAATCGCGCCGCAAACCCCTCCTAGCAACTTACGAACCCGACAAGCGTCTCGACTCCTGGCTTAAAGTCAAAAAGGACTACATCGGCACCTCGGCCGGCGTCGACACGCTGGACCTAATACCCATCGCCGCCTGGCACGGCACCGGCCGCAAAGCCAAGTGGTGGTCACCAATCCTGCTAGCCGTGCGCAACGAAGAAACCGGCTCGCTAGAAGCAGTTTGCAAGTGCATGTCGGGCTTCACTGATTCCTTCTACAAAGCCAACCGCGAAGTTTATGACAAGGACGGCTCCTTCAGTTCCGATGGGGAGCCCAGGAATGTACATGTGGCGAAGCCGGGATTTATCGAGTACGCGGGAGGCAACCCGGATGTGTGGTTTGAGCCGCAAGAGGTGTGGGAAGTGGCGTTTGCGGATATCACGATTAGTCCGACGTACACGGCGGCGATTGGGTTGGTGCGAGAGGATAAGGGGCTGAGTTTGAGGTTTCCGAGGTTCTTGCGGAAGAGGGAGGATAAGGGAATTGAGGAGGCGAGTACGAGCGATTTTTTGGCGGGGCTGTGGAGGAAACAGGAGGTGAAGGCAACCGCGCCGCCGCCGGTTGAGGGTGGAAGGGAAATTGATGAAGCGGGTTTGGAGAATGAGGATGAGGATGAGGATGAGGATGGTGAATAAGACACTGTGATGATTCTTCGCCATTCTTACCACGTTCTTCTCTGGCAATGCCTCGGTTGACGCAGACTTGCAAATCACCATAGTTGCACAAAGGAGCGGACTGTAAGAGCATCATTGCGTGTACGATTACTTTCATTCGTGCCTCCTTGTTAGTATCTAATCTCGCCTGTTTTTCACACCTCCCTCCACGCCACATCTCCCTACTCCTTCCACGCTCTGTACAGAATTTTGCATCCATACTTTTCTCCCTTCTTCAACAACATCTGCCCCTTCCACTCGGGCACATTGCAAGCGTTGACCCACCTGCTGGGCTCAAGGCAGAAGCCGCTGCGCGGCTTGCGAGCGGGAACGCCGTCCACCGCGGGAATATCGATATACTTGCCAGTGTAAAACTGGAAGGCGGGCTCGGTGCTGTACACCTCAAGGTGGATCTTGGACTCGGGGTGGAACGCGCTGAGGTTCTTCTTGAGAGGCAGCGAGCGCGTATCGATGGGAACCGACGAAGCGTCCTCGTTAACGATGAAGCAGTCATCGATGTCGGGCTCAACAGCGCCGAGGGTGAATGGGACGTTACCAGCCTTGACAGCAGGGTTAGGGAAGGGCACGGGGCCGCTGGTGGGGATGCCGCCTTGGTCGACGGGGAGGTACTGGTTCGTGGCGAGGGTGATTATGGTGCCTTCGATGGAGGGGCCGCCGGTCAGGTTGAAGTATCTGTTTATCGTAAGCGTCAGCCTTTCGGCTTACACTGGTCCACCGGGAAGACGACGGAAAACACATACGAATGGTTAGTCATGTTGATGACCGTCTCCTCCACCTCACCATCCAACAGCTCCGCCTCATATTCAATACCAAGCAAAACCTTCTCCTTGCCATCCTCGCCCTTCTCCTTGCTAACAGTGTAGATCACCCTGGCCTCCACCTTTCCGGGAAAACCCTCGTCCCCGTCCTCGCTCACCAGTGTGAACTGGACGCTCTCACCACCGTCAATCTTGTCGCTCTTGCCCTCGAACGCGGGGATCTCCCTGACACCGACGGGCTTAGGGCCGTCCCACACCTTCTTGCCCCAGCCGACCACGCCGCCGTGCAGGTTGTTGGGCCCGTTGTTGGCGGCCAGGGTGTACGATTGCCCGCCGTTGAGCGAGTCGATCTTGGCGCCCTTGACCCGGTTGGCGACGCGGCCGATGGTCTCGCCGAAAAAGCAGGCATTGTGCGACTCGTAGGCCTTTTGGGAGGGGAAGCCGAGAACGATGTTGGTGCCGGCGACGTAGAGGGACTGGATGATGGCTCCCAAGGGGATGAAGGAGGCGGTTGCGTCAGACATGTTGGCTGTTATGTGATCGATAATATCCAATGCGCTGCTAGCTATACTTTGCTGGCTTGATGGTGGTGGTGGTGGTGGTGCTTGTTGTTGCTGGAGGAATTTGTAGTCTCGAGTGTGTCGCTCAAGAATGAGGCGATGATGTCATTGACGCTGTTTCACAAAATGAAGGAAATAATCACGAGATGGGAAGGCAGAGGGTACGAGGGAAAGAACGATAATTTGTATTCCATGGTGCTACCACAGGCTCAGTACCGAAGAGGAAAGTACATAAGCTCACCCGCCACAACTTCCTCCCGAACGGACCGAATGCGCTGCATTCGGATGTATAATTTCGTGTTGTGACACGGGAAACTGGAAGTTGTGATGGGTTCGATGCCAGGGCGACAGAGGAATCAACCTTGAGCGCCGGCCGGGGGTGTTCCACATGACGGCGGGGAGCTCTGATTTCAGCCTATTTTCCTGGTTGTTTGCGCCTTTCTTCCCCTCAATTCACCCGGCAGGAACCAGCTGTGGACACTGCGATTGACATGCTTGACAGGGTCTAGCTTGCAACCTGAAGGGGGCAATCACCTGTTTGGTGGGGGACTGGAGCGCCCTTCTTCCCCGTGGTGTGGGGGGTCTCGGGGGGGTTTCTTTGTTTCTGTGGAGGAGAATTGCGGGGTGCCTTGAAAGCTTGCTGGGCGGCAGCGATAGTTGCTGGGGAAACCACCGGGGGTCAATTTAATATCTACATCACGATCAAAACAATACCTACACCTCCCGCCCACTTCGATGTGTAATTCCAGAAATTATGCGTACTTATGGACTATCTACGTCTGCGCTGTTTCAGACTACACTGACTTTCCCACAGTGAGTTCCAGTGGCAGATCTGCGGTGAAAGAAATATGAGAGGTATGCAAGCGGTTTTCGCAAGACCGGGCAGTAAGGTACCATTCTCCGACCAGAACGCACACCTTTTTCCGTCCGAGTCCTTATTGTTCTATCATATAAAATCTATACCGCTTCTTCTACATCTCAACGCTAAGTCTACGCTCTTCTGTAACCGGTCAATCTTACCATCCGAACGTCACTTCACCGTGCGCCTCTTGTCGGACTGGAGCAACCCGCTCACCAGCCTAATCCCAGGCCTTTCCGAACAAGACCTGTTTCTTGCGATCTGGATTCGGTCTCCTTCACTTTATTCCAAACCCGGAAATGTTGGAAGATCTCCCTTGTGGTCGAACAGTTGACAGCACCGGGACTGGCTCCAGCTGTTTCCTCCGCTGGATTTGATTGTGGGGTTACGTCTTGGAGACTCATCGTTAATGAAGCTGCCCCTTTTTTCTTGGTGATTGAAATGCACAAGTCGATATGGAACAAGTCTGGCAGAACCAAATCATGACTTACATAGACCAGGATAGTCCTCCCTGAACGCTTTGGCTGTCACTCTCCTGCTCCCGTCGTTCCAGTCCACATAACTGGGAGCCATCAGCTGGTAGAGCGACATGAACCCCCAGGATTGTTGGCTGTCCACGGCATGGCCATGAAGCAGCTCGGCCCGCAGTCCACGCAGACCATCTCGAATGAGATTCAGTATAAACTCATCGGCCTGCTCGTCTGAAGATACAAAAGTATTCACATCTCCCACCTTGGGGATGTCGACTTGATGGATGATTTCAATGGGCAATGCGCGTGTGAGCTCGTGTCCAATGTATGACTCGGTGGGCTCTAGGGAGTGTCGCGTGTCGATTCTGCTACATCCCGGTTCCAAGGCTTCGGCAACAAACAGAACGTGACAGAGGTGAGCTTCACGTGGTTGAAAAACAGGATTTACAAACTGCACGTACTCCACTTCAATCGACTTCTCCGGGTCCGAGTTCTCTGCATGACTTGAGGTACCCGTATCACGAGGCCCTCGCTGGCAGTGGAAAGCGGCGCACATCTCGTTTTCAAGAAGCTGCTTGAACCTCGAAGAGACATAGTCTGGGCAGTGAGCGTAAGCGGTTACTTTCCATATTTCCCCCCGATTGGTCAAGTCAATCCGTCTTTTCAGCGGCGCAACAAGAGGATTGACAGACATTTCCAGTTCCAGCTCCTCTATAGTGATGTAAAGGTCTGGTTGGCTACCTGGATGAAATCGGTTTTCCACTTTCGTCATTGACAAATCGACAAAGGACCTCGGATGTATACCGAGCAAACTCAGGTTGGGAAGAAAGACTTTTTGTAGGTAGATAATCGATGGCCCGTTGGAAGAGAGCACGTAAGAGCCTCCAGTGATTTTGAGCGTGAACATGTAATCCCTTGGGTAATAGTCGTAAGCGCCGAATTCCCGAGACCGGAGGTGACAGAACAGAATATAAGGAAGAACTGTGAGAAAAAGCATGGCAGCTGAGCCATCCAATGTAGAACTAGTCATTTTTGACGGCCTCTTGTCACGGAGCATATGCGGGACGAATAGCACGACAATGGTGCCCCTCTGGGAATAGTGGACGGACGCGACCCCCACGGCCAGATCCGTTAGAATTTTGATGGCCGTTGTATGTTCTGCGTTGGTGCCCTCTCCAATGGGATGGAGCGTCCTCTCGGTCAGGTAGACTGGTTCGCTGAACAGACCTGATAGAACAATGGAGAGGCGAAGTCGATCGAGACCGCCTTCGTACTTGCAGTTATTGAGGTGAATTAGATGGAGTGCCGCACCGTCCATGGCGATATCCTTTGAAAAGATTCTCTTCGTTTGATTGTTGATGTTATATATATATTTTTTTTCCCAGTATTGCTGTTTGCTGTTGAATGTTGCGGATTGAATGCCGTGTAAGTTTTGTTTCGTCCGAGATGATCACACTGCCTTTTATCAACAAACACGGTACGTCGCGACCTGGAGGCATGTTACGAGTGCACGAGTCGCCTCCTCAAGATCATTAGCCCCTTCTTCGTTCGAGTTATAACGAGACGGACGCATAAAGAGGTAGGAACTTGCCTATTCTGGTACCGCGAGTCCCGAGTAAAAGGGAAGTGACGGGGAAGATCAAGGCACCGCAACATTGTTAGGCAACCACGTACTTGAGCAGACAAGGAGATGAGTCTAAGGGTAAAAGCATCTAATCTATATCCATTGGATGCCTTGAAAATGCTGTGATCATCCACTGCTGGGATGGGTATCGTTTCAGAAAGCTATGTAGACAGGGGGTCATGTTTTCCAAATAGAACGAGGGATTGCTGGCGATGGATGCTGCTGTCTGGTATATAGATGTCAAACTATTTAACCATTTCCATAGCGGGTTTAGCTCAGTTGGGAGAGCGTCAGACTGAAGTCCACTTCACTCATAAATCTGAAGGTCGTGTGTTCGATCCACACAAACCGCATCTTTTTGCCATTTTTGGGAATGGCGAGCTGACTCTCCATTCATCCATCGTTCTGGTTCGTGAAATACATAATGATGCGCATCAACATTTTTGTTGTCTCTTTGTTTATGGGCCAATGGTTGAAGGAGGTCGGCTGTATAGCGCACTATGGTTACGATGCACTTTTTGATCACCTGCTTCTACTTTTGAGTATGCGTTACATGGATGTACGATGCTGTTATGATTGTCACATCTGCTCTAAGAGCATCACAGTCTTCTGCCTTTGGAAGGTGTATGTTGCAGACGGCTCCAAGGAGTCGTCACCGAGGGATTCGGTGTGAGGAGGCAGCGTCGGTGCAGCCACAAGCCGCATGCGGAAGCGGGTGAAGTCACCGCTCTAACAGTATTCCGGGCCCGCAGCTTCCCGCACCCGCCGAAGTCGCCGAACCCTCTGCGCTGGCAAAGTACACGTTGCACCCGCCGTCTCGTCTCACCATCACCTTAACGCTTTTGGCTTCTCAAACGACCTTTCAATCAACCCTCACTGACACCTTCCATCCACTATCCCATAATCTCTTACTGACACGCTCACAACGACACCATTAACGATGGCTAAAAACGAAGTCTTTCAGTACTCCCTCGTCTCCGCCCTGATGGACGGCGTCGCCACGCACGGGACCCCCATCTCACGCATCCTGGATCACGGCGACCACGGCCTGGGTACCTTCAAGTCCATGAACGGCGAAATGATTGTCCTCGACGGCGTCTGCTACCAAATGAAGTCCGATGGCACCATCGAGCATATCCACACTCCCTCAGAGGTGATCACACCGTTTGCGACCGTGACCCGTTTCAACCCGAACGTATCAACACGGGCCACCATCTCGAACAAGAAGGACCTGCCAGCCCTGCTGTTGAAGCTATATCCCCAGAGCAAGAACCACTTCTTGGCCATCCGCATGGATGGGACGTTCAAGAGGATCAAGGTGCGCACGGCAGGCGGTCAATGCTTTGCAAGGGAAGGCATGCTGGCGGTTGCGGGAAGGCAGACAACGAACACGTTTGAAGCAGTTAAGGGCACGATCATCGGGTTTAGGTGTCCGGCGTACGTGATGGGGCTCAATGTGGCGGGTGATCATTTGCACTTTATCGATGAGGAGAGGCAGAAGGGCGGACACATTTTGGAGTTTGAGACCGAGGGCGATGTGGAAGTTGGAGTTTCGTTGATGTCCAAGTTTCACTTGGAGGTGCCGACGGAGGATGAGGAGTTCAATGAGGCATCACTGGTCCATGACAAAGATGGTATTGAGAAGGTGGAGGGTTAGAGAGGCTGTAACCAACAGGGACGGTGAGGAGGAATGGATGCATGTCACGAAAGAATATGATGATGATACAAATCAGTGCCGGTGCGTTATCAGCGCGGTTCTTGTAATAGAGGTCTTTGAAAAAAAAAAAAACATAGAAGAATAACGAAACAACCACATTCAATTCTTTTCTTGAATATCCGTATAGTTAGTGGTTGGTGGTTTAATGACTTTGGACAATTGGCACAACCCAAAAAAAAAAGAAAAAAAGGAACATGGTAACTCCCTCGGTAAGGATCGAACTTACAGCCTCCAGATTAACAGTCTGACGCGCTAGCCAATTGCGCCACGAGGGAGAACAAATGATTGGTTGTTGAAGAGAAGGCCTGAAAATAGCTACTATATAGCTGTCATTAGTAAGTGCTGAAAAAAAAGACGGAGGAGGTTATGGACTTCAAAGCTGTGCCAAAGTAGCGACAACAATTATGGTACGTAGTAGTTCAATACTTATGAAATAGTTATTCAGGGAAATATATAATATGTGTCCGGGTTGTCAAAACTTATTCCCTGGGTAGTAAAAAGCTGTTATTAGAGTGGTCTTACTGGAGTGAACCAAGAGTGTTTCTGCCACTCGAAGGGGTGATAAACACCTAACTCTTTGTCCGTGTTTCCTTGAGTCTCAGTTCGAAGCCGAACGGCGAAGGATGGCTCGTGTTATGGATCAAATGGATGTCTCTGGGCAATTCTCAAGCAATTCTTTGTGAGACCATGCGAGGGTTAGAACTCACAAAGGCCTGGCTCCGAGATCCCCGCAACTCCAAGATCACAAGCACTCTGACTTCGCTTCTCAGCCCGCGTACCGAGCGATACCATTGCCGGGCTGCAACTCCCGAACCAAGACAAGCCATCAGGACTTCGCGTTCATGCATTATCATGAAAGATTACGCCGTCGGGCCATCAACATCACCCTGCACCGCGGGGATGGCCTTGCGATGTAACGTGCACCCTAGAATATCGGTTACTCGAACATGGGTGCAGCCATAGCAATAAGCCGTCGGTTAAGTACACGATACTACTGTAAAACAAAAACCTACCTCATCCATGCGGCGCCGATTTGCAAGATAAAAAGCTGAATCGCACCATAGCTCTGACTCTTGCACCTACGAGGCAAACTCTCTCAAGATCAATTGGAAGTAAAGGCGCGCCAAAATGGTGCCCTCTCTGTACGCAGTCGGCCGTATCTTGGTGACAGCTCTAGCCATCATCCCATTCGCCTTCGCAGACCTTACTACCACTATCGACCCATCCTCCAACTGGGGAACCTGGGAAGGATGGGGTACATCCCTCGCCTGGTGGGCAGCAGCTTTTGGAACCCGTGACGACCTCGCCGACATCTTCTTCACGACCCAAACCACGAACCTCAACGGCGTCTCCCTGCCCGGGCTCGGCTTCAACATCGCGCGTTACAACGCCGGCGCGAGCAGCTGGAACAGCATCAACGGCACCAGCATGGTGGTCTCGCCCAAGATGATTCCCTCTCGCCAGATTGAAGGTTTCTGGATCGACTGGGCCTCCACTAGCCCCTCATCAGCCAGCTGGAACTGGTCCGCCGATTCTGCTCAGCGCGCCATGCTCTCCAAAGCGCGCTCGCGCGGCGCCAACATCCTCGAGCTCTTCTCCAACTCGCCCATGTGGTGGATGTGCAACAACCACAACCCGTCCGGCTCCGACGACGGCAGCTCTGACAACCTACAATCGTGGAACTACCAAAGCCACGCTGTCTACATGGCCACCGTGGCCAAATACTTTGCCGACCACTGGTCCACCACGTTCACGTCCATCGACCCCTTCAACGAGCCCAGCGCGAACTGGTGGAATGGAAAGACTGGCACGCAGGAAGGCTGCCACTTTGACGTGTCCACCCAGGCCACCGTCCTCAACTACCTGCGCACCGAGCTCGACTCGCGCGGCTTGTCATCGACCGTGATCTCCGCATCGGACGAAAGCTACTACGACCAGGCAGCCAAGACCCTCCAAAACCTCGGTGCGACCGCGCTCGGAAAGATCGCTCGCGTCAATGTCCACGGCTACCAATACGGCTCCGGGCGGCGCGACTCGGTGCGTAGCCTGGCGACGCAGTACAGCAAGAAGCTTTGGCAGAGCGAGTACGGCGAAGGCGACGCGACCGGCCGCGACCTAGCCAGCAACCTGCTCCTGGACCTGCGCTGGCTACGGCCGACGGCGTGGGTGTACTGGCAGGCGCTTGACGGAGGCGGTTGGGGTTTGCTCGACGCCGACAACGACAAGAAGACGATCGGCCAGCCGACGCAGAAGTACTTTGTGCTGGCGCAGTTTGCTAGGCATGTGAAGCCGGGGATGCGCATCCTGGATGGCGGCAGCGATTACGCGACGGCGGCGTATGATGCGGCGACCAAGAAGCTGGTCATTGTCGCGGTCAATTGGGGCAGTGCGCAGTATCTCAACTTTGATCTGTCCAAGTTCAAAACGGCGGGAGTCAATGGCGCGGTGGTGAAGAGGTGGGCGACGCAGATTGGCGCGTCGACGGGGAAGAGGTATGTCGCTGCTAGCGACACTTTCATGCGCGGTACAAAGTTTTGGTCGTATTTTGAGAAGGAGATGGTGCAGACTTTTGAGGTTGAAGATGTTGTTTTGTGAAATGATTATTTATCAAGTCAGCTTGTGGCAGAAGTGTCCCAGACGCACAGACTATGAACAAAGTCAGAACACCAAACGGCAGAACACAACATTGCCACAATTCGTAGGTGGAAAAAAAAAGAGAGGAGTAAAAACAGTTCATCGCAGTAAAAATATAAGTGCAATGTGTAAAACAAATAGAGGTAAGTGAGATAACGAGCAGAATTAAGCAACATGTTGTATCCGGGAGAAAGGGCAAAAAGATCCAAAAGAAAATCTCTTGACAAGAGTGGGATTCGAACCCACGCCCTTTCGGACCACGGAACTCGTAGAGGAGATTAAGGGTTAACCTTAACGTGGCGCCTTAGACCGCTCGGCCATCTTGCCTTGACGTTCTTGATAGTTGAATTCTGAATCTGTTATAGTCAATCATGCAAATTTGCTTCATAACTTGAAAACATCACGCGAGCTTTGCGGACAACCACTCAAAGGTTTCTGTATTTATAGCTAAATTTTTCATGACAGGATAAGTGTTCGTAGATTAAGAACCTAATAGAGTTTTAAATAATTAATACATTTGTTTCTTATAGGTGGACATTCAGCTTCCCAACGGTAGTGTCCAAGGGGTGCATGTAGGCTGGCTAGAAGTGGATTGAAAAGCACCTGTATATTGTGTGGATTTGTTTGAATGCTCTTTAATCTATTATTAGTCTAAGGCTCCAAGACGCTGAAAACGAACCGCTCTTCTGACTACATCCCGGCGAACACAGCATCGACACCGTCCCACAAACAGGCTTACGGCAACTTGAGGGCCTCCAGTGACACTAACCGTCCAAAGCATAGCCGCTGATATCCTTCGTCTTCAAATACGCCACCGCAATCTTCCGCAACTGATGTCTCTGCATCTTTCCAGTAACAGTAATCGGCCATGTGTCCAACCCCAGCTCCTTCAGCGTAATGACCTCCCCGAGCGAGAATCCTGATCCCCCGGGCATCATCTGAGAGAACATCTCGCTGACGTCTGTTGCCGTTCCGTTCTCGGGTAAGCGGTCTAGAATAACGTAGGGCATCTCGCCATGCATAGGAGACGGGATACCGATTACGCACACCTGCGAATTTCGAACGGGATTAGAAACTGTCTGCGAGTCACTCTGTCCATCGAACAATAATGCTTGAAGCTGAAAGGGGCAGTGAACTTACCTCAACCGACAAGTGCCTGGCCAGGAATGCCTCTATAGCCGTGGGATTGAAGAACCCGACAGAGCTCTTCAAAATATCCTTCATCCGGCCAACAACAAACACCATCCCGCTCTCATCAATCACTGCCAAGTCGCCTGTGCGAAACCACTTGGTGCCCTTCCTATCGCGATAAAACATCTGCGGCGCTAATCCGTCGAGATACCCATCGACATACGCCTCATTTGAGATATGCAGTTCGCCCTGCTTACCCCGGGGCACCACCTCCCACTCTTTCTCCTTCTCAGCGGTAGCCTGATCATTCTGCGGTGTCTGAGTTGTCTCCGACACCTTCTTCTCAACGTCAACCACCTTGACCCTCGTCCCCGGCGTCGCCGTTCCCACAGGCATCACATCTCCCAACGGCTTCGGCATCCCCTTCTCTAGGACACTTGGAGGATATCCCAGCGCGCCCACGCCCTCCGTCATTCCAAATCCAGCCACTAATAACACGTTCTCGCCAACACCCAACATCTCCCGCACCCGTTCCAGATACCCAACCGTGATAATCTCGCCACTAACGAATATAACTCGAATCGACCGGATTTTCCGCGGAGCAAAGTCCTTGTGTTTGGCCAGCAGCACCAGCTGGCTGCGCATCAGCTCCATATTGGTCACCCCGCACCGCTCGATAGCTTCCAAGTTCGCAGACACGGAAAAGACGCGCGACGGAATGACGACCGTACCGCCGTTGTACCATTGTATTAGCGGGGAGGTCATGGACAGGGCCATCATGTTGGCGGAAAAGATTAGGCCTACGGTTCCGGGCCGCGGAATCTCAGGGGCGCGGGGAGAAGAAGAGAAGGCGGTATGCGAAGCGATGGCCGCGCACACATTTCTAGTCGTTCGCGGTACGCCTTTAGGCTGTGAGGCTGAGGTGCCGCTGGTGAAGAAGATGTTGGAGATGCGATCTAGGCGATCGCGGACTTGTTGAGCTGAGACACTGCTCTCTTCGTCGGTGAAAGGTGGCCGGGGGGAGACGATGTCCGAGGCAAATGAGATCCAGTTACTACCGGATGTGCGGCGGGCGGGGGTGAGGGGGCAGAGGCAGATACCGAGGAAGAAGCTGCTGCCAGAGTCAGACGATCGATCTCCTGCCGCTGCCGCATCCTGCTGAAGTTTGTCAACAATCGCAGCGGACTCATCATCTTCAACAATCACCACTGCGGGTCGCAACCGACGGAAGTAGTATTCCTTCAGCTGCTGGTCGTCGGGCAGGCTGGAGTGAAGTAACTGGACTGTCCGACAGACGAGGGTATGGCATTTCAGTGCGGCGGCCCACATGACGAGCGACCATTCGACGCCGTGCGGAATAAAAGTGAGAATCATCGAATCGGCGGGGACGTTGTGTCTGTCGAGGATGGCTCCGAGACGAGCAGTTCCCCGCTGCATCTGATCGTACGACCAGATCAGCATCGAGTCTTGGTGCTTGGGATCGACCATGGATTTGGCAGGGCATGGTGACTTGCCCACGAGCGCTTCAAGGTGGTTGGCGGGCTGCCAGAAGGAAATCATGGCAGCTCTCTCGGGATCAATGTCGATGCCGTGCTGGAAAATGGACCATACGGAGTCACCGCAGGGGGGCGGCGGACCACCATCGAGCTCGGAGGAGGACAGGGTCTGGGTCATTGTGGTTCTTGTTGTTATTGCTGTGGTACGGTGGACGAGTCGAGATGCATGGGACAGGATCCGCGATTCAAAGGATGCGGAGGGGCCTGTTTAAGTAAGCCACAAGGTCAGATTGGCGTCGATTGTTGATCAGACCAACAATCGCCTAGTGACGTGGCTAACAGGTTAGCGCGAGGCTAAGTTTAGGTATGCTGGCACAAGGTACTTAGTAGGGTCTGAGAAGATGTTCGATGGGCGCGGTGAGGGTGACAATCTTAATCGTGGATCAGAAATAACCGAAGATCGATTGGCGCTGGGTGTAACGCTTGCCTGGTTTGACGTATACTTTGTACACCTTTGTTGTCAGATGCGACCAACCTACCGTAAGCTATTGGTTGAAAGAAGTACACGTGCGTAACGGATCTTTGTTACGGCCGTCGAGACCTGGAAGAGATGCTTTCCATAGCTGGGTAGAATTACGACAAGGGCAACAGAAAAGAACCTGTCTTCGAAGCCCTCAGTGACCATCAGCACGTGCCCAGCTCAATCATGAAACCATTCGTGAAACTTTCCCGCCACTTTCATGCCGCTGCCCTCACTAACCTCACTGCCATCGTAGGTTGTCATCATTGTCACTAATTCACCGGGAAAAAGCAACCGCCCATTGTCTAATCATAACCCAGATCAAGCACGTCCAGCCATTGCTGCCTCTAATATCTCTTCAACAATGTTTACCTCCCTAAGAGTAGGTAATCATGCGAACAGCCCAGCGTCTCTGTCAATGACCCTCAAAGATGTGAAAAGTTGAGACCTTCGCACCTAATCTGTTACAAAGCTGCACCACACAAGCACCAAACTCGTGAAACTCACAAAAACCGGTAGACGTGAGAGTACCTCACCAACCAAGATACACACCGAGGCAACAGCGGCAAGGTAGGTAAATGGAAAATGGTTTGCTGCAACTCAGCAGCCCTTTGATGATCAATTCGCTTGACTGCCTCTTATAAGAGGTACAATGGAATGAAAACATGACTGGGTATCTCTTGCAAACGTGACGCTAGACAGCCGATAAAAAAAAAGCAAGGTAAAAATAACACTGCAACCCGCCAAACCCAAATACTCAGGTGTCTTCTGTGTCGAACAGAGCAACAGTCTGGATCGCATTGACATGCTGGTTCACAACCGCCAACTCTTTTTTAGTCGCGGCCAGTGCCACGTTGATCTCCACCAACTCGATATTTGTTGCCGCCAACTCTTGCTGGGTGGTTGCCAACTCTTGCTTGGTCGCGGCCAATTCAGCACGCACGGCCTTCAGTTGGCTGGTAAACTCGCCCATCCTCTGCAGGCAAGCGAGCATGAAGTTGCCGCTGCCCTCTTGTTTGGCCTCGAGGAAATTGAGGCGGTTTCCATGCTTTTCCACAGGGCCCACGTAACGGCCGATCTGGTCTTGGACAACATTGGCGGTTTCAACCGCGGCCCTGGTATCCTCGGCGAATGTTTCGAGTTTTCTCTCAAACCGATGCAGGACGTTGGTTTGCTTCTTGATGATGATGGCCTGGCCACTGAGGGTGGTAGCCTGGTTTTGCAAAGTGATTGCTTGGTCGTCGACCTTGGCGGCGAGGGCGCTGTTCTTGAGGATTGCATTGATATCAAATTCCTGCATTGCAGGAACCAGCTGGTCCTGAAGTGCCTATAGAGAAAGATAAGAAAAGTCCAGTCAGCATGATGGAACACAAACTGAGTAGACCCAAGAAAAAAATCAGAATCTGTCTAGCTGTAATACTGCATCACCAGACCGGTCTACGAAAGGTACCCCACCGCGAGGCAGGATCCACAAACGCGACCTACTGAGCGCCATTTCAGCCGCAAGACAAGCTCCCCAGCCCGACAATACGCTGACCAAGCGCATGCCGCCGGCCAGCACATATGTGAGCCTGGTGATGCGCCGTAAGATAACTCTGGGTTCAGATGACAACATGAAAAGTTGTAGAGCTGGAGCCACGTGACGCTCGGACGGACGACCGTATCCGTGGAACTGCCCCATAGGACGCGGCCCCCCAGGAGAAACTCCTTTTGCATTTTGAGAACTGGCTCCCCCGCGAACTTGAACCCGGCCTAGGCGCTAAGAGTCCCAGACCGGCGGCGGGCATGTGGTCGAGTCTCGGTTTTACATTCCCACGGACGACTTGGCAGCATTACACGAGAACGGTAGTGTGTGACTGAACAGAGACTGGGCTGGACAAGGATGGACCTACCTCAGGAGATGAAGCGGCGGCACCGTCGATGTCCTCGGCAGCCTCGTGCTGAACGGCTTGTAATACATACTTGTCAGTCATTGCCACAAGAAGTGATGGTGATGTGGAGAAATATGAAGGAGTGCAGACGCAGAGGACGTACGATTAGAGGACCAAGGTGAGAATGCGAAGTGAAGATGTGATGAGGTAGAGGCGGTTGATGGTAGAAAAGCGACAACTCACCGACTCTTCCTTTCTCGCACGCTTGTGCGCGCGTTTGTCGGTGTTGGGGCGACCGCTGACCATGATGATCACTTGAAGTGGGTGATGCGGGCGGACGATGCGAGTTATGGGAGTCTGCTGATGCTCTTGCAGAGTAATCAAGTCCTGTCGAACAAACAAGGCGAAGACTTGAAACTGTCAGTTCAAGAAGATGGTGGAAAAGGAAGAAATAGAGGGGGGAGGGGAGATTTAAGTACTGGACGGAGAGACTGATCCGGGGACCCACCCTGAATAACACCGGCACCCAGCGTGAATGGGAAGGAAGAATAGTTAGCAAGCCAAGAGCCATTGGAGGTTCAGGTTGCAGGAGAATCGTACGTCTCGACATGGGACAAATATGGATAAGTGGGTCGAAATTGTGGTGTTTGCTTGCGAGTCGAGGACAGGCGTTGGCACTTCAGTCACTGCCCGGTTGCATCGCGGGGCTCCCGCAAAAGATACATCGAGAACAGCCAGACGGAGACACGCACACTGGCTCAATCACGCTCTTGTGGTCGGTTTTCTACAGGATTAACGCGGCCGATGCTCAATAGAGACAAACTGCACAGCCTGAGTGTCCTGTAGACATGACATGGTTGGGAAGTGACCGCAAATTGACCAGTGGGCTAGAGCTAGAGAGGGATATGGAAGTATAGCAGGCACAGTTGACGCAGGGCGGTGAGGGGGCCGGCAAAGGACGTGAGAGATGGGATGAAAACTAAGTCGAGGCAATTTGCAGAACGGTCAATGTTGACTCTGAACCCATCCAAAAGTACCACACCGGCTGCCAGGTAACGACAGCCACCCCGCTTAGCCTCCCGGGAAAGGGAAGGAGTGAAGTCTCTGCAGGCCCAGAACTCAAGTCCAGGTTGCTACAGGTATGACAAAAGACGATGTTGACGTTCTCGCCAGTGAGAATCCACCCGTGAAGCTACGAAGAATTGAACAGGAACACACGAGCCGCAAGCTGTGTCTCTTGTTGGTAAGGAACTTGAAGCTGATGCCTGCCTGTTCTGGAAGCCAAGCCTTCGACTTGAGGGCATATGCGCCTGTGTTGACTTTAGTGCATGCCTCTTCTGTCCCGCGTTATGATGGCAAGATAACGCATCAAGGTTCCATCTGCGGTAAGCACTGGTCATAGCAGCCCTTGCTACTTTCAGAATGTCCGAGACTCCAAGTGGGTCGACCCCTGGGACAAAGAGTATAATTTCCAAGAGGCAGCTGGGTGTGTCGGCGGCACTAGTCTCGTATCAGGGTGACCGTTCATATATCTCTTCTGCTGTCTGCCACAATCCGCTCTTGTCCTCATAGAGAGTTCAGCCATAAAAAACCCGTAAATCCACCACCGCCCATAATGCCACGGTATAAGCAGACAGCGGTCGTGTGCGGCATGGGCTCTGGCGCGACTCCGCGCTAGCAACCCTCACAGCGGGCCTCTTTCGAATCGGATGTGGTTCAATTCCTCATGCACACGGACGACAGCGATACCGAGAGCCATCCTCAGCTAGAGAGGGATTTGAAGCGGGTGTGTCTCTTTCGCTCCTGGTACAGCAGAATCACTCGACTAAGTGGATGAGAGCGATGTCGAGAGCCATCCCGAGGAGCCGAGGGACTGGGGTAGAGGAGCAAGTCTGACACTGCCACTTGTCTTTTCCATCGTCCTTTGCCCATACCCTATGGTAAGCCATCCTGACCCTGGAGCTTGAGTTGACCGTATATTGGAGGTAATAACCGCATCGTTCAAGAGAAGGAGGTGTTGCGGTGTTGCGGACGGCTTCTGAGCTTCGCCTGAGACAGCACCAGGATACGGGTGGCTATTGAGCCGTAGAGTAGATCGGCAGATAGCAAAGTCAACGAGAGAAGGAAACAACATTGTGGTTGCCAACTTGCATAAGAGTAACCATCGAGTCGGAGACATGTATTGATGAAGTGACGTTGAAATGCTGTCACTTGACTCTGCACGTGATGGTGGGGTTGGTGGGGCGCATACTTCCAGAGATTTGAGGAGACAAGTGCAAGGTAAAATGGATGCTCATCAGCCAGCAGTGGAAGTGTGATGGGTGTGGTCAGAGGTTTTGGAGCAGGACAAACAAACTCTCTGCCTGCCGTAACGAAACTAATGAGAAAGAGACATTAAAATGGAAGTTATACGGTGGCCCAAGTGTGACTTAGGTCGTTTATAAAACTGGTCCCAGCTCCCAGCTGAAGCCAGGTGACGGCTATTTTATATCAACGCCTCTACTACACTTACAAAATGCAACACCCACGCTAACCTTGAACTTTAACTTCAACCTTTCCAACTTCTTTCCTAGTCTCAATTCTCAGACCTACTCAACCTCCCGAAACCACTTTCTTTTTCTTTTTCTTTTTCTTTTCCTTTGTTTCTTTCTAGCCCCGGCCGGAAGGGGGGGGAGAGAGAGAGAGAGAGAGAGAGAATAGGATCCATTTGCATTGCTACCTTACCCCAACTCAAAAATTTGGAGAAGAACCAAATGCAAGGCACCTCAACCTATACCACCAATACCACCAATGCCACCAATGCCACCAATGCCACCAATGCCACCAATGCACTAATGAAGCAATAAAGCAATGGGAGTCAATAGGAGTTGATAAGAGTTGATGAGAATTCATGAGAATCAATGAGAATCAATGGGAGTCAATAGGAATTAATAAGAGTTGAGAAGAATCAATGGGAGTCAATAGGAGTTGAGGTGACGTTGCGGGAGACGGCTTATCAAAGTAATCTTAGTATAAGGATTTGAATGCCACCCCCCAGTGTAAGCCTAATGCCTACAGCTGGTTGAGACTTTTGTTTTCAGAACTTTTGGATAAACGACCCAAGTCACACTTGGGCCACCGTAAAGTTAAGGGAACCTAACAGGACTCGGAAGTGGAAGTGGAATTGTTTCCACCTTACCTAAATGGGAGCTTGGACCAGCCCGGCTTGGGGGTCCATGCAGTCAACGGAGGAATCCATGGAGCTCAGCTGCCGTGTCCGCAGAATGGCTTGCTGCCCCGCCTACTGCCCGCCCGCTGCTAGGTGGGTAGGTACCTTGGGTACCTTAGGTATTCACGGTATTCTACATAGGTGCCCCTGCTGCCCGGGCGTGTCACCCACTAAGTCCCTCTGCTTGTACAGCACAGCACCTCCTTACCTCACTCCCGTCAGGCCCGTCGATATTTTTCTGGAGCTCAGCGCAAAAGGACCCACGCCCGACCCGATTGCATTGCACGAGCCTCACAACATCACAAATCGACCCTTTTCTCCCATCTCTCCCGCGTTGTGCCCTTGTTCCTGAAGCTCCGTCTTTGCTTGGTCGTTACTATTCCGAGCTTTAATTCCAACCCAACATGTCTTTCGGAGGCCAAACACCGACCATCATTGTCCTGAAAGAGGGTCAGTCAGCCAGCCCCTCCATGATCCCCTCCTCGGTCCTGCCTTCTCCTTTGCCCCCTTTTTCTCCAAGTAGGTAATGATCACGAACTGACACCACGGCCTCTCCTCCCGATACAGGCACGGATACCTCGCAGGGCAAGCCCCAGATCATCTCCAACATCAACGCCTGCCTTGCCGTCCAGGCCACCATCAAGTCGACACTCGGACCCTATGGCGGTGACCTATTAATGGTGGATGCCAACGGCAAGCAGACAATCACAAACGATGGCGCCACCGTCATGAAGCTCCTCGACATTGTCCACCCTGCTGCGCGAATCCTCGTCGACATTGCCCGGTCACAAGATGCCGAAGTTGGTGACGGCACCACCTCGGTCGTCGTGCTTGCTGGCGAGATTCTCAAGGAGGTCAAGGAACATGTCGAACAGGGTGTCAGCTCACAGATCATCATCAAGGGCCTCAGGAGGGCCTCCACCATGGCCGTCAACAAGATCAAGGAGATTGCCATCAACACCACCGAGTCCAATCGCCGCGAGACCCTGAGCAAGCTGGCCGCCACCGCCATGACCAGCAAGCTCATCAAGAGAAACACCGACTTCTTCACAGAGAGTAAGCGATTCAATAATCCATGTGTCGCAAACATGCCACTTCTAGTTTACTGACAGACCTGCCTGCGCGCAGTGGTTGTCGATGCCGTCCTCTCCCTCGACCAAGAAGACCTCAACGAAAAGTTAATAGGCATCAAGAAGATCCCCGGCGGCTCCCTGACCGACTCGCTCTTCGTCAACGGTGTCGCCTTCAAGAAGACCTTCTCGTACGCCGGTTTCGAGCAACAGCCCAAGTCGTTCAAGAATCCCAAGATCTGCTGCCTCAACGTCGAGCTTGAGCTCAAGGCCGAGAAGGACAACGCCGAGGTGCGCGTCGAGCAGGTTTCCGAGTACCAGGCCATTGTCGACGCCGAGTGGCAAATTATCTACAAGAAGCTCGAGGCCGTGTACGCGACAGGCGCCAAGGTGGTGTTGTCCAAGCTGCCCATCGGCGATTTGGCCACCCAGTACTTTGCCGACCGCGACATCTTCTGCGCCGGCCGTGTCACCTCGGAGGATATGGAGCGCGTCGTCCAGGCCACCGGCGCCACCGTCCAGAGCACCTGCTCCGACATCCTGCCCGAGCATCTGGGCACCTGCGGCACCTTTGAGGAGCGCCAGATCGGCGGCGAGCGCTTCAACTTCTTCGAGGACTGCCCGTCGGCCAAGACGTGCACGCTCGTCCTGCGCGGCGGCGCCGAGCAGTTCATCGCCGAGGTTGAGCGCTCCCTGCACGACGCCATCATGATTGTCAAGCGCGCCATTCGCAACAAGACCATTGTTGGCGGCGGCGGTGCCGTCGAGATGGAGGTTTCCGCCTACCTGCACCGCTTCGCCGATCGCGACGTTGCCCACAAGCAGCAGGCCATCATCAAGTCCTTCGCCAAGGCCCTGGAGATCATTCCCCGTCAGCTCTGCGACAACGCCGGCTTTGACGCCACCGACATTCTCAACAAGCTCCGCGTTGAGCACCGCAAGGGCAACACGTGGGCTGGTGTCGACTTTACGAACGAGGGCGTCTGCGACATGATGGAGCGTTTCGTCTGGGAGCCTGCGCTCATCAAGATCAACGCCCTCCAGGCCGCCACGGAGGCGGCTTGCTTGATTCTCGGTGTGGATGAGACCATCAGGAACGAGGAGAGCCAGGCGCCACAGGCTCCTGGCCAGAAACTGCCGCCCGGTGCGGCCCAGAGGGCCTTGCGGGGAAGAGGCCGTGGCATGCCTAGGCGGTAGATGGGGGCGGACAAAAGAGAAGTCATGTCAAGTTAAAGATGATAACAAAACGTAATTTAGATGGCATAGTGTGGGAATATACCTGTACGAAGATTCTGTCAAGCTGGTTTTGGGCATTTGTCGGCGGTTGGATGATTCAGGTGACATGATGAGCCCACTGCCCGGTGCTGACCATGGGCTATTCTAGTGCATTCCTCTGCCTCCGTCCCTCTTCGGTGATTCGTAAGGTTGTGATCAATGTCAAAGGTTTTGGCAAAGGTGCTTCGAAAAACAAAGCTGTTCTGTATGTATGTACTCTACACTATTGATGCGTTTTTCGTGTATATTGTGAAAGCATCGGAGAATCCTCCCACATCAGAATCCACGCTGGCAGCAAGCGAGAGTCTGCACAACGATGTTCAAAAAACATAACACAACACGATCCCCCCCTTCTATGTACCACTCTATTGACCAGTGTTCGTGTATCTTACATGCCTCTTGCAATTCTTCCAGCCGTTCTATCTTTGTTCGTTGTTGTTCTCGGTATTAATGTCATCAGAGAGCAAGTGGCTCACATCCATCTTGCCACTTCCATTTACACTCCCACTCCCACTTCCATTCGCACTCCCACTACCTCCACCTCCAGCTCCTCCATTCCCTGTTGCCGTTGTCGTCATCGTTGTTGTTGTTGTTGTTGTCGTCTTCGCCTCTGCTGCAGAGCCATTACCTGCACTTTCACTCATTTCCTTCTCCTCTCCAGCTACTACTGGTTCGGGATTCGGTGCCGTCGCCGTCGGTGGAGTAAGTGATTCTGTTTCTGTCGCCGCTTTCCCAGTAGGAGTTGCGCCAATTTCTGTGCCTGTCGTGTCCATCACATCTGGATCTGGATTGTTGGGCCCTCCTGGGTCATTGTGAGCAGCAGCAGCTACACCAGAGCCAGCAGCAGCACTGGAACCACTACGATTCCCAAGAGCAGGATCCATCATATCAGCGCGGTTGTTGGTGGCGGCTGCAGAAAAATCTTGCCAATAGTGCTGCTCATCTCGGTCCCAATTTTGGTGGTCTTCCTGGTGGTCCTGGTCCTGATCCTGATCGCGTTCCTCCTCCTCCTCCTCCTCTCCCATAGCCACGTCATTTTCGGCACAAGCCAGGTTTAGGCTTGAACGTACGCCATCCTCCTCCTCGTTCAAACCCATCTCGATATCATTATCATCGCGTTCTGGCGTTGCCATTGCCCCTGGTGGGGATACCGGCGAGGTTGGTTCTTCTCCTCCTGCAGCGTTCACACCTGCGAAAGCGGGCTCTTCATCCTTTGCAGCTCTGACTTGCTCCCGGTGATCATGTTGGTGATGTTCCAGATCCGCAGTCCCATCCAAGCGTGGGTCTAGGCTCGGGTCGGTGGTGTTGTTCCTTGTAGTTGTAGAAGAAGTATTACCTCTAATTGGATTCGTCTTTGCCGTGCTTTCTGTCACCGCCGCCGCCGCCGCCGCTTCTATACCACCATGGCGGTTCCGGTTGTTGCTATTGATGCTTGTGAAATGTGAGCCCGGTGCGGTGTCCATGCCCATGTCCACATCACCTCCACCGCCACCGCGAGCGCTGGCACCCGACTGTTGTTCTCTTCCACTTTCCCAAACTGACGTGAGTCCTCGTGGGGACCTTACTGCAGCGGCCCTCTGGTACTCATCCTGGCCTTCGCCCTCCCCATCCTCGCTACTGGTTTCAACCAACATGTCCAAATCCTTATCAGCCATGTCTGCTTGATCATCCGCGTCCGCCATTCCCTCTTCGTCCATTCGGGGATCTCTCCTCTCATCGTCCGAGCTTCCTCCATCACCATGCAAGCTTGCCCTCTCGCCGCCTTGTCCACTATCGCCACTACCATCGCCGCGTAGCCTCCCCATGGGATCTTCCTTCCCACCATCAGACCTATCGCCAGAATGCTCATGATCTTGATCATACTTCTCAACACGTCCATCATGACCAACACGCCCATGGCGATGATGACGTTGATGATGATGATGATGATGATGATGATGATCCTGCTGCTGCATATGATGAATTCCACCACTACCATCCATGAACCCGCCCCCGCCACTCCCACTCCCCGACGCCAACCCATCACCCATCCCGATACCAACAGCCTCGGTACCCGCCACAGTTAACAAGGCTTGGAACGTATCCGAATCGGTATCGGGTTCGGCAGCAGAAGAGGCACCTTTGTGCTTGTGGTTCTGCCGCTGATGGTGGTCGTGATAGGGTTGGTGAGGTTGATGGTGCTGATGCGGCGCGTACTGGTATTGATACTGCTGCTGATGGCGGCCATCGTGCTGCGTGATGTGATTAAGGGCGCCTGTGGGAAGAGATCTCGTCGCTTCGGGGGTGTAATGTTGAGCGCCATCGGACGGGTGAGCGTTGTGAGCTGTCGAGGTATGAAGTTGGGATGGTTGGATTTGATGTGGTTGGCTGTATAACGGCGCATGCACCTGTGTAGGCGGATGGAGAGGAGGTCGATGGTGGAATGGGTTTGGATGATGTTGAGGCTGGTGATGCTGGGTGTAGTCTCGCTCGTTATGGACTTGCCCATGGTCGCCCAGGGAATGATGATTGGCTGCGGTCATTCGCGTAGGAGATGGTCCTGGTTGGCTTATCATTTGTGGATCGATGATGGGGGGTAAGGAGACGTGCGGGTGATGAGGCTGATGGTGATGAGAGGATGCCACTACAGAGTGATGTTGCGGTTCATGATGCGGGTGGGAAGGATAAGGAGGTGGATAGTGATGGTGGTGATGCGGAGGAGGGGAAGGATGGTGTGGTAGCATTGGGCTCTCATGCGCCTGTGTGTGACGAGTAAAAGGGTTTTGCTGAACGGTGGCGAGGTTTGTTGTATCAGGGGTTACTTGCATAGGAGGACCGGGGGAAGGGGAAGTCAAGATGGAGATTTGGTGACCGCTGGCATCAGTAAAATGCGGATGGCTTTGGTTATAGTGATGCGATGAGGAGGCAGCATAGGGATCTATGTGAGATGGTGGCTCGGGCGGCAAGGCAGGTATGGAGTACGTCCTGGGCTGATCGGCTATGGTAACAGTATTACCCGCTGGAGCAAACCCAGGAGATGGAATAGGTGATGATCGCTTGGAGCTGCTGGCCCCAACGGGCGGGCTAAGATTCGGACGCTTTATGCCGCTGGACGTTGTGGTCATGATGTTAGACAAGGACGGTTGGTGCTGGTGCTGCTGAGCTTGGGACGTGGATGACAATGACGACTTTCCCAGTTCTTTGCATTCAGAACAGTTCCTAATTACATCCGAGACCGTCTCCTTGATACGACTCCAGTGGTAGCGCTCGGCAATGGTGGCCGTGGTTCTGTTGATGCCCGCATGTGACTGGTTGTGCACCTCTCTTGCAATGTCGTACTGGCGGCGCGGGTCCGAGATGACCTCTTTGTCCTTTAGCATGAGAATGTCACCGTCGACCAGCTTGTAGTGAGTCGCGGCGCTACGAAGCCTGCTTTTCTCGGCTCGGTCAGCCCCGTTCGGATAGCGGCCGTACTTGAGATAGAACTTGATCTTGTCGAAACGCTCTTCACTCACAAGTTCTTCGTTGCCTGCCGCGTCGCCCAAGTCCCGCCCAAAGATGATGGCGTCCACCAGACGGTCTGGGTAACTCTTGAGGTTGCCGGCCCCCTTGACACGGCCGATGCGCTTGAAGCCCAAGCCGTCCCAGATCTTGCACGACGCCACGTTGGTCTCGTACACGAGGTTGAAGACCGAGTACGTGTAGCCCAGCTTGGGTGCCCAGTCCAAGTAGGTCTCACCCATGAGACGCCCGACGCCGCGGTTACGGGAGGCATCCGTCACGATGAAGCCAGCATTGCAGATGTGGCTGCTGCGGCCAGGGTAGTTGGGCTTGATGTAGAAGGTGCCCAAGCACTCTGTCGACCAGTTCTTGTTGTCGACAATGTCCTCGCCGCGCTCGATCTGGCCGAGGAGCATGACACCAGCGAAGTTTTGGAACCAGTAGTCGGCGAACTTGTCGAAGGGCATGGCGTCCAACATGGGGTACGTATCACCACCCTCGATTTCCTTGTTGAACTGATCATGGAGATAGTGCAGCAGGGAATTGGGCACCTGATGGCGCGAGGCAAAGGGGACGACGGTAGCCACCGTCTGGCGATCCCGCAGAGTCACATGGCGAGGGACAATGGTGGGCGGAAAAGAAGGATGAGCAGGGTCTGGATAGGGAGCCGCTCCAGAGACGCGGTGAATTGTTCCGGCTGAGGGGTCGTCAAGGATGGCTGGCATCTTGTCTTTTTTTCCCAAATCAATTGAGATGAGCGCGCGAATTACTCAAAAGTCCTGCTGTGTCAAAGTATATGCCCTGCCAAAAGGGTCAGCCACTTGATCCAGGTGTAAAAATGCAATCGATTGAGAGAAAGCTGTATAAGGTGATAGCATACGCACGTTAGGAACAAGAGACAACTAATTAAGGCTAGTTGAAGCCAAGGAACAAACTCGTTGTGTGAACCCAGAGAGTGAGTGTGCGAGATATATATTAAAGACGAGTGTGTCCAGACCAGGCCACCTAGCATACCGTATATAGATATGTACGCGGCGGGGTAAAGGTGACAACCAAGACACCTGGATTGTTTGATAGTTCGATAACGTCGATATCGTCTCAGAAGAGCGGGACCGTGGCCGTGGCCGAGATCCGGCAGTTGGTGGCCGGGTGTAACGATGCTTTGCCCGAAAACGGAGGCCCGGGGTGACACACCCACTCAGCCCCACCAGCAAGCCCAAGCCTCAGGACGGATTCTCTCTCCCGGTCCGACCCGGGATTTACGGAGGGGGACAACAACGGTACCAGGGGGTCGCACCGACCGTACCGTACCGTACGGACTGGGTGGACACTCCGGAGTGTGCCGACGACCAGTGTTGGATCACCAATCACCAGCGCTGTTCTGTCTTGTCTTCTTGTCACCTTGCTGTTATGGTCCAGGTGCAACAGACAGGAACCGACAAGCATGTGAGTGTTTGACGTGACTGAATAAACGCGCCGTCGCAGCTCTGAGCACGACCGAAGGGTTCCCGATTCCAGTCCAGCCCCGTGTGCGTAGCTGAGTGGTCGCGGGCGGCGGCGGCGGCGGCGGCGAATCTGAGAAGCAATTGGGTTGAATCCCCGTCGTTCTGAAATATTCGGCGTGATGATAGCTTGTGCTCACTGGGAACCAAAAGAAAGAGGTTTGAGAATGTGGATGGAACTCTTAGTCGGTTCTCGCATTTTGGTTCGTGAAAATGAAGGTGTCCGCTGGCTTAGTCATCATTTGTCTCCTTACTGCCGTATAACACCTTCAAACCTTCTCAAACCTGTCTGCAAGACAACTGGATGCTTGAAAGGTACTTAATTTGCTCAGTTACTACATACATGGCATGTACGACTGGCCGGCAAGATACCGAAACGCACCTCTCTCACCCATCCGCGTCGTTGCAAAGACTAGGTAGGTAGGTATCGGTATATAGTACAATAAAGGCTATTCTACAACCCGCTCGTATGCTTGTTCCACGCCCTCCAATAAAAAGCAGTTCGAAGGGGCCCAGGTCTGGTTTCTCTCTACCATGATAATACAATCCCATTCCTCTTTTTCCACATCTCTTTCTTATACACGAGCATCACCCCCGAACATCGCCTTGAGCGCATCCTCGCTCAGGAACGTGTCCTTCTCCTTCTGCTCCTCCACACTGTTGTCCTGTGCCTGTCTTCTCCGGGCGTCGGCCGCCCGCGCCGAAGCCAGCTCAAAGTACCCTTGCACATCGGCGGGCGTCTTCCATGTGACCACGCCGCGCTGTGCCGCTTCGAGTCTGCGCTTCTGGCCACGCTCACCGGCGCGACCGAGGACACCGCTGATAAGGGCGGTTGCTCGCAAACTGATTTTGATCAAGCATGACATGTCAGCAACTGAACTGTATATAAAGCACCACACCCAGTCACATCTGTAACGCGCATCCAAGAATTGGGGGGAGGGTCCTTACCTGTCGTCGTTGGCCGGGATCTGGTACGTAACCCACGACGGGTTCGTGTTGGTATCAATAATACCAATGGTCGGGATCTTGGCCAAACTGCACTCGTACAACAGCGTCATGTTCTCCTTGGGGTTCAAGCACACAACCAGATCGGGCGCCAGGGGTCTGCGGTCATGCAGATGGTCCTCAAACCCAGAGAGCGGGCGATCAAGCTCGTCCACCACGGTCAGCGGGACGCCTCCCAGCAGCTGCTCGCGGTTGGTGATCGTTCCGGGCCTCCACTTGGTGAAGAGGTGGCAGGCCTTGGCGAGCTCGGCGGCGCGCACAACAATGGGCCGCTGACCCGGGCGAGTGCCGACAAACAAAATCAGGCCGCCGCGGTAGGCAACCTCCTCGACAACGCGGGCGGCGCGGCGCAGGTGCGTAGCCGTTGTCTCGAGGCTGATGATGTGGATACCCTGGCGCACACCGTAGATGTAGCGCGCGTTGGCAGGGTTCCAAAGGGAAGTGTTGTGGCCCATGTGAGCCTGGGCGGCCATGAGGTCCTCGAGCGATGCGTCCGAGGGGGGGTTGCGGAGGTACTGCTCGGGGATGTAGCGGACCTCGACGCCCGCGCCGAGCTTCTGGGTTTGCGCCTTGGTCTGCTTGAAGAGCTTGAAGTTGCCGGGAATAGCCTCGATTTGCTGCTTGAGCTTAAGCGCCTCCTCGTCGACGAGGCTTGGGTCCCATGTCGTGACGGTCTCGGTAGCAGTAGCGGAGGGTGCGGACCAGGCCTCGGCGGCCGGGGAAGCGGCGAACTCGGGAGTGGGCTTCTCGATGCTCTCGGCGTAAAACTCGGCCTGCTCCTCGAGAGTGGGCTCAGCAAAGGCTGTTTTGGCAGCCTGCTTCTTGGTGTTTGTCGGCGGCGGCGGCGCAGTGAAGTTGTCCTGGGAGAGGAATCGCGACTGGGCCTGGACAGAGGCCCGCGAAAGAGGAGTGGCCAGGGCTCGTCGGCCTGCAGCGAGAACGTCAGCTTGCAATCATTTGGCTTGTAGCAAGGGGAGAACGGAGCACTCACCTAACCGCGCGCCGATATTCCGAACAATCATGGTGGAAATGCTGGGGTCGGACACATCGTCGTCGGGAAGACGTTGTGAATCGGCCGCTCAACTTTTCTGGACGGTACACGGCCGACGGTGGCCCGTGCGCCGATTCACTTTCGGCATCACACCCGCCAGGCGTGGATCACTGCACCAATGCGGGCGGGCACTGGAGGTGTAGCGCAGCGCGGCCTCGGGCCTTCAGGCACTGGAACGGCCCCACCACGGGAATTCTGGGGTCAGGAAATGGCCGAGCGGGTCTGCGGCATCATCACGGAAGAGAGAAGGGGAATTAAACAAAAGAGATACCTATCTAACAAGAACGCCATACTACCGCTGGCCGAAATCTTGATCTCAGGGTTCTCAATGTCAACGTGTAGTCTGTAGTGGGTAATAATGTAGCTCATAATCAGAGGCTTTGCGTACATGAGTTTCCTTCCTCAGTAACTAAGTAACCTATACCAATCCGGCCAAATCCCCTCCCCCTCTCTCAGGGTCCCGTTCCCGACACTCCCCTCCTGCATTCCGTCATGCAACTACCTTTAAATCAGGCGAATGAGAAGATATAATTGCTGGATTGGGCAATCCATTATCAACAATTTCTCGAGCCCAACAACAGCAACAACAACTATCAACACACTGCATCGATCATCATCAAAACCATAAGACTCCCTGCTTCATCTTCATCTCCTCTAAACTACCTTCTCGACCAAGAATTCGAAGAAAATGTAAAATAGAAATAAAAAGGTGTAAATTCTTATGCTTAACGGCTGCTGGTCAATCTCGAAACGGTAAACACACTAACAATCACCACGGCCAGGGTGACAATAGCACCCGGAAGCAGCAGCTCGTTGGGGACACCAGCAATGACCTGGGGCTGCTCTTGTGGCTGAGACATTGTGCGCGTGCGCGTAGGGCGGCGATGGAATGGCTCCTCCTCCTCACTAACCTCCTCGGATTCCTCCTCGACCTTCTTTCTCCGCTCACGAACCACCGACGAAGCAGGAGGGGTGGCAGGGATCGTCTCAATCACCGGTGCAGGCGTAGGAGCGTGGGAAATAGCAGGCTCTGAGGGGTCGTGCACGAACAGGTCGACCTTCTCACGGAGGCCGTGACGCGCAAGCAGGATGGCTTCGAGCAGATCCTGATCCGTGGTGATGGAAACCGAGTCGCCTTCGTCGTCAAGATAGCTGAGCGCAAATCCGCCGGAAAGTCGGCCGTTCTCGACCTCAGGGGTACCGCCAATAGCGTCCACCTCAGCTCCAAGCTTGGCAGCGACAGCAGCGACAAATTCGGCCATGCCGTGGGAGGCTGTCACCTGCAGACGGTGGACACGGCCGCTGGGAGCCTTGAACTTGAAGGGGAAGGGGATATCGGCCGGGTTGACCTCCTGAATGCCACCGAGCTGGCTGTGGGAGGGCGACTCGATGCCCGCATGGCTCGCAGAATCACCAGGCGCCACGCTGTCGACGATGCGCTCGCTGCGAGCGATGTCGGGCGACATGAGCGATCTAGGCCCATGGTGGGTGTGGTGGAGCGAGCCATCGCCCGATACCATTGACTCGGTTTCGTGGTCCAGAGAAAGCCAGAACTTGTTCCAGGCGGGACCCTCGTTGTCGGTACCGCTGCCCATCGTGTTAATCTGTTCGAGGGTGGCGTAAGTGAGCTTGAGGACATCGACCATGCCGACAATCTCGCCAGCATCGTTCATCACCGGCAGGTTGAGGTAGTGGCCATCGTGCATCTTCCTCAGCGCAGCCTGGATGGTCATGTCCATGGGCGCAAAGTCGGGATGGGGGGTCATGACGCGGACCACGCTGCAGGTGGCAGGGTCAAGACCGGGGGCAATCACACGGAGGACGACGTCCTTGCTGGTGAAGATACCCGTAATTGCTCCCTGATCCTGGACCAAGACCGCCGTGGTGTGGTTTTCCTTCATCAGCTGGGCCGCCTCCTTGACCGAGGTCCGGACGCTGACCGTGGTTGGGGGAATGCCGTTCAAGACAGACTCCAGGGTCGGGCCCGACATCTTGGATCGCAGGGCCTCAACGTATTGGATGATCTGCTGGGGCTGACTGGTACCAAGCTCTGACTGAACACCCTCGAGCGCATCATACAACCGCCTGGACGAGGCATAGGCGCGCTCCAGCTTTTCCATCGCGTCGTAGAAGCACTTTGTGATATCGAGAATGCCCGATATGTCCTGGTTCTCGTCCATGACGGGCAAATGGCGGAAGCCCTTGCGCACCATGAGATCAAGGGCGTCGGTGGCGCTGGTGTCGGTCCTAGCGCACAGCGGGTTCTTGGTCATGATCTCGGCAATGGTGACCGTGTTGGCCTTGAGTCCGCCGCCGACGACGCGGAAGGCCAAGTCCTTGGCTGTAAAGATACCGGCAATCCTTTCATCGTCGTCGGTGACAAGAACACAGTCCTCGCGCTTGGCGGCCATCAACTGAGCGGCTTCGGAAACGGTGGTCGCGGCCTTGATCTGGAGGGCAGGGCTCGGCTTGAGGGCGAGGACGGTTCCGGGAGGGGCTTTGCGGGTATGACGGGCTCGGCTGGTAAGGTGCTTCTTCTTGGAGAGATCGCTCTCCATCTTGCGGCGGATGGCCTGGCAACGGCGGTGTTAGAGACGGCATCTTCAACCTCATCAGGGCATGGCAGAGAAGGGGGGGTCAAGCGGCGGTGACAAGTAAGTTGGGATCACGCACCTCATCTCTCTTGGACTGCTTTTGCCTGCTCACGCTGACAGAGGCAGAGCCGACCTCACTCCCGGTGGCGGCATGGTTGGTTTCGAGGACGGGGCGGGGGATGGCCGAGCCGGCGTGGTTCTGGCCGTAGGGCGTCGCGCTGCGATTCTGTGGCTGGGCGATGCTGCCACCAGCACGGCTGGGGCCGCGTGCGGTGGAACCTGGGTGTGTCGACATGATAAGGGATGCTCGACGGCCAAGGAAGCGAATGCGGGTGCGATACTGTTTCTATTGTGTTTTATCCCCTACGCACAAGTGGACAAGCGGCGGAAATTGGTCGTCGGTGTTGGTGCGGTGCTCGACTTTGCGCGAGTGAGAGTGACGATTTTTCGTGGTCCCTGAACCCGAACCGATTTGCGACGACCAGAAAAGGCCGAGCTAGGCGTCAACCAATAAGGTGATCAGATGACTTGAAGCGGAATTGCACCTTGTCAGTCGCCAGTCGCAAAAGTCAAAGCCCGAGTCTGGGGGAGTCGTTTCAAATGATGGGTCACCTCACGACGAACGACGACGACGGGAACTGCAGTACAATGTAGTAGTGTAAGTAGGTGGTGTACTGACGAGGGAAACACGGGTCGAATGAAATGCGCGCAAATGTCAGTTGATTTCCTCTTTCACATATTTTGTACGTCTCCCGTCGTTACCGCCCGCGCGCGCGGCATCGCATGGCACCGCACCGCACCGCACCGACCGCAATGATTTTCCCCTTGTTTCCACTTGTTAGTGGTCGCACTAGGCACCGCAGCGCACCGCAATATAGAAAGCACGGACCATCCAATGTCACCCACAGTTTCCTTGGAGGATGGAACCGCCCGGCCTGGAAGTGTTTGGATTTTGAGCGTGTGATTACCCCACCATGCCGGTTTTCCTCGGCGATGGCGGGGCCTGTGTTTTTGCCTGTCTGCACTTGAACAGCAGCTGTCAAATATCTCTCGTCTCTCCTGTTTATACGAGATGGTCATGTTACTGGCAAATTGACGATATTTCCCCTGCAGTGAGCACCTGCCTATTGACCAGCCAATGGCGAAAGAGTTGTTGCAAGTTGGGTGCTGCGAGTTGTGAGCATTTCCGGGAGCTCTCTGTAACCGTGACGGTGAATGAATGCATGGCAGGTCTTTCACGTCTTTAATGTTGGCGTGATGCTCGACTTCAACTTGGTTCAAAGCAACTGAACGGACAGCTTTTTGGAAGGGAAAGAAAGGGGCCGCTCGCTCATTGATAAGACAATAATTTGACATGGGCAATTGCGGGTACCGAAGAACGGTGAGCTGCTATTTATATCTCGTCAAAGACATGCTAATCTGCGATCAACCCCCCAGCCTCCTAGCATTTCACATGTGGAAGTGCCGGCCATACCGTAGGTGAAGAAGTGAGGAGATTCGTTCCGTCTGTCGAGTTTTTCACTACAATCATGAGAGCGGGGGGTTTGAACTCACCTCTGATCATGACTAAAGGTAAGCATATAGGTAGTGATGAAATCAATGACTTGAAACCATCATGATCGACAAGAAGAATAGTCTACTGGTCATCACTTGCTGTTGAGGTTTTGTTTTATTTGGTCCCGATTACCCGGACAATGCGCACCCCACACTTGGGTTCCCTTGGTGTTGAGGAATCTTCCACGGTGCCACGACAATGACCATCTGATTGATATGTATTCACATGCCGCCAATACGAGAGAACAGCATCGAAACATGACATGATCTCTTTTGAATCTCCAGTCCTCACACCGTTTACCCTACCCATTCCTTCTTGATGCCACCTCAGCCCTGTAGCTATCCAGTCCGCGTCCCGTTGTCGGCTCTGAATCAGGCGACGGCGGTACTGCAAAGAATCCCGTCTACCTACACCACACCTTTGACTCCTCACAGCGGACGGTCTGCGCGTAATATACCTTGCGTTGGACTGACTTTGGGTGCGCGCAGACATCTCCACAACATGCAGCAGCATGGCAATGTATGTAATACATCAAACCAACCGTCGCAACAGGTGCGGTGATCCTCGATCCTCGATCCTCTTCGATCCCCGATCCTCGACCCTCATCCTCGGGGTGAAATTCTCAACTGTGTCGCCATCTATCGTGGTGATGTTTTTTTTTTGTCAGACCGTCGTTTGCAATCGCATCGCTGGCCCAAACATCCCTGGCTCGCGCGTGATGGACGATTCGAAGAAGACGGGAAACTAGAAGCTACCTGTACACTATGACTGCGGACTGCGATGCGACCTAGACGTCTAGACGTTGAGGCTAAAAACGCCCAGACGGGGGACCTGGAAATACCTGCCAAGTGTCTAAAGTCCTCAAGAGCTTCCTCCATGCTTGGAGGTGACCAACCGCAACGAATCGTGCGTCTGGCAATGACGTCGATCAACCCAGTTGGGACCAGCAGCCGCTAATCCCGCGCAGGAGACGGGCGACTCCATAGCAGACGACAAGGAAGCGATAAGCCGCCAGCGATAAGCACTTGAGGTTGTTTTCGGGAAATGTGAATTTTTTCGGTCCTATTACGGGTTCAGCTTCTAGGGGCGACTTCATTCGCTACACTCTAGGTAATCAGTGAATTATTGATAATGAAATGTTACATGGCAGAAGGGAACATATACATAGTACATAGGGTGCTTGGCTCTCCTCAGCTAAGCATGCCCTGCGTGCAAGTCCGTTCGGAGAAACAGTGGTTCAGATTGGATCATGGTATTCTCCTCAAGTCAAGGGGTCCCGAGTTTTTCATGGTTCGGGGGTCCTCGGATTGAAACAAACTGCGCCGGATATGGGGGTTTGAAGTCACACGGCAGGATGCGTCTGAGTGTGTACACTTGTAGGTAACATGCTATGCTGCGGCGTTTGAGCAAGCCCGGGGATTCTTGAAAGGGTGTGCTGCTGTGCAACGCGGGAGTTGAGATTGGTGTAGACAAAAGGACGGTAACCGTTGAGAACTCGAGATAAGTGTGGCAGCACAGAGCAAAGCCGCAAAGATCTTTATGAAGCACACCCCTGATATCTGCCCCTTGTGTAGTGTACCCACGCAGTATGTGGTGTACAAGTTTTGTCTCTGCTATTCCATTCTCCTTCCCATCACTGCACAGCTACCCGAGCGTGGGCATGGGCGGGCATGGAGGTGCTGAGAGACAGCCGGAAACTGCCAAGGGACAGACGCTTGTTTTGCCAATCACGTCTTGTCTGCGTGTTGACGATCATCCCCTTCCTTATCCCCTCCAATGATGATACACACGGCAGTAGCCAAACAACGACACGACGGCACTCGCAAGACGAAACACCGTGACAACCGAACTGAAGCACCGTCCCGTCGCAACCACCTCCACGCTGGACGGCCCACGGCACTGGAGCTGTGCGTGCTGGATGGAGCATCTTCATTATTTTGACTGGAGCCGGGCAGTCAAACAAGCATTTAAAAACAGGGGCCACGCTGGAGAAAGCCCAGAAGTGCCATTTTGCAACACGGGGGGCCAAGGAGGAACAGCCCGGGTCGGCGCTGCGTAACGTCATCCACTTTTCCATTTCTTGGCTCTTTGGCGATTCCAGGTTTCCTTTCTTTTCCTTTTCCAGTTTCTTCACGTTTCTCCGTGATCAACATCAAACCCGATACTGCAACGTAGGTATCGATTCCCCCCTTATCTTTATGCTGGGTCCATGGTTGCTTTTGTATTTTCCTCTTCTTCCTCCCGTCATTTCTCCCGCCAGTCTCTCCCGCTCCATTTCCACTCGCTGCGGCTTTCCACCTTTTCTGCATCATCCTACCACCTAGCTACCCTGGGGCGGCCTTGTCCAAGGAATTGAAAGAGAGGAACCGAAATTCCACTTCCAGGGAGCAGCACGCCGGATACAGCGGACGCAACCCACTAAATTCGCTATCGTAACTTTTACATATACCTACGCGGGTACCTCTACTGACAACTGCCCGCCGAACGACCAACCAACCAGCCAGTGTCCAGCCATTGACTGCTGCAGTGCTCACAGCCAGCCAGTGAAACTTGCCGCTCGGCGCTTTTCCCGGCATTGAATCTTACGAGGAGCACCGCATCCCGTCGGCACCACATCAATCGTGAAACGGTGGGATTGAGAGAGAAGAAGTGAAGGGAGGGAAAACCACCAAGACAAGTGCCATCAGGCCACGGGGCCTGGCCAATTTCTTTTCTTTTCTTTTTGGACAACATTCCCTTCCACTACTCTATCGTTTGATATCGACACTTCAGCAAAATCTCAAAATCAACCTGTTGGCGAGAGCGCCAAGCGAATCACTACAGGGGATCACCGCTCCTCGCAACTCTTCTCCTCCACCACAACAGCCCTAGAGTTGGTAATCATCCATTCGCTTTCTAGGTACCTACTCTACGCATCGGCGATCGAGTTCGTTGCTGTGCAATTGCACGTTGCCCCCCTCCACCCCCAAAAAGGAGGAACCCAAACCCAGAAAAGCAATCGGCAACTTTATCTAGTCTCGTCGCGGAGAACACATATTGTTGGAAACGTCAGAAAAATACAATAAAGAGAAGCGAGCACCAACTTGGGGCTGCGTATCGAGGTTCGACCACTTTCACAAGTCGCCCACCACAACCGATACGGGCCGCCATGTCGCGACGACCAGATTCCTTTCGCATGTCGAGTCGGTCTTCATTCTCATCATCAGCGTCGTCATCATCATTATTATCATCGCAGTCTGCGACGACCTTTAAGCGCGCCGCTTTCGACGCTATCCACCATATCCGGGCGTCATTTGCATCTGCGACACAAAAGCGCAGTATTGATCCCAATTGTTCGCCACAGCCGGGCGTGAACCTGTGCGAGAAGCCAGCAGAGGCAACCTCAGATGTTACCTGGGCGATTATTGGCAGTGTGCTGTGAGTGTTTGAAGTTTTCTCGTATTCTTTCTTCAGCCTAAAACCGTCGCATCCCCCGGTCCATGTCCTTCGAAGGAGCCGCCGCCACCCTTGAAAATTGCCCAAAATGGAAACACCGAAAACAAACACTAGGTTGGGACGACATGCTACTCGCCAGACATTGCATACTAACAATACCTTGCAGCGCTTTCGTTGCGGCAACTACCATTATAGTAGCATATCTTCTTCACCTTCGCCGGAAAAAGGTCCACAAGAAAGAAGATCAAAATGACCCGTTCCAGATGGACGACTATGGTTTCGACGAAGCCGCTGCCGCAGAAGCAGCCAAGTCAAAAGCGAATTTGTTCCGACGATCCCATCAATCCTCTACCACTTCGGTTTCCACGCCATCGCCATTAAAACCCATGGAACGCAGGCTGTCCTTTGACGAATCGCCCTACGCTGTTGGCGCCGCTGCCGGGATCCGATCCTCTTCAGCCATTGGGGGAGATGTTATCTACAGCGAAGTCAGCACTCCACCGGGCGCGGCACTGCCGCCTGGCGTCGGCTTGAGAGAAAGTCAATTCCTCGGGGTTCCGGGAATTGAGGGGATGGACTTGGGTGGTTTCCCGATGGATCGGGAACGTGAAAGGGAGCGGTCGAGATCGAGGGCCCGGTCGACTTATTCCCACTCTCCTCACAATGGATCCCGTAGACAGATGCAGCGCCGATCCCGACCCTCCAGTGTGCAGAGCGCTCCGTTTACGCCCGGAAGCCTGACGCCAACGCGAGGACCTAGACCGGCTGCGGGAGGCGACGGAGCCAGTGCCGCCAGTAGCAGCGGCCTTCGCTCTCCCCTTTCCGACGACGCTTCCTCTGCTTCTGTCAGGTCTTCCGAGATGTTGCGTCCGCCCGTCGATGGTGATGTTGACGCTCTTGCTGGCGCCGATATGCCCGGCCCGATACCATGGGAGAGGGATCAACAGCAAGGAAAAGTGGTGGTGGTGAGGGAGACGACGGTGGAGAAGAAGGGAAGCAGCGAAACAATTGCAGAGGAAGACGAAAAGGCCGATAAGCCTAAGAGCAGTCATGGGATCCCCGTGGTAGCCCCGGAAACAGAACGGGTCGCTAAGGAGGAGGGGGAAAAACCTATAACCGCTGAACTGGAGACAGTAGAGGTCGGGATGGAGGGAAAAAGGATCGAGCAAGCGCCAAGGATATGACCTGACCGCGAATTAATGACGCGTACGCGCGCGCGCGGGGAGGAGCATTTTGGATGCGTATGGTGTAATGAATCATTTGCTGCTTACAGGGAAGGATAAAATGGGTGCAATACGGAAGGGTTAAAGATATGTCTTGATTTTTCTATTCTTCTTCCGTCATGGGCATCATCTATCTATCTCTCGGATTCCGCCACGATATAATTCATCATCATGATGGAAGCGCTGCGTAGCGTTATGCATTGTTATAACTTACTTTCGTCATAATGCTTCTTACAATGTGTTCACTTCGTCAATAAATGCATGGGAAGATGGACGTGGAACATGCGTGCAGGGGGAGAGAGAGAGAGAGAGAGGTTGAAACATCCGACGGGTGAATCTCACTATGAGATAGTATCTGTGTAATGGGAGCTTTTCTCTTTGCAGTCATAGGATCTTCATTGATTCTTCCTGAAAGGCAGAAGAGAACAGGATTCATGTGCGAGTATATGTCTGGTCGCTATGGACATCCTGCATATCCACGAGCAAAATGCCTGTGATACTACGACATAGTTGGGAAATACCGCTACATACAATGATATTGAGTCGTCTAAGCCTCTCCATCCTCCCAGTGCCTTCATCGTCCGACACTCTCATTCATATACATAACAGAAAAGGTTATCGCTGACAGTATCCATCAACTTCTTTATTTGCACATCAGGCATTGATGGACCGATGGCAATGGTCTCATTCGTCGTAACGTTTGCGCTGGGGGGTTGGTTCAGGAGTGTATGCGTTCCCCAGAGGCCCTGTATAGCAATCGCATCAACCATGAAGTGAGCACGACGAACTGCAAGAAAAAAAAAAAAAAAAAAAAAAAAAAAAAAAAAAAAAAAAAAAAAAAAAAAAAAAAAAAGCAATTCACGCAAAACACTTCAAGTACGCACGCACCTGTCGGTTCTCAAAGTCCAAGTTTTGCCAGATCCACCAGAGACGATCGATCTGCCCGTGATGAAGCCAGAAGACCGGGTCACCGGGGGAAATGTACATGTCGGCTCCGGGATCACCACCGATCATAAAGTGCCCGGCGGTGTGAATGCCCAGATTTCCTGGGTGGTAGCGAGGGTCGCCCTCCTGGAGTAGTGCTTCTTGTCAGCCAAAAGAAAAAGAAAACAATTTCTGCTTGGAGACCGAGTACCTAGGTAGGGTAGGTAGCCTTGAGCGGAGCGACGGGATAGATTGGATTGGAGACTTCATGTTCACCTACCAGCGTGGTCTGGAACTCAAAAATATTCTTGGTCTGCAGAATGAGATCCGTCGTGTTCCTCAAGGTAGCAAACTTCCTCCCCAACTCTTCGCTCAAGTCACGCTTCAGACACCGCCTGTTGTCCGCCAGAACGTTCGCTGCCACCGTCAGGTTGCCCGGTTCTCCGTATTTGGGCAGTCCCACGGGCCCGAGGTGCGTCTGCATGCCGGCGATAGGACCCGTGGTCACACAGCCACCACCACGCCCGTTGGGCCCGGCCGGGAGAATGTTCACTTGGGTGAAACCGGGAAAGATGAAGCCCGAGTCCCCGTGCGGGACCGGATCGCCGTTGCCACCGAGCGAGGTGTCTGAACCGTCAAAGATGGGGGAGGCGAGGAGATTGTCGACATCGAGACCGTGGTTCCAATAAGCAAGGGCGCCTGGTTGTTGTTACACGACTTTTTTGTTTAGACCATTGGCTGACACACAGGGAAGCGGGGGGTTTCTTTCGGACCATGGAAGGAAGGGCCGTAAGGGGTTGGTAGTTTAGAACGAACCTTTGTAGCCACACTTTTGAAGACCTTGCTCGAACCCATGAATGTAGTAACGGTGCCAGGGAAGAAAGAGACCCGAGAAATGGATGAAAGGTGTCACGTTCAAGTGGAGGTAGATAAAGTCGTCAAAAGCAGAGACAGCGCCGGGAGCTTCGCCTGCTGGAAGAATACTGGGACTCTTCAAGAGACACTTGAATGCCTTGATGTAGTTGCGTCTCTCGGACTTGGAAAGGTTACGCCTGTTCATATGGTGTTAGTCGAGGTAAACTATGCATGACTGGTGATTTTGATATAGAATAGGTAGGCACATACCATTCCTTTCTGACCCTGACATTCTTCCTGTTGCATTTGCCATTGAACCTTTGGTAGGCATTCCTAGAAGCTAATGCGTTGAGCTCCTGGAGAACCACACCCGAGTCAATGGTCTTTTGTCCCCATGAGGAGACATTCAAAGCTAACACGGGCACCGAGAGGACTCCCGTCAACCAGAGCGCAGAAGGGAAGTGCATGTTGGCGATACCTATAGAGGCGAATCTGGAAAAATGGGAGTGATAGCAAGAACGCCTTATGTCAGATCACGACGGCCACCTTTTATACCAAGAAGAGCATCCTGCAGACCTCCCTCTCCCGTTTATCAGGGTATTTTTGGCCGTCCCAGTCCCATGAATAGACATTCCCATCGTACCATCACCGACTGACATCCTAGTAACCGAGCGGCGCGGGTTTCGTCTTACTGTATTTGTATGCTGGTCCGAATCTTGGATGCATCGCTCTATCTGTGCCGTTGTTGATCATCTTTTGTATGGTAATGCCGGTTACTACTTCAATGCAGGTAAGATGCATGATCCCTTGTGTTCCTATCCTGGGCTACCACTCAAGACCTCCATGGGGGCCGCTTTTGCTACGACGGCAGAGGTAGTGCCGAGAAAGTGGGAGGAAATTGCAGAAAAAGTGTCGAGCAACGATTCAATGTCAACAAAGCCAGGGAGACAAGGTATATATGCCTAAGAATAATGTATATCTGAAGACCCGTATAAGGACAAAAGCTGGGTTTCCGTATAGGTAGATTGAGAGGAAGTTTATCCTTCTGAGCACATGCCATCGAGCTTCCACTAGAAAACGGGCATGCTAAGGGAACAGTTGACTAGGACTTCGAGTTGACGCATTTGAACAACTTTCAAGCTTCAATCTGTTCATTTGGGAGGTTGGATCCTCATGTGCCCAATCCGCTCCCCGTCACGGCAAAAACGGCTGTCTGAAGACTCTGCCAAGCAAGACATGATGGAGTTCGTGGAGAATTGAAGTAAGGAACTTGAGTCCCTATTGATGGAGTTTTGAAAGAAAGAAAGGAAAGTGGGTAGGAAGAAAAAAAAAAGGTTGGAAAGGAGAAAAGGGAAAAAAGAAGGAGGAAGGGAAGATAAAAAAAGGAAAGGAAAGGAAGAAAGAAGAAGAGACGAAGAGAGAAAGGAGAGAGAAAAGGAGAAAAGAGGTTGGGAAGAAAAAAAGGATTGGTAGAAGAAAAAAAGATTGTGAAAAAGGAAGAGAAAAAGATGAAAAAAAAATAAGAAAAAGAGAAAAAAAGAAAAAAGGAGGGGGGGAAATCTCATCTGCCGTACTCGAGTCAGTTACTATCATCAAGTTTCAAAAGTCTGCCACAGCTTAGCCGACACATTCACAGCGGCAAGACCGCTCTTGGCTTGACAGTTAAGCGGGAGGTAGGAGATATGTCCCGCCAGACACTATCCATCTTCTGTTCGCACAACGTGCTAACGACGAGATGTCCTTGACGAATCGGATAATCGCTCCTTAGCAAAAAGAAAGAAAAAAGAAAAAGGAAGAAGAAAACCACCCGGAAAAATTAAAATTAGAAAACCGGCAGTCTCCAAATGCCTCGATCACAACTATGTAAGGTAGGTAGGTATGTACGTAGAGTTTCGCTTGAATTTTCTCTACATCTCCCATCGAGTCTTGTTGTTGCCCCTCTTTCAGGCTGCATAGGCAGCACACTGTGTAACCTGACGTTTAACTTTAGCGACGACATGGTGATATCGGGACGGTATTAAGGGAGCACTGGATGTAGGGTCCCCACAGATGGAAATCGTACCACACCTATCAAAACAGCGAATAGCCGAATACGATTCGAGCTTCCAAAACCACCGCGGTACGAAACGCAGAACCCCCTCCGTTGCGCAAACAAGCTTGGTGTATAACTGGTCCGGCACCGTAGATGCGCAGACTTCCAAGATCCTTTCGACTCGCTCTCCATTGCCGAAACTGTCTGCTACCTCACTTCCGCATGAGGCGACAATGGTTGTGACCCAAATAATACTTCTAGAAAACTTAAACCGCCCCTTTCGAAACCGGAATGACAGTCAACTGGACAGTCAACTTCGCAATATCTTCTGTCAGCAAATCTTCCACCTCGATAACCTCGAAGCTCACCGGGGTGGATTCCAACACCTGTGTAGTGGACCGAGGCAACGTCTGACCGGAAATGGTTTCGATAGTTGTCACTCGGAGAGCTTGCTCAGATGGCAGTAACTCAACCTCGAAACCCTGAATAGGTAAGCAAGTCAGCCATGACCACACGAGTAGGTGAAGAACAAAATCGGTAGTACTAACTCCGTACAGATGTGGTATTTCGATCCACAACCTTGGGTCCTCCATTTCTGTCAAACATGACAGTTGTGGCATCCTGAATCGAGAAGGGTCGACCTGTGTCCCTGCTGGTTAGTGCTATCATGGTAGTATCGATGAGCCGCGTTCCATGTATCTTACAAGACAACCAGCAGTATCCTTCATTAATCTGTGAAGCTGCTCTTCCAGGTAAAGGAGTCTTCTTTCCTCCACATGATGCAAAATTTCCGGCTTGAATGCTTCCGCCAGCTCTTGGTTATATGCCGTGTCTCGTGCGGTCTTCCCTTTCCCTCCAAAGGACTTCAAGGTTTCTGTAAAACAACCCGGTCAGCTTACATCCGAAACAGAATTGTGGCGAACTGGGTTGACATACTCCACACACGAGAATTTGTTTGAGCTTCTTCGACGAGCTCTTCCCATGCTCGGTACTCCTCAGAGTACTTGTCCTCGGGCGGCCTGCTACCAGCAATTATATGCAGCGCTGAAAGACCATCACCTTCGGCATCCAATGACCCAGTATTATACCAGTCACATTGTCGCCAGCTGTATTCCTTGCTGAGCGTCTTCAGAGCCCCAGTCCAGTCCTTGTTCACCAGCGCTTGGTGCCACTGCTTGCGTCGCAGAGCATATTGTCTTGGATAGCTGCTAGCCAATTTTCCTCCCAGCCATAGCGCCACATCTTCCTTTTGGAGGCCTCGCGTACCACCAGACCCTCCGTCGAGTTCATCAAAGTCGAGTTTCTTCATCTCAAGAATCTCGCTCAACATTTTATTAGTTAATATCCTGTATCCCTGAACGGTTGTAGGTGCGAATTCTGCTGCTAGTTCTGTACATGCCCGGTACTTGGACGCATCAACTAGTTGCCGGAAGATCTGGCGCTGGACTCTTTTTTCGTCAATGTTTATGTAAGATTCGGTCGAGTGATTGCGATTGGAGTTTATAGTGATAATAATGACTTGTATAATGGGTACACTATCCCCTCTGTTTGGTTTGTTGGTGATAGACAATAATTGGAAGAAGGCGCCCCTGAGTAAAATCTCCCTTTCGCCCTCTGGCGAAATATTGGCCACCGGTATGGTACAGATCGAAGTGACCACGCTGTCCGGGTATTGCGTCCGATAGGCCCTGAGAAGGCCCTCATCAATGCCCCTCGTATGGACCTGAAGGTGCATGTGCACCAATTGTTCGCCCCCCGGTGACTTCTTCGTCGCGAAGTCTTCCATGACCCTAGGATCGGCACTAGTTAACGTCAAGGCTAAGGGGATAGCAAAGCCGCGCATCGTCAAGTCGGTGTTCCCAGAATGTCTTCATAGAAGCGGACGGTTTCCTGGTAGACAGGCATTCCGCGATGCGTGAGACCCTCAAAGTTTCCATAGCGCGGATCACCAAGTTGGGACAGTCGGAGGTTATACAGGTCAATGGTCAGGAACTCGATAAGTGTGGTAGCAACCAGGAGATGCTCTTCAGCAGCGTGTTCCGTACGGAGGGTGTCACTGACCAGCTTGAAGAGGTAGTCGTATCCCGGAACAGAGCAGTACATTTCCAGAGCATCGTACTGCTCGCTGCTGTCAGTGGTACCGATATCAGAAGGGCGACTGACCGAAACGTCAGCGTAGTCGCGGTAACCACTGAGAAGTCGTTCAAGTGGTTCGCGCACCTCTTCCGGGAGCCTCTCGGGCTTACACCATCTCCGCACGGCCTCCACAAGTTGCGCATATGCGCCATTATCCAACCAAGCAGCGCGCACTTCTTCGATCTTACTCCGAAGTCGGGACATGCGTTCACGCTCAACCTGGCCGGAAAAGCCGGACTTGAGTGTCTGGAGGTTCACGGCATCGAGTGGTGCCGAGAATCTCGTCCTGGCTGCCGAGGTGGGTTTGAAACGAGGCATGGTGGGCTCTGTAATATGTGTTCCCTTTTTCGGTGAGTGTCGTCAATGGGTTATTGGCTGAATGGATCAGTTGAATTCGTATGTCATGCTTGTTGGTCCAAGTCAGAAGGATAAGTGCCTTCAGTATGAACGGGCTTGACCCTACTCAAGGTTGGTTATGTCGTTTTGAAACCGCACAGCCGTAAATTCGTCTCATGAACTTCTCTTTGGATAGGTAGGGGTCATGCCATGGAGAGAAAGGAGGCGGTGGGAGGCCGCCCACCAAAAAGAAGGCCCCTCAGCAGTGTGATACCACTGACTGCTATGATAATTGGAAAGAATGGACGGCCCTATTTGGGTATTCATTGCGCAGAAAGCCTTGCAACTGAGTCACTCCTTAAGTCATATCTCCAAGCCAAGCCTGGACTGAGATTTGGAGGGTGTCACAAAACCCCCAGTGCCATGAGCATTGAGTGTGGCGCACGGCTATAGGCGATATCACCCAATGACCATATTCATCACGTCCGACACTCCACATGGGAAGGCAGACAGAAGCAGCCACAACGCCAACTCTTAAGGAACCAAAAGGGAACAGCCTCGTCCACGACGAACCGCGAGCGGCCGGCCTGTTCGTCGTATACGCTAGTCATCCCCGATATCAACCACACAATTCTGTTATAGGCAGGTGAGTTCAAAAAGGATCCCACATCCACGATCTAGAACTCAGGATGAACGGAAGTCTTTGCCATTTCCAGCTTGTATTGCCTTCCTTGCATAAGCTTGCACTTTGAAGGAAAAAGCCTCGTCAATTACCAAGACACCAAAGTGGCCACCGATTGACCACAAGGCAACATATCATGGCCGAAGTACTGACTGGTATTGCCGTCGCAACCGAATCCCTCACTCTTTGCATCAAGGCCGTCGTTATCCTCAAAAGATTCTATGTGACGGTCAAAGAAGCAAGGGAGGATCTCAATAAGATCCTCAACCTGGTCGGACGCACAAGAAACCGTATCGAACTGATGAAGATCACACTCATCGAACTTCGGAAAACAACTGACCCCGGTATTACTGCAGGCTTCATCGCCGCATGTGATGGACTCAACAGAACTCTGAAAGAGCTAGTCCAAGAGGCATCGACTATTGCCAACGGTCGATCTCAATTTGGTATTGCCAGACGTCTGAAATGGTCGATGAGCCACTCCAAGGTTGAGGAACTTGTTCGAAAGCTGGCAGAACAGGAGAAGGAGGTGACAAATTCGTATATGATGCTCAACTCGTAAGCTGATGCCATGTTTGCTACGAGGAGTTTGTCCTGATAACAAACCACAAATTAACCTCTCTCCAAACTCAACAGGAGCTGCAGAGGCTCACAAGGTCATCTGACGAGCGGTCCGAGATCACAATCGCCTTTTGCCAAGAATTAGAGGAGCGCCTTTCCGACGTGTCTACGTTGCGAAGTAGCTCCGAAGAGCCCTCGAGTAGGCCTCGTACTTGGCTTGGGCATACCATTACCGATTACCACTCTCCGGAGTATCTGCAGCTGCGAGACGAGCTATCCGAAGCCGTATACTGGGGTGACTGGGATGTCGTTTTCAACAAGCTTGAGGAGGGGTTCCGGACATTTGGTGAACTGTGGGGGAATGCACCACGAGTGAGTAAGTGAAAGTGCTTTGGACAGGAAGGATAAGCACCGAGAGGCTGATACATACGGCAACACAGAAGATCGAGCGCAGTATCACCACCTCTCAATGTGGACTCCTCTTCATCAAGCGGTATATCATCATGCGCCAGTCCATGTCGTTGAACGATTGCTGGAATATGGAGCTTTCAGTAAGTTGCACACAGAATTTATCTTCAAGTCCGCTCAGAGTGCGATTGTTGACACGGGAGCAGAAACGCTCCGAACAAGAAAATCCGAATTCGGGCATCCCAACTTGACCCCCCTCGAACTTGCTCACGAGATGGAAGTCTTCCATCTTTATGACATTCTCCGACCAGTGATAAAACGTCCTTTGCCACCGCACACCCTGCAGAGAATCGAGTATAATTTTCACCGCCTGATCCGCAGTGAGATAGGGCAGTGTGTTGATACAGCAAAGCTCTATCTCCCTGCTCTTGAGGTTCTCACGGAGCTCTATGGGGAAGCTGTGTGGTTCCCGATTAAGTTTGGACATCCCGGTGCTGTACGTTATTACCCATCTCCGAAGTTCTCGTAACCGACTCTAACAGTAACCGACTCAGGGATACCTTTTCCAGCTGTTGGGCAGGGAGCTTCAGGTCAAATCTGTGAACATCCAGGACAAATCTTCGGAGACCCTCTATCGCGTTATGGAAGACGACATTTATGAGACTGACCAAATCTTCAACTTTGCCGGAGATCTCAAACAGAAGAGAGACATTGATGAAGAGGATACCGCACAATCCTTGCCGTTCAAGCTGGAACTTTGATGCCTCCAGGCACGACAAAGAAAAGACCACGGGTGAAGGATTCTTCTTCTGGCTATTGCTCCACAACCGGATAGTCCGAGCATCCTTGATCAGCACAGTCAGTTATGGGGTCCATATCGACGACGCTTTGGGCTGCGAATTGGCATATTATGGGGTTCGCGACATTAATCCCGCGACAAATGCCCCGAAAGCACAGGGCTGATAGAAACAAGCTGCGAAACGCACCCGGCCCACAAGAGTTGCCGGAGTACAATGTGCTGAGAGACTTGGTCCCCATCTCGAGACCGGCATCGGAAGGGGAAGATGTGAAACCCATTCACATTTCCGATTTCCATAAACCACACCGTTGTGAAAAAACCACAATGAAGGTTGATTCGGAGTGACGGCAAGCCATATCCCATAGCTCGGCAACGTACTCGTCGATGGTATCCGGGCTTCCATCCAGTGCGTACGAGAAGCGAGGCGGTTATACCCCCCAGAACTCGAGGGCTAACCCGTCAATCTCGCTGGGAGGGTATCCGAAGATGGCATATACGTGCTCCACCGCATCTCGGTAACCGGTGTATCCCGTGTCGGCGTACCCTACTGCTTCCACCTTCTCACCTGCCGACTGCACCGCTTCTTGTCATCAACCTCAGCGTGCCGAGCTTCGACCTCGTTTCCGGAGACAGTTGTCCCCGCGCCATGAAGAGGATGTACTCGGCGCGACAAAGAGAAAACATCAAGTCGCGGCCAATAAGATGCGTCCCGGGAGCTCGAAGACACTCGATGTTTCGGTTTGTCGTATCGCCGTTTACTTCCATTTTCAAATGTCCACCTGTTTTCGCCGGACGCGGAGCATAAACCCACCGCGCCAACCTCTCCACATGTTCCGTCGACAACCCGTCAACCGTTACTCGCTTACAGAACTGCGCCAATGTCTCCCGCAACCGCTCTAACGGCTCGCTTCGTACCCACCGGTTCGATCGCATCCGCTGGAACAGTGCCATGATCTCCCCGTCTACCGCGCGATGTTCGTCAGGTATTTTGGGCGACCATACCGCGTCAAACCCGCGGTATTCCTGTTCCGAGGCTAAGTCGGGAAGCACATAGACTGTGTCCTCGTGATGAGTTGTAGGGAGAATGATGCGGAGAGTGTTGGGTCCGTAGCGATGGGGCGCGTTGTGGACATAAGGGTTCTGAGGAACGGTGTCGGAGAGGAAGAGGAAGAGGCCTGCTAGGGATAACTTGTCGTGGAGCAGCTGGTCTCTGTCTTGGGAGAGGTCGGGGGCAGATGTCGCAGCGAGTAAAGAAGCGAGCGTTGGGACGCCGACCATGAGGAGCTCGAGGGCCTTGAATGTGTACAACAGCATCGGGTGCCCCTGTAGCGCCAAAGTCCAATCGTAGAGTTCGTGGATGCGAGAGCCGGACCAGAGTCGCGGTCCGGCTGCGGACAGGAGATACCAAAATATCAGGACAAGGGAAGGGAGAATGGGTGCATATGAAAGGGCTACTAAGGCTTCGATGGCTGATGGCGCGTTGGCGATTTCGGGTACGACAGCGATCATTCAAGTTGCCGTTGTGAGCGTTATGACGGCGGCAACGCGGCGGTCGGTGCTGCTTGGCCATAGCGATAGGCGGAAGCCATTTCGGCATGGGCGTTCGCGAGGGCGTTCAATATGGAGGACGAAGCCGCGGTCGAGAAGGATTCGGTGGAGGAGAAGCCAGGATATTATGGCGCCGAGACAGGAAATTTCCTGGACTGTGTTGTAAAAGGAGGACTGAATTAGCTTTTGCTCCTAGGGTAAAGAAAGGGAGACTGGGGAATGGAAAATAGGTAGGAAGCAGAACGAACAACGGAGGAGGGTGTATCACAGATTGACCAAAATCGATGTTGAGTTCCATATGAATCCATTGGCTCTGCATATGGTACCCCTTCAGTTTGTGTTGTGGTGTTTTCGTCAAGTGTCTCGAGGGTAGAAGATCGCTGTTGTTGTTGTTGTTGTTGTTGTTGTTGTTGTTGTTGTTGTTGTTGTTGTTGTTGTTGTTGTTGTTGTTGTTAGTAGAAGAAAGAGGCCTATGATGAGGACTTTCCCGAAATGTCCCAAGGCGTTTGAATCGTGGGTGGAAGTCGCTGTCAGACCAAATCATCTGCAATTACCACAGGTATAACCTCAATTTCATCGTGGCATCAGCTGAAGTCTACAATGAGTTATTCAATGTTTTCGTTGATGCCGTTGACCACCAAAAAAGGGTAATCGAAGATTGCGAAGTTGAAGTGTTCACTCCGCCCCTCGCACTTCCTTTCTAATGCTGATGCTTCCACTTGCAAGCGACCACTACACTCTTGCCATGCAGCAAGCTTGTCTGCAGTTCCAATTGGAGGAGCCAAATGAGGCGTGAATGTATGTACCTACATGATTTATTTCTGCCTGAGGTGCCTCACAGAAAGGTAATGAGTCTGCAAGGTTACACAATGATATACTGATTGAACCGCTATTTGATTCACGGCCTTGGCTCCAGCTTTCAAAGAGGACTGGGATAATTTCAGATAAATACCTCATTTGAAAAAAATACTTTACTGTCGTGAACATTCTTGCTCGTTAGCCAAAGAAGGGTAGAGGGGGACGCTGTGGCTGGAGGTGCTGTATACTCTTCAACTAATGCGTCCAGTAGGTATGTTCCGCTCCACTATCATTCTCCGTCCAGGAGAGGTTAAAAAAGAAAAAGAAAAAAAAGAGTAAAACTACACACCGATTTGGCAGTTGTCACTAGAGTGACGAGCGCTATTTGCCACCATCTTCCTCCTCTTTTCCTTGTCCATGATCTCTTGAACTATCCTGAGACGAGAATTGGGGAGTACTTCGCATCCCAGCGTCGGGTCTGGTGGTGCCGGCACCGGCGCCTACGGCTGAGACCAATGCAATGACGATGCCTATTCATGCTCGGTTGAAGTCGAGGTGATGCCGGGTTGGTCATTCGCTGGTGCCTCCTCGGAAAGCTAGAGAGGTTTCTCCATCAATGCCGCCAAACTCATCGTCTTCCTCACCGTAAACAAACCCCGACTTTCTCTTCCTCGCTACCCTCGTCGTCCGTGTCACTGGCCTCGTCCACTACGTCCTCGCAATAATCACCCCATATTCCTCCATATGAGTCGCCCTCCATATCCTCGTCAGACTCTCCCTGTGATTGAGATCCTTGGCTAGAGTCATGGTCATCTGCATCCTCATCGTTATAGATCTCCACTAGGTCCTCGGAATATCCATATTGCTCTTCCTCATCCCATTGAATAATCTCCGTGACCTCCGCCTCCACATCCTTGTTGAACCTGATCTCGGTGACCAGGACGTTGCACAGCGAACAGCGACTTCTCATAGGAAAGCCTGACTCGAGAAAGTCGCGGTAGGAGGGGAATCCACTGATGCCCGTCTTGACGATGTACAGGCAGCCACAGTTGGCTACCATGCCGCGGAGGAATAGGGCGGAGGATCTCGGTTTCAGTCTCGGCGGGCAATCCTGGGAGGACTGGGAAGGCTGTGTTGGGTTGTTTGGAAGGGGTCTGCAGGTTTGAGTACTCCGGAATGTGGTAAGGGGCTGGGAGAGAGGTTTGGATGTTAGCTTTTTGCTTCTTTTTTCGTGGACCAATGTGGGCGATAATGAGTTCGACCATGTGTAGAGCAACGAACAAAACCGGCCATCTTGGTTCTGCCCTTTTTCTTTCCTGGCCAGGGCTACCGATCCTTGCCGTGCAGATGATGGCTTTCCGATGCTTTGCGCAGTTACATCTTTGTCATCTTCGTTGGAGTCAAATCACTCGTCCCGGTTCCATTCAACACGACAGCATCTTCCTAGCTGCCGAGCCAGCATCAAGTTTGGCGGTTATTCTGCTGGCAAAGCAAGGAGAGGAAGGAGGAGGGGGGGAAATGAAAAAGGAGGAAAGATATACATAAAATTGAAATTGGCTGACCTGGTCTGAAGAATCTGTTGAGTTGCCGCTCTTAGAGGGCTCTGATGATAGAGATCCCGCGGCCCCTTGGGTGGCGTGACTGGTGTCTGCGTCGCTCTTAGACGACGCGGTTGGCGAACATTCACCCGGTGATTTCGATCGGTTGTTCTCCCTGGATATTTCAGGTACCGCCAGGCCCGTCTTTAGGGCAGCTGCGTAAGACAAGACCGGGGGCTTGCCCTTTGCGGTCTGCATTTTGGTCGTGTGTTCTGGTTACGATCGGGACTGGTCGTTCTCGTTAGACATTCGGGGTCAAAATCTGCTAACAATTTCTTTTTGACAACATGGGCATAAAATAGAGTTGGATAGATGGGGAGTAATGCGCTGTACCCGGGGTGGACAGTTCTCTTATGACTTAGTGACTGAGCAATATCGATGTTTCTTAAGGTTGTTGTTATTTTTTGATCGTTGGAATAAACTTACCGAGTGTTATTCCATGACCAGAACGTACCGTGTTCTTTAGTCCGGCGTTTGGACTGAACTACCGTGCTGTAACGAGGAATGGTCTTTCTTTATATGCTGGTTTGGATGTGAATAATGAAGTGCATCAGGGAAAGAGAAAAGGGAGGACCTTGTCAGTCCCATCCCGATTATTTCAGGACAGGTTTGTTCTTTCATCATTGAGGCCGCTCATGCAACACCGCCGAATGTCCGGTAGTTATGCACGACCTTTTCGGAAGTCCAAAAATTTTAATCATGATATCGGGTATCCAACGGGCATATTATATGCCGAGGTCGGGCTAATACTGCCCTGAATGTGTCGGAAAATCGTGAAATTGATGTTGTCGCTCTCAAACCGTAATAAGTCGCAAGCGTGGGATTTGGAGAGGTAAGGCGTAAGGCACAGACATGTATACCGGAACCCACATCCTACGGCATATTTATCGGTCCAAGTTTGGATGCAAAGCTGGTGTATCTCTGCGCGCCACGCTCATTTAAGATGTCTCTCTAGCTTGGAAATTGTACTTTTATAGATACTGACAGCTTGGATCTGCAACAGTGTATAGGATGCGGCGCGGGGGAATCTATTCGGCTGCCGACCGTTCGGATGAGGAACACGTTCTCGGACGTCAAAAGTGTTCGGCTGGATGACGACGTTATACGGTTCGACGGGCATGAAGCTCGAACCTTGCCGGAGAAAACGTTTGAGACGAAGACCAAGTGACGAAGCACATGACGGGCCTGAGAGCTGGACTGTGGTTGAAACATGCTGGCTATGACGGAATGGTTATAGTGACCAAGATACCTACCGTGAATGGCCTATTCAATAGTAATGATTTTTTGGCTCTGTATTTTCGGCTTTCATTGCTCTCCAAACCCCCAGATCGAAGCGACTGGCTCGTTTAAAGGCAAGTAGCAGGCCCAGTTCTGCGATGAGCACATCACAACAGTTCCTGGATACATGGCTGTATATCACGTCATATGGCGCCGTAGCCTGTGGAGGTTTTCTCCTCTTTGGAAACCCGAAACATCGGCACATGTGGTTGATTCGATTTGGTGAGAGTTCAAGTTGTTCATCTCTTTCGTTGTTTGCCGGTTTCCCAGAGTTTGAATCGTCGTCATCTGTGGATCCACTGTGAGGCCTCTCAGCCACTTGAACGACTGGATCCGTTCTGCGGAGACAGTGGCGCAGTGCCAAGCCTTCGATTAAACCCCTGGCTAGTCCGGACTCCCGGCCAGACTCCAGCCGCGGCGGCCCTCATTATCATCTGTCATGGTTCGTTCCGTCCTTCGTTGCAGTTTGACAAGATGCCATGCTTCATGACCGCCAGTCATCATAGCACACGACAAACTCAAATAACCTCAAGGGCATCGATTCGGCTCCGTACTTAGTTACTTCGTTCCAGGCGGTCAGGAACGTAGGATAGGGTAGGGTATGGTGGCAGTCAGAGTTGAAACTGAATTGATTCCTTGCCTCACTGTGACCACACTCAGACTACTGTCCTTCGACCAGTACGCTACTGTCTTGAACCAGACCACCATACAAAACGAGGCGCATTCGCATCGCCCAACAGTCACATGAGAAAACTCCAATCAACCGACAAACCCCACCCCTGAGAGCATTCAGCCCCTCTCTGACATCCCCTTTCGTCCACTTATCCCCAGAATCACAAGTCGAGCAATCCATTCCCAGTGCGCCAAGCCGGCTTCTGAGACGTATTGAGGTCCATCTCCATCTCCATCTCCATCGAATCCTATCCAATCCATTGGGTCTGGCGCTTCTGTAATCCTAGAAATCCAAAGGGCTGTGCCATATGCCATCCTCATCAAGCCCGAGTAATAGATCCGTTGTGAAGCCCGCCGCTTTGTTCCTTATAAGTCTTGTCGTCCTCCTCTTCTTTTCTACGATACCCTCTCACACTTTTAATTCTACCTTGTTGAGCCAGCTCTACTCTGGTCATCAGCATCCTACAGCAACAATCGCAACTACAGCTACAGTCGCCTTTACGGACTCGGTCACGACCACCATCACTTCTGTTGACAAAGGACCAACACCATCCTCCGTCACATCCACCACACCAGCCACAACAGAAACAAGTACTACTACAACCGAACAACAACCAACACTAACGTCACCAACCATGGGAGGCGGTCCAGACACCACCGGCTACCGCACCGTAGCCTACTTCGTCAACTGGGCCATCTACGGCCGCAAGCACCGGCCGCAAGACTTGCCCGCCGAGAAGCTGACGCACATTCTCTACGCCTTCGCCAACGTGCGCCCGGATTCGGGCGAGGTCTACCTGACGGACCAGTGGGCGGACACGGACATCCACTGGGAAGGAGACAGCTGGAACGACACCGGCACGAACCTGTACGGGTGCCTGAAGCAGCTGAACCTGCTCAAGCGCCGCAACCGCAACCTCAAGGTGCTGCTGTCAATTGGCGGGTGGACATACAGCAGCAACTTCAAGGAGCCGGCGAGTAAAGAAGAGGGGAGGAGGAGGTTTGCTGAAAGTGCTGTTGAACTTGTACGTTTGGAAGTCTCTAGATCTTATCCTCCTTACTTAAAACACCCTTCCTTTCCTAGTCCATGTCCGGGACAAAAAGCTAACACTGCCAACCAAATAGGTCAAAAACCTCGGCTTCGACGGCCTCGATATCGACTGGGAATACCCGCAAAACGCCCAAGAAGCCTCCGACTTTGTCTCTCTGCTCTCAGCCTGCCGCTCCGCCCTCGACGCCTACGCCTCCACCGTCCCTGGGAATCCTCACTTTGAGATGAGTGTCGCCTGCCCGGCCGGCCCGCAGAACTACGAGAAGATGGACTTGCCAGGAATGGACCGGTACCTCGACTTCTGGAACCTAATGGCGTACGACTACGCCGGCTCGTGGGATCAGGTGGCGGGTCACCAGGCCAATCTATTCCATTGCAACAGCAACCCGGCTGCCACGCCCTTCAGTACCCAGCGCGCCGTCGAGTACTACTTGTCGACAGGCGTGGCGGCCGACAAGATCGTTTTGGGCATGCCGCTGTACGGGCGCGCGTTTCAGGGCACCGAAGGATTGGGGCAGCCGTATAGTGGTGTTGGTGAGGGGACGTGGGAGAATGGCGTGCATGATTACAAGAAGCTGCCGTTGGAGGGAGCCGAGGAACGCGTCGATTACGAATCTGGTGCTACGTATTGCTACCATCCGGGAACCAAGACGCTGGTCAGCTATGATACGCCTGGCATGGCGAGGATGAAGGCTGAGTATATCCGGGAGAGAGGCCTTGGTGGTGCCATGTGGTGGGAAAGCAGTGCTGATAAGGAAGGCCCTGATAGCTTGATTGGTACCGTCGTCAAGGGTTTGGGCGGCCTCCCGGCGTTGCGTTGGGACGGCAACTGCATCGACTACCCGAACACCAAGTATGACAACTTGAGGGCTGGGTTTCCGGGAAATTAGGTCGTAGTCGTGTATGTCGATAGATAGGATGGTGAATATCGTCGTACACTTGGCAGTGTCCTGGTAAATGAAACATATTTCACAATCACAGTCAGCAGCGAGATTCAAGTAGCCAAAATTCGGCCAAGTCGGTCATGCCATTCCCAATTTTGCTTTCCCTCGCCAGTCAAAGGTACCCTGATGTCCGCTCAAAACGCCATACATGAAGTTCCAATCCTAGCGAGATGTGGTATTGTCATTCCCCGTCCCAGATCATGCCCCTAAGCTTTCCAGCAATTTAAGAGCTCTTCTCGAAGACGTAGGTGAGGTGGCAGCGACCGCAGTACTGACGATCCTGCATGGCGGCCATGAAGACACCGGCACCGCACTGTAGATATGGGGTCAGCGAATGATCATTACTGCAATAGGTAGCTAAACGGTAAAACTCACGGTCTCGTTAGGGCACTCGCGGCGAAGACGCTCGATCTTGCCGTCGGAGTCGACCTTGTAGTACTTGAGCACAGCGAGTTTGGTCTTTTTGCGCTTGTGCTTGATCTTCTTGGGGGTGGTGTAGACCTTCTTTTTTCTCTTCTTACCACCACCACGGAGGCGAAGCACGAGGTGGAGGGTGCTCTCCTTCTGGATGTTGTAGTCGGAGAGGGTGCGGCCATCCTCGAGCTGCTTGCCGGCGAAGATCAGGCGCTGCTGGTCAGGGGGGATGCCCTCCTTGTCCTGGATCTTCTGCTTGACATTGTCGATGGTGTCGCTAGACTCCACCTCAAGGGTGATAGTCTTGCCCGTGAGGGTCTTCACGAAGATCTGCATGATTGCCTACTGAGAAGTGGTAAGGAAGTGTTAGAGAGACAGAGACACAGCAGAGAGAGGATGCGATTCCTGCGAATCCTCGTGATGCTGCGCCCGGCTTAACGCGCAAAAAAGATGTTTGACTGGGGATGGGATGTGATGGGAAGCGCCGAAGCGTTGTAAAATATCGTTATCTTCCCTTCCTCCCGCCCGCGGGAGAAATCCCCAGCAAAGCGATCATGGAAAATATCGACTTGTGCGAATGACAACAAGAACGAGGGGGTATCATAAAGATGGGTGTAGAAGCCGAGCACAGCACCACGATTCATCACAGCATCGTGCAGACGTACCTAGACACAATGTCTTCCTCAGCAATCTGTAGACGGTGTGAAGGTGCTTGACGAGGAAGAAAAAGAAGTCGGGATTTGAAGGCGGCCGCGAAAGGCGGATTTCTTTTGTCAACCGTGCCCCACACAAAAGCGGAGTCAGCTGACTTGGGCGGGCAGCTCGCACACAGCCGGAGGAACCTTAGGGTTTCTGTGAGCGGTAGCCCTGGGGCCAAGCGGCAATTCACCTGGCCCCAGCGCCAGCAGGTTGGGCTGAAGCCCTCTGGCACTGGCAGCACTTGCAGCACAAGCACCCACTTGTGGGGCGCACAGGCCATCTGTGCCATATTGTGGATCCCGCACACGCTTGGCCACGCTCTGGCCGCCGTACTTTTGGACGTCGTGCCTTTTGTCGAATTCTTGAACTTCCTCCTCTCGTCCTTTCAATCGACAGCAACATCTTGAGAACCGTACCACTCAAGACACCGCCAAGATGGTCAAGAAGAGAAAGAACAACGGCCGCAACAAGAAGGGCCGCGGCCACGTCAAGCCCATCCGCTGCTCCAACTGCTCGCGATGCACTCCCAAGGACAAGGCCATCAAGCGCTTCACCATCCGCAACATGGTTGAGTCCGCTGCCATCCGTACGTCGACGACACCACTGGTTTGATCAAACGACGACTGCTGACCATGTCCTCTCCCCGCAGGTGATATCTCGGATGCCTCGGTGTTCGCTGAGTACACGGTTCCCAAGATGTACCTCAAGCTGCAGTACTGCGTCTCTTGCGCCATTCACGGCAAGATTGTCCGGTACGTTTGTCCGCCTGGCGGGGACAGCCACGTGCGCTTCCAAAGCGACGTGGGCGGCTGAGATGAACCTTGGTCGAACCTCTGCTCCCGCCAAAACCCTACAAAGTATCCCCCGTCCGTCCCACTGACAATAATGACTATAGTGTCCGTTCCCGCGAGGGCCGCCGCAACCGTGCTCCTCCCCCGCGTGTCCGCTACAACAAGGACGGCAAGAAGGTCACCCCTACCCAGGGTGCTAAGACCGCCTAAATCAGGCGACCTTAGCGGCTTCCTTGCGACAAACCAGCTTCGGGGTTAACAGGCGTTTTCTGCGTTGGTCGGCGTTTCGATTTTCGGGGGGTTATATGGAATGAACATGAGGCCGAAAGGCAGATGATATCATGACATGGCGCTTTTTTGCACAGGAGCAAAGAAGCTGGCAATCACCGGATACACAAACGGAATCGGAATGGCCCATGGGTTCCTTCGACCAGTTAAGGGATACCAAGCTAATAGTCTACCAATAATGAGCACCTGTTGATGAACAACATACTCGTCTCTCTGTGCCTCCCGCTTGCTTTTTGCGCCCAATGTTTGAGAATTCGTCTTCACTAACTTTAGGACCTTTGTCGACTGATATCACTCGTCCCAGTCCAACATTGCTCACCCTTGTTCCACCGCTCCCTTTTCATCGACCTCGACTCTCGTTCATCATTACGGCCTTGTCCTGTTCCTCGCCCTTTTGACTACGTCATTTTGCAGCTTGACCCTGCGAAAATGCTCACAACACAGCCACTGCAGTGGCATGCCGATATAGTCGAGTCGCCCGGGAAGAGAGTCAGCGAGCGAAGGTTGTGAGAGTGGGCGCAACGGAGAACTAGGTGGTGCTCGACCCTCTCGTGCCGTCCTGTCTTGAGGTTCATTTCGAGACTCGAAGGCTAGGATGAGAACTTTTGGGGGATTAACCTCGACGGTCCATTGCATTCGATTACCGGGCCCGCCATGCGTCCTCGGGTCTTTCATACCAAGGCGCACACCCTTTGCTGCACAATCCTTGCCTCAACATCGTGGCGATCATGCCATACATGCCACGACTGGACAATCACCTTGAGGATATTGGGTCATTGCTTAATGAAGTGGCTAGGTAGGTACTCACGATGTGAGCCGAGCTACTGAAAGGAAGCCCTCGTCGATCACGTCACTTATATTGACGGGGACATTTCATGTTGACTTGCTAGATAAAAGGCATGCATTTTTATTTCATTGTCGTTCATTCACTCCCCGTCGCAGTGAAATCAGGCGCGGCCGGGTGTCAAAAGACAAAACTCATCACTTCGACGTGACGGGCAACACGCTCTTGAGAAGCTACAAAACTGGCGGGTTCGGAAGGCACAAGGCACCGGGCAACAGCTTTGTACTCTGCTTACGTAGCTAACAAATGTTGTGACAAAGCCACTCACTCCAAATAAAAATGTCCCTCGCAGCCTGGGAGCATTGTCGACCTTCAACAACTTTATAGTCTCAAGACTATATCACATTGAGTGTGTTGTTGGCAGGGATCCATATTGTCGAATGTCGAGCTGGGATTTGTTCACCCTGTTGCAACTGCTCGCGATGTCGGATCTCTCGAGTGTCGACAGGTACTGTCAAGCTGTGTTTGAAACGACGTATGAAGCTACCACTCTAATAGAGACTGGAAACCTTGCGACTTCGTAATAAGCTTCATGATGGTCATGTTCTTTTATGCTGGTCAAAACAAAACTAATTCGGCATGACACCTGAGTCATCGAGTTGATAAGGTCTTTTACATTATAATACGAGGATAAAAGCAACAATGACAACAAGCTAAAAACAGAATCGGGCTTTTCTGTATATATGTACATTTAGCGTAACGAATATTTACTGGTCGTTCTGTCCCGCTATCTTGTATTCCATGATGATGTAGCGTAGGCTGAGGATTATAGTGTGAGCTGTGCTAGACGAAAATCAGGAGAGCAGCGCCCTAATGCGAGATTTGAGGCACTCAAACTGTTTGAAAAGCGTACTATAGGCTGGTGGAACGAATTAAGTGGTATATATACCTCCATATAAACAACCGAGGTTGAACGTCGATGTCTTGTTCACTTCTAGTCAATTGGCTCCTCAAGCGCAAGTCTCACTGGCGATATTGGTTCCAATAAGTTGCGTTTTGGGACTGGAAGCGATTTTGCCCATGGGCATGACTTTCAACCGATGGACGCTATTCGTGAAGATGAAATGTGGATATGTTTGTTCCTGACCCTCCTGGTGCAGTACATGATGATAATCGACCTAGCTCGTAGTCCATACAATATGAACGAACTTCTCTCGTCGAGCAGTTCGAGATCCTTTTAAGAAATCTTCCCCCCCCCCCTTCCGTTGGTTATCATGACCGTGACTGATTTGGGCTCGTTATGGCACTATCTGGTGCCTACACTGTAGTTAAGAAGAGAGTAAATGCAAGCAACCATTCCCGTAAGAACGCAATTTGTAAACATCGAGCCATGCCCGGACGGAACCATGAAGGCGGGTTTCAGTGCTGCTGGATGCCCGTTAACCATGCTGTCGAGCCTGAATCCATGAGAGGCCGAGAATGTCATAGTAATTCGGAAACCCCACATTTCGAAACATGACATATAATCCTTTTGATAATTACCAGAAGCATTTTGGCAGACTGAAAATTCACAAACTGTTTACGCCACCCAGTCCCAATTTCTCGATTTTATAAAGTAGCATGCATGGAGATTCCGGGTAGAGTTGTCTAGTGACGCCATTGCCGGCGTACCATCATATGCCTTTCATCTTGCTCCAACTGACCACTACGCGTCACCTCCCTAGATGTGTGTGAAGCTGGTGTTGAGCCGTTCGACCGTGATTATTGGACTGATCCAGCCGCACAAACGCCTTTGGAGATCAGATAGCGGACAGTGGCTGACCTGGCAGAAACGTGGCAGGAGCCGTCGCAAGCAACATCGATCTTTGGCTTGATCAAAACCTGTTGAGTAGAGGCAACTAGAGGTATTCAAGTATCGAATAAGATGGCAAAGAAGAAGAAATGCACAGGACTCGAGAAGGAGAAATGGAAGCAGAAGTGGCCCTTGCCGCGAGGTCTGGTCCCTTGCTCCCTTGCCTGCCGAGCTGCCCCGATCTGCCCTATCGAGAATCCCTGGCCGCTAAACCCAGCTGGGCGCCCTGAGCTGTTTGGCTGTGTGGGCTGCCACGAGGCGCGATGCGGGGCCAGCTATGGAACCCCCCGTCACTCCGTCACCTTCCACTTACAGTTGTTCGTCCAGGGCGTGTCACTTTAGGTCACCGTCCATTGATTGATTCGGGCATTGGGGAGGATGGCAGCCAGACACCAGTAGAGGTAGTCATGGGACAAAACCCACCCACCGTGTTCCGGCTGCCGGATCGAAGGGACCGTCAACAAGCTTCCGGCAGATTGCACTAGGTACCTAACCGGAGCACCTTTATTGCTTAGCTCCCGTTCTCTTCCTTCCACCTTTCCCTTGACGCCCGTTATCCCTTGGGTTCCACGGGTTGAGCCTGTGTTCGATTCCACTTTCTCTTTCAACAACGGGCACTGACTGGACTTCCACAGTCGCTTCGAGCACCCATCAAGCACCGGCAGTGTCCAGTGCAGCAGCTACGTTACCTCTTACATCCACTCTACGGACATCTCGGCAAGGGCGCACGTCAACAAACCCACCCACCTTCACCAGAAGGAACCCTCCGTGCATCTCTACATCTACCTTACTCACTAGTACCTACCTACCTAGCACCGACCTAACTCGACAATCTGCCAGTATCAACCTACCTTACTTATCCATTGTTGCAAGAACTGGCACTTGACGCTTTTCTCAATTCCTACTATTCGAACTCCATCCTCTCGCTTCCACGCAATGCTCCGCTGCCACCGCTAGGTTTATCAACCCGCTTTGCATCTTGCATCATCCTTATCGCCCACTCACAGGCAACGTACCTTGCAGAAACGCCGTCACGCCGCCTTGGTGGACAAGCTGAGGAGAACAACTAGAACATAACCGCAACAACACATCATCTTTACCTCGAGAAAGCCTGGCTCCAACCGACAGTGTTGGGCACCTAGCTCCAACCCCAGCTCAACATGGAAGCGCCGTCTTCCTTTTCAACCCCCAAGCGTAAACGTCCACTACCTTTCGAGCCAACAATCCCCAATCTCAACCAGACCAGGGCCTTGACTGGCTTGACAGGGGAATTCACCTTTGAGCTTGGCTTGTCCACAGATACCGAGGACGGCAGTAAGAGTCCACGGACCACTGTGGCACACAGGCTACAGCAGCTCTTCCTCAATGGCGGGGCCCTCGGCGGTACCTCTACCGGTGGGGTCTTTGGTGGAGGCATTGCGACCGCACGAACATCGACATTGCAACCGTCTCGGTCGCAACCACAACAGCAGTACTTTGGCTACCCATTTCCACGAATTTCACGGTCGCAAGACATGCAGGAAGTTGAGGAAGATCGTGAGCGACCAGGCGGGCCCCGAAAGCGAGCCAAGCTCCACGATCGAGACATTGACATGACGGGCATTGCCGAAACCCCAATGCGGCCTCCCGCTTCGACGAACAATGGCGGGACATTTGAAGCTGCCGGAACGGACTCGACTTCTTCCATGCCACCGCCATCAACTCCAGTCAATCAACAAGCAGGCGCTGTCATCACTCCAAGTGGCCCATTTCCAAAGCGACGACTGGCGCCCAAGGGCGTTCGGTTCAACATGGACCCCGCTGAAAATCAACAGGCTGAATTGGGAGACAACACGATGGGTACAAGCGGCACAATCATCACCCAAACAACACAGAACAATGGCATCCAGATACCATCTTCCTCTCCCCTCTCATCGATTACCAAAGTGGTCGCCATCCCCAGTTCTACACCAACCCAGAGACCCTTAGCGCCGAAGCCGGCCAACATCAGCATGGCTCCGCCGTCATCATCGACAGCAGCGGCCGCAACAAAGAAGCCCCGGAAATCAAAATCACCACCCCTCCAACCTCAACCGGCCACATCGACCTCGACATCGTCCCCCCGCTCACCCACCGTAATTGATCCGATCCGCGCCAGCCTCACCTGGCAAGATTCCGAAATCACTGTCTACGACCCGGACGACAGCGACGACGACGGTACCGGTATCAACGGCATCGGCTTCAGGCCCACTCCAGAGATGGAACACGCGCGCAGGATGAAGCGCAAGAAGCAGCTGGCTGAGTATCGAAAACGCGAGATGGGCGAGGCTCGCGCCAGGAGGAAAGAGCGAAGAGCGGGTGCTGACGGATTGGGGGGAAGCGGTAATGAAGGTGGTGGAGGCAGTAATGGCGGACCCAAAAGCAAGGATGCTATGGCGACTGCTAAGGGCAAGCTGAAGGCTGAGAAGAGAAGGGTTAGATTTTTGGAGACGGTGACCAAGACGGTCGTTGAGATGCCACCGCCGACACCGGTCACGATGATGGAGGGTGTGATGCAGAGTGAGACGGCAGCTGCGGCGGAGGGTCAGGGACCTAGTGGAGGGGATGCTAGCGGGGGTGGTGATACAAGCGTCTCTGGTATGGCTGGCGCTGGCGCTGACCTTGCCAGGGTTGAGGCTTGACGGACGGGCCTTTTTCCTTGCTTGTGGCTCTTAATTTGTCCGGCAAGCAAGTTATGCATGATCAACTCAATGGCTTACCTTTCTCATTGGCATGTTTGGCGTTTGGGTGTTGGAGGGACTGAATCGGATACGACAAGACGCGAGCAACTGTGACGTGCTGGCGGAAGGGACCATGGGAAATTTCACTTGGGCATGAAATACGACGGGTTTGAATGTAGGATACTGCAAGAGAAGGACAGACTCGCACATGAGTCTTTACTATGCTTTTTGTTTTTTTTCGCAGAGTTGCCCTGGGGTGCCTCGAGGTTAAATACTCTAGAGGCATGCACTTTCTTTGCTTGATATCATTGCTTAACATGACTTCGAAGCGTAAAAGCACGCCTTTGTCCCCGAAGAATGAATGATCACATGGTGAACTCGCTGCCGTGGTGCGCCATAACCATGCTCCCATTGTGCGTAATGACTCCAAGCAACGCCCCTTAACTTCAAAAGGTATCGATATATGTCCGTGCAAATCATAACCTACATCTCCTACTCCTAGCTATGCCCTTCAACCTCTATCCTAACACAACCCCTCAGCACATCAAAGCCCTCTCACCTCATCACCCCCCTCACCAAAACTTGTACCAGTTCTTCTTCTCGCCCCCAGGTGCAATCGACGTGCCCTGCACCTCCCCCTTTTCCGCCTTCTCCTTCGCCTCTTTAGCTTCCTTGGCCCTATTCTCCGCCTGCTTCTTCGTATAAACCGCCACCACCCTCTGCATCTTCTCCTTCTCCTTCCTCCTCTGCCACTGGCAGTACTCGTACTGCGCCATCGCCCCCACGATCCCGCACCCTACACCCCAGTTGGCCGCTTTCGGGATCGGCAAGCCCATGATCCACCGCAACACACCGATGCCTGCGCCGGCGCCGATGCCCGTCATGAAGCCTTGGCGGGCGCAGGGCGTTTCGTGCACGGAGAGGAAGTCGGAGGGGGAGATGGTGGAGGCGACTTCTGTGAGGGAGATGCGGTTGGATGAGTGGGTGGGTTTTGGTTGTTGTTGTTGTTGTTGTTGGGAGGGTGACTGGGGGGATTGTTGGCCTCCTGGGACTTGTGGTGTGGTGTTGGACTGTGGTGGTTGTTGGAGGTCTTGAGAGGGCGCGAAGGGAGCAAGAGGGGGAGAGGAAGAGCCGCTGCTGCTGCCGCCGCCGCCGCTTAGCCAGGAGCGGGCGGCGGCGTCGGGGTTTGTGGGTGATGTTGTTGTTGTTGTTGTTTGGTCACGCGTCATGGTTGCGGTTTGCGACGGATTGTTGATGGGATGGGCTTCAGTTTCTCTCGCGTTCCGTCTCGAAAAAGCGCAGTTCTGTCAGGGCGCAGAAAAGTGTGGAGTTGTGTGTTTGGATATTAATATATTTGAAAGTTGTTGGTTGTTATTCGCTTGCCGGGATTGCAGTGTTTGAATGGCAGTCACAATATGTAATGGAGGTAATGCAGTGGTGAGTGGAAGTGATTGAGCAGGGAAACAAGAAAGTGGACTACATAATTGTCCAATGGAGACTGCTCGTTGACGTTCTCTCCGTCGTCTTCGCGCGGCGGCCGGGCGAGTCGCGGGGAAGCTTTTTTTTTTTTCTCTCCCGGTGGGGACCTTGCGGGATTACGGGGAAGATGCAGGTACCTTAACGCACTTATATGGAGAAGATGGGCGACTATGTAGAGATTCAGCTTCCAATTGTCATCAGAGCTTAGCTTCCGTCTAACAAACACAAGTTAACATCAGTTACTACACTTCCGCCCTCGGATTCGGAGCCGGCTACGGGATGAGCTCGTACAATGCGAGCCCTTCTTAGGTAGAGGTACCTAGCTTTGACTTGGAGATAGTCCAACGGGAACTTGGACAGAGACAACAATGGAGGGTCCAAGCTCCCGTCCCTCCCGATCGGGCCGCTTCATGATTCGAGCATGCCCGCCCCGGCGGGGGGCCGTGTCCCGAGCTGGAGGGAGCGTCTGCCGGCAGCCCACTTCCCCACCGGGCACCATTCCAACCCTTGTTCAGCGCCTTGACGCCCTGTGAGTGCCCTGAAACGATCAGCTTGACTGGTGGGGCATGTGTGCGTTTAGCGCCCGGCGCGTCAGACAAATTGGACCGTTCGTCTACGGTAGTCGCGTCTGGCGCGTCTCGCAGTTAAACGACTTTAATGGGTTCCATGAGACTTTCCAAACATTGAAGTGCCTCCCATCTCACAACCCCATCCTCTTCACCAAACCAAGGGACCCTGTGCCAGCCATACCTCGAATCTTGGCTGGCCCTCCATGTCAACCTACTTGTGAAAAGACATATTTCTGTTTCTTGTCTCTCCTTCCAATTCCGATTTATCTTGGATCGAGAGATCCTACCAAATAGGACGGAAAACGGAGGGCAGACCAAAGCACAAGACGAACATCGCGAGGCCTACGCAAGGGCCAATTCGACTTTTCCAACATGCCCAACACTTCTCTAAGGCGGCAGCCTCAAAAGGGCTACCGTCGCGGTGGCAAGAACGCCTACCATGGCGGATCCAAAACACGAACGTTCGCCGCCTCGGCCAGCGCCCGCGGCGAGGCTACCTCGACAGACGAAAAATGGGAAAGGACAGCCCTTGCGAACCAGATCGACGAGAACATGGGCTTCGCCCGATACGATGCCGGGAAGAAGCGCGAAGGCTGGCTGGTCAACGTACAACCGACATCCATCGACGACCCCCGTATCCCCGGCGGCGGCGGTCGCGCGGCACTCGACTGCTACTTCATCGAAGAGGACGGGTCAACATTCAAAGCCACAGTCGAATATGAGCCATACTTTCTGGTCGCATGTCGAAAAGGCCACGAAGGCGAGGTGGAGGAGTGGTGCAAGAGAGTGCCTGGTGGCGGCTGCGTCAAGTCCATCCGGAGGGTCGAGAAGGAAGATCTCAAGATGCCCAACCACTTGCTGGGCTATCGTCGAACATTCTTGGAGCTGAGGTTTCATAACGTGCAGGACCTGATGTCCGCCAAGCGTGATGTCATGCCCATTGCGGAAAAGAACAAAAAGGGCATGGATGCCATGGATACATATGCCGAAGTAGCATCGTGGGTTCCTCTCATGTTACCTGTACAGGCTGATCACCGCTGCTGACACAGACCCCCAACTAGAGCGAACGGCGGGTTTGATCTTTTTGATGACGATTCACGAAATGACGAGCGACGACATAATGCTGGTTTTGCAGAGGCGAGCGATTTCATTGTTGATATCCGGGAATACGACGTCCCATACCATGTGAGAGTAATGATAGACTTGGGTCAGTTCTCCTTGCACACCCCCCAGCGTGTGTGCTCAGCTGACCATCCACAGACATACGAGTTGCTAGGTGGTACCATGTCGAGGCCAAGAATGGAGTCACGACAGTAAAAGTAAACGAGGAACGTTTGGCCATGGCCGATCCCGTCGTAATGGCGTTCGATATCGAGACCACCAAGCTTCCCCTCAAGTTTCCTGACGCCGCTATTGACCAGATTATGATGGTCTCATACATGATCGATGGCCAGGGTTTCTTGATCACAAATAGAGAGATTATCTCCGAAGACATTGCTGATTTCGACTACACACCAAAACCCGAGTACCAAGGTCCGTTCATGATCTTTAACGAACCTGACGAAAAGGCCCTTCTCGAAAGATTCTTCCTGCACATCAAGGAGGCCCGACCAACCGTCATCGCCACCTACAACGGTGACTTCTTCGATTGGCCTTTCGTGGAGGCTCGTGCCAGTATCAACGGCATCGACATGTACCACGAGATCGGCTGGAAGAAGGACAGTGAGGATCAGTACAAGTGCAACTACAGCGTGCACATGGACTGCTTCCACTGGGTAAACCGTGACAGTTATCTCCCCCAGGGTAGTAGAGGTCTCAAAGCCGTCACCGTTGCCAAGCTTGGATACGATCCCGATGAACTCGATCCCGAGCTCATGACACCATATGCCAGCGAGAGGCCGCAGACGCTGGCCGAATACTCCGTCTCCGATGCCGTCGCAACATACTATCTGTACATGAAATATGTGCATCCTTTCATCTTCTCTCTCTGTACCATCTTGCCTCTAGGCCCAGACGATACACTAAGAAAGGGAACCGGTACGCTATGCGAGATGTTACTAATGGTACAGGCTTACCAAAAGGAGATTGTGTTACCCAATAAACATGTCCAACCTAAAGAGTCCTTCTGGGAAGGACACCTGTTGGACTCCGAAACGTACGTTGGTGGTCACGTCGAAAGTATCGAAGCTGGCGTCTTCCGCGCCGATATTCCCGTCAACTTCGCGGTTGATCCTACCGCCGTGGATGAGCTGATTCGGGATCTTGATGCAGCCCTAACGTTCAGTATTACGGTTGAAGAGAAGAAGGAGTTGAGTGACATCGCCAACTATGATGAGGTCAAGGAGCAGATAACGGCCAGGTTGATGAACCTCAAAGAGACGCCCAATCGACTGGAACGGCCGCTCATTTACCATCTTGATGTCGCCTCCATGTACCCCAACATTATGACAACCAACCGATTACAACCCGATTCCATGATCTCCGAGTCAACTTGTGCAGCATGCGACTTCAACCGTCCAGGAAAGACTTGTGACAGAAGACTACCGTGGGCCTGGAGAGGAGAGTACCTGCCAGCCAAGCGCGACGAGTACAACATGATTCGCCATGCACTCGAGAACGAGAGGTTTCCAGGAAAATACCCAAACAGTCCGATGCGGTCATTCCAAGACCTGAGCGCAGACGAACAAGCCACTCTCATCCGAAAGAGACTGCAGCTCTACTCACAAAAGGTGTACCACAAGATCCACGATTCCACCACGATTGTCAGAGAAGCGATCATTTGCCAGCGCGAGAACCCCTTTTACATCAACACAGTCCGTGACTTCCGTGACCGACGATACGACTACAAGGGCAAAGCGAAGGTGTGGAAGGGCAAGACGGATTCACTCAAGAGCTCGGGCGCATCCGCGTCCGAAATCGATAATGCCAAAAAGATGATTATCTTGTTCGATTCCCTGCAGTTGGCCCACAAGGTCATTCTCAACAGTTTCTACGGATACGTCATGAGAAAGGGATCTAGATGGTACTCGATGGAAATGGCCGGTGTCACCTGTTTGACGGGCGCGACCATTATTCAGTTGGCGAGACAGCTCATTGAGCGACTAGGTCGTCCACTCGAGCTAGACACTGATGGTATCTGGTGCATGTTGCCGGCGACATTCCCAGAGAACTTTGTGTTCAAACTCAAAAATGGCAAGAAGATGACCATCTCATATCCGTGTGTCATGTTGAACCATCTGGTCCATGACAAATTTACCAACCACCAGTATCAGACCCTGGTCGATCCAAAGACCTTCAAATACGAGACGCACAGCGACAACTCCATCTTCTTCGAAGTCGACGGGCCGTACAAGGCCATGATCCTACCCACCTCAAAAGAAGAAGACAAGAACTTGAAGAAGAGATATGCCGTCTTCAACGACGATGGCAGTCTTGCGGAGCTCAAGGGCTTCGAAGTGAAGCGAAGAGGCGAATTGAAGCTCATCAAGATCTTCCAGCAGCAGATCTTCAAGTTTTTCTTGGAGGGTACCACCCTGGCGGAATGCTACAATGCTGTCGCCAAGGTCGCTAACCGTTGGCTTGATGTACTCCATAGCAAGGGTGCAACGCTTGCGGATGAAGAACTTATGGAACTGATTTCGGAGAACCGCAGTATGACCAAGACGTTGGAGGAGTACGGAAGCCAAAAGTCAACATCCATCACCACAGCCAAGCGCCTTGCCGACTTTTTGGGCGAGCAGATGGTCAAAGACAAGGGTTTGAACTGCAAGTTCATCATTTGCGCTCGACCCAAGAATGCCCCGGTCACCGAACGTGCCGTGCCGGTTGCCATCTTTTCTGCCGAAGAAGAAACGAAGAGGATGTATCTCAAGAAATGGCTCAAAGAGGAGCCTGCTGATACCGACCCTCGGGCACTCCTTGACTGGGATTACTATCTCGAACGTCTCGGGTCCGTCATCCAGAAGCTCATCACCATCCCAGCCGCTCTGCAAAAAGTTCGCAACCCGGTACCGCGCGTGCCGCATCCGGACTGGTTGCAGCGGAGAATCAACATCAAAGACGATAAGATGAAGCAAAAGAAGCTCACTGATTTGTTTGGGCCTACCACCAAAGGCCCCTTGCAAGATATTACACACCTCGCGAACGGCACCCAGCTAGGAGATATGGAGGATTTCGGGAACTTGCTGAAGCCCAAGACTGTCAGTGATGCTATCTCCGCCACGCAAAAAACGGCGTCGGCTCAGAAACGCAAGGATCCGGAACCAGCAGCA